TGTAGGCAAAACACAAGACACACACAAAAATTGGGCGTGGCTCTGTCCCAGGGTTTCGGGCATGCACCAAAAATAATAATGGTCATCCTTAGGGTATAATTAATAAGGATGAAAAGTTTTCAAGATGATTGATTAAGAATTGCGGCCTGTAAGCGACACACAGATACACAAACAGAAAATGGGCGTGGCTCTGCCCTGGGGGTTGGGTATGCACCACATGTTCCTTAGGGTAAAAGGAATAAGTATGCAAAGTTTCAAGATGACACGTTAAGAAATGCGGCCTGTAGATGACAAACAAACAAATACAAGAAATGGTTGTGGCTCTTCCACTGGGGTGCGGGCATGCACCAAAAACAATAGGGATCATCCTTATAGTCCATGTGACAGACCTGGGATTTTGGAACATCATTACCAATTTGATGAATAAATTCAACCATGATTTTCAGTTAGCCTGGTGGCTGAAGTGTTGAAATTTGGTTGATGGACTTCCGGGTTACTTTGCTAAATTGCATTTTGGCGGCCATCTTTAAAGATGGCCGCCGTTATTTCATTGAAATTGAGCGCATCGGGGAAACCTTCATAACTCCTGAAAAGATCGACCTATGGATATGGAATGTGGCTCACAATGTTCACAAGAAAATGCTTCTTCTGATGCTATATGATACTTGTTGTTGAATGAATCATATATTTTCCAAATCAACAGATTATTCTGGAAAAAGCAACCTTTTGGCATTTTTATTTTCCCAGGTTTTCATTATTTATTTTATAAGTTTACTACCTAATCCTGTTCAGAGTAATTTTAGCCAAATTATGTGTGTGGTCTTCTTAAGTTATTCAATTAGCATAAATAAATACGCCCAGTGGTCCTCCTTATACAGCTGCGGTGGCCGCAAACTCAACAAAAGTCGTAAGTAGGCTGTCAAATTTAAAATGTTGAACGTCGGCGAGGCAGAGCACAAACTTAGTGAACTTTTAGCTAGTGTGTCACAATCGAAACGATATTTGGGGACGGGTTGTTTCTGTGACAAAATTTGTCCCTAAAGACAATTTTGAGATTATGTCACTTCTGTGACGTCATTTTCGGTTGGGGTTCTGTCCGATGTCCAAAATGACCGCAAGGGAGCTAAAGATGATCCGAACAATTATAGGCCAATCTCAATTTTCCCCACAATTTCAAAGATATTCGAAAGGCACTTGAGCACTCAAATTCAAACTTTTTTGGAAACCTTCAATGTTCTTTATGCTTACCAATCTGGATTTAGATCAAATCATTCATGTGCTACTGCACCGATCCGAATGACAGATAATTGGCTTGATGCTATCGATAATGGTGCGATGAGTGGTATAGTGTATCTTGATTTTAGCAAAGCATTTGATCTCATTGATCATAAGCTTATTATTGAAAAACTACATCTTTATCGATTTGATAATAATTCACAAATTTTGATTGAATCATATCTTGACTCACGGAAGCAAAAAGTATGTTTAGGATCAATTACCTCCTCAATTACTACAGTCAAATGCGGGGTTCCACAAGGGTCGATCGTGGGTCCTCTCCTATTCCTTATTTTTATAAATGATTTCCCACTCAATATAGATTTGTTTGCTGATGACAGTACCCTGCATTGTTCACACAAAGATATTTAATCCATCGCCAATAATCTCCAAAATTATCTCTATTTGGTTGCTAAATGGTGTGAAAACAATGGGATGGTAATCAATCCTTCGAAAACACAAAAGAAATCAGAAAAACCTAACTTTATCACTCCATGGTGAGAAAATTGAGACGGTTACTACCGCAAAATTACTTGGAATTCAAATTGACCAAGACCTTAATTGGGAAGCACAGATAGCAGATATGTCTAAAAAAAACTTGCATCAAAAATATTTCTCCTAAATAAGATAAAAGATCATTTACCTTACGAGACAGGAATTTTGTTTTATAACAGTTACATACTACCAATATTTGATTATTGCTCTATTATTTGGGGAAATGCTACCAAAAGTAGATTAGACATTCTTTTAAAATTACAAAAGATCGCAGCAAGAACTATTCTTGATGCACCGATTGAAACTTCGTCCACCTCTTTATTTACTAAACTCGGTTGGCTTACCCTTACACAGAGGATTCTTTACAATAAAATTGTCTTAGCATTCAAAATTATTACATTTAATACTCCACTTTATCTAAATTTCTATTTTATTGAAAAATCTCTTGTTTCCAAAACGGATATCTTGATCCGTTCACAGACCAGTAAATCTCTTTTTCTTCAAAATTGCAAAACGGAATCCATGAAACGTACTTTTCATTATTCTGCATGTCTTTTATGGAACAATCTGCCTTTTGATATAAAGATGTGTAAAAATGTTGAAAATTTTAAGATTAAACTGAAAAGTCATTTATTTTGCACACTGAAGGAACCATAATATTCAACTGATGACATACTTATTATTTTTAACTTGCAACTGCATTCTATTTTATTTTGTGTGTAATTATAGTGTTCTTCCTATTTTCTACTTGTATAATGTATATGTTTTGAAGTTTTGGAGTGACTTATCAAACTTCCCACTTTAAAATGCTATTGCATTTCTAATGATTTTAAATTTATCCTGATATTACATGTATATATGTCTTTGTAGCTTAGGAGGGACCTATGGAAGATTAGTTTTTTTGCAAACTAAATACGTTGCCTCATTAAATAAAGTTTTTATTATTATTATTATTATTATTATTATAGTATCATGCAAGGTAGGGCTTGTGATATATCATGTATAGGGTTTTCGTAGCCACTGAATTTAAAATTGAATTATTTATTGGAATTTTCGATGAAACGGAAAGGTTTGTTCCGCACAGGTATTAGCTTAGAAGGGACAAATACAATTTGTAGAACCAGATATTTGATGTTAGTGAACCCATTTTTTCTAGGACACCTGTTTCACACAAAATCTTATTTTCTATCCAGACGAACCTTCAGTATAATAATCTATATGCATACAAAGTTTATGAAAATACACATTCAAGCAGCATTTAATATGGTCTACCACCTGTAGGACACTCCCTTCAACTTAAAAATAAATTGTTTATTGGAATTTTCGATTAAACGTAAACTTTCTGTAAAATGTAAAATACTCGACTAATATACCAGTTTTAACATGTTTAACATCATATCTTTCCACGCGAATTAACAATAAATTGTTCATTCGATAAAACGGAAACATTTTTATACTTGTAAAATAAATACCTATTGTGTATATGATACGTTGAAGTCTACCGTGTAATACAGAAATTTGCAACACGTTTATAAGCACCATATCTTTCTACATGAACTAACAATAAATTGTCCATTGGATAAAAAGGAGACATTTTTTTATATATATAACTGTAAAATAATATATGAATTATCGTTTTAACATCATATCTTTTGCCTCCCTTTTCAGGGATGGACACTCAAAAGGAGTATGGTAGTTTCGGGGGTCCCTAAACTAGTCAATGTTCTCGCGTAGTTATGAATTTATGTCGTTTTTGATGAATTATTAAGATATATGCATAAGCTAAAAACACCAGGATATACTCTAGAAAGTACCATTTAAATTACAGTCAGTTTTTATCAAAAGAAATTTCGAGTCTGGTTGTAGAGAACCCTGTCGTTCACCTCACGGAGCAAAGATAAGCCTGTCCTATCCTAGGTATCATATGTGTAATTTTATGTCAACTTCACAATTGTTAGTATAAATATAACATTTACTTGACAATTATCACAATTTTCATCTGGCCTTAAAACATTTTCATTGAATTTGTGTTCCTGGTGTTATAAGCTTTCCAAATATGTATAGTTTGTTTAATAGGGAGGACCTTGTAGCGGAACTGTGTTTCTAAGCAAGCTAAAAATTTTGGTTGCAGGCCTACTAGACTATACGACAAAAGTTGCCGGGCATAGAGGCGTTAATGTAAAAACGGACCACTTTACCATTTCTGAACGAATAAGAGATCTTAAATTCTTAACAACTGGATATATCATAAATAATTCTCAATACGGCTTAAAATGGTGCAAAGGCATAGTAGATGAAATTAAAATGACTCACTATTTTGGTGAAATGTCTTGTGATCTGTGAGATCCAAAATAATCAATTCCATCATATTATGCCCCATTGTATTGTTTATGGGGGGGTGTGTGTGGGGGGGGGGGGGTCGCATAGGATGTGTCATTTTTAGCAGTATCATTAACATCATTTTCAGCATTATAAAAGAGACATTATAAGCTATATAAAACAGTCATTCATGTTATGGAAATTCTGACCGCCATTTTGAATTTTCCCCATCTTGGAATTTTAAAACTCTTTGTTTAGATTAAACAAACATTGTAACATTGTGCAAGAGCTAAATCTGCCTATTGCAGGTCTTTCTTTAGGCCTGAAATGTTTTCTAAATTATTATTTAGACATTAATTAACTGACCCAGGCCATAATCAACTCTCGATGGCATCGGATTTCTCCGATATTAAATAAATTAGAACGTATCAGTCATATTTTAATTTAATCTAATCTACAGTTGTTGAAATTATTGCACGTGTCTTGTCAAACCTTCAAAGGCTAATATCTTCGCTTGCAATAGAGTAATTTGAATGAAATTGTCAAATTATTCATTTTACATTATCTATTTTCGAACTATTGTAGCAAGAATGGCTAGCTCTTCATCTAAATCTTACGTAATAAATCTTTAATTGTAAGCTCATTGGATAGTACATGTCATATCAAACAATGAAATGACTATTATCTGACATATTGGCCATTTTAGGAAATTTTGTCGCCATATCTATTCAATCACTTAAGTTGACCAAACAGATAATTTGGCTTATATGGGTCTGAACACGATTTGTTAGTAAACATACGAACAGACATGAAAAAAAAAATCGAAAATGTTGCTTTTTTCAGATTAATCTTTTATTTTAAAACTGATAGTATTGATTAAACAACATATATCATATACCAGCAGATGCAAAATTATATTATGAACATTTTGAGATATATTACATATCCATATAGGTGAAACTGTTGAGGAGTTATGAAGGCTTCCCCGACTCGCACTATTTCAAATAAGAAAAAAAACGGCGGCCATTTTTTTAAAGATGGCCGCCAAACTGACATTTGGCAAAGTGACCCGGAAGTCCATCAACCAATTTTGGACACTTTAGACCTAAGGCTAACTGAAAATCATAGTTAAACCAATTCATCAAATTGGTAATGAATATCTGCCTGTCACATGGACTATTAGGGTATAAAGAAAGACGATCACTTAAGAATTGCTGCTTGTAGGCGACACACAGACACACACATAGACTGGGGCGACAGCAATATAATATACGTCCACATTTGTATACAAATAAATTGCATTTATTAAAAGCAGATCAAGTAAGGGATCATATATAAGTCCATGTCCTTGGTTATCACATTCAAACACATTTACAGGTCTAATAAACGTTTACAGTATGAACTGAACAGAAAAATATATACACACAACGCAACTGCTAGGGTGTGCCACAGAGACAAATTTAAGCTTGAATAAAAGTTCAGCAGTAGGTGCATTGACCTATAAATAACCAAGCAGATGATGTTGTCTTCACATCTATCAAATAATGGTTATGGAATACAACAAATAATGGGTGACATTCTGACCAGGCTTCTCTTGTCTTTAAAATCGAAACAGTAATTGTATTTCATAGAATTAGGTCCTGTGTATTCATGGGTCTATATTAAGCACTGTTACTTATCTGTATTTGTCATTATTTTGGGCATTTATTAAACATGGATTAAATAAGGAATCATATAAGTCCATACCCTTGACTACCACATTCTAAAGCAATCATTAGATTCTTTTTCAATACTTGTTTACTTTCATAATTCGGTAACTTCAATAAATTGATACTGAAAAATTGGTATAAAAATATTTAATATTTAAAGTTTCAATTGTATAGATATAGACATGCATCATTGTGTTTAAAAAAAAGTACTTACCATTAATTTCTGCATCATAAATTCATGGCAAAGAAACTGCAGTCAGTTGAGAATAATATACAACACCTACCACAAAACTTTATTATCAGGTATGTAAATGCCTCAAATGAGAAGCATACCCTGCCTAATACATGACACCTGTCACTACTAATTAGAGTGATGGATTGAACATTGAGTTCAGTAGCAGAAGCTAGAAGATAACCTCAAGGGCAAAATCAACAAGCCAACAGTGAGGCTGATGTGCCCCGCCGAAATCCCCAAATAAATAGATGACACATATTAATTAATCGCACATTTATTTTTTTCAAAAGTATCGAGCAATCAAACTGATTATCAACTATACACTAAGTTTCATCACTCTCTATCAGATAGAATCAAAGTTATCTTGTCCCAAAGCATCGACCAAGGAAATTGCTTATCTCTGCTTAGCTTTAGCTCGATATGTTAATCATTGAATTCGGTCAAAACGAACATCAACATCAAGTTAGAAGCAGAGTTGTTATGTTCCAAAGTCTTGACCAATCAAAATGCTTATTGCTCCTTAGCCTAAGCAGACAATTCTCATCATCGAACTTAGGCAAGGTATTGATGTAATGAAACTATACACCAAGTTTCATCACTCTCACTTAATTAGAACTAAAGTTATCATGCCCCAAAGCATCAACCAATCAAATTGCTTATCTCTACTTACCATAAGCAGAAAATGCTCATCTTCGCACTCTATCAAGGCATTGACCTCATAAACACCTACACCAAGTTTGAACATTCTAGCTCAATTAGAAGGAGAGTTATTGTGTTCCAAAGTCTTGGCCAATCAAATTGCTTATCGTTCTGCTTACCCTCAGCAGAAAATGCTCAATATCGAACTTAGTCAAGGTATTGATGTAATGAAACTATACACCAAGTTTCATCACTTTCGCTTAATTGGAACTAAAGTTATCGTGTCCCAAAGCATCAACCAATCAAATTGCTTATCTCTACTTACCCTAAGCAGAAAATACTCACCTTCATACTCCATCAAGGCATTAACCTAATAAACACTAAGCCAAGTTTGAACATTTTACCTCAATTAGAAGGAGAGTTATTGTGTTCCAAAGTCTCGGCCAATCAAATTGCTTATCGCTCTGCTTACCCTGAGCAGAAAATGCTCATTATCGAACTTAGTCAAGGTATTGATGTAATGAAACTATACACCAAGTTTCATCACTCTCACTTAATTAGAACTAAAGTTATCGTGTCCCAAAGCATCAACCAATCATATCGCTTATCTCTGCTTACCCTAAGCAGAAAATGCTCATCTTTGAACTCCATCAAGGCATTGACCTAATAAACACCTACACCAAGTTTGAACATTCTAGGTCAATTAGAAGGAGAGTTATTGTGTCCCAAAAAGTGTGACGGACAGACGGACGGACAGACAGACAGACAGACAGACAGACCCATTTTAATAGTCCCCTGCTTTCTTCGAAAGGCGGGGGACAACTAGTTTTAATACAATAACACAGATTTGAAGAATTACGGTTTAGCCATCATATCAGCTATATGTCAGCTTTTCACATGAGAAGTGATATACATTAAGAAAAACAAGAAAAAGACCATACCATGTACTGGCTGTAGGCAATAGTATTTCAGTAGTAGCAGCAACATAGCTAATAGTAAATGATTGAGTTACATCACCACTACCAAGATTAGCAAATCCACCATAGGGTACTCTCGAACTAAAAAATTTTGTAAAAGAATCATAGTACAGAGACACGATTTAGAGGTAGAGAAATCAAATTTCAATATAGATTGAAGCACTGTATGGAGATAAACAATTCAAAAAATATCAAACATTTATCTTAATCTTATTGCATTGAATGTTGGCTTGGATTATAATCAGAAGTGTAGGTAATGTGAGTGATATTTCTTTGTCCTCTATTTGATTAAGGATATATGTGTACTCAGGTAACCTAATAACAGACCTATTCACACCATCTCAATTATCTATACCATCAACTTCCATTTTGTTTATGAGCATTAACAACTTAATACACTTTCCGTTTAAGCCTTGCAGGCACCACCACCTGGATTTAGTGAAGGCTAGGCATGAAAAATCATTATGGTTCCTTGAGCCTAGGATATTCCAATCGACTGTCCAGTTCCCTGACTATGTAAATATTATATTATGAGTAAAATGAAATGGGGTTTAACGTCCTACTGTTCTGCTCCGACTGGGTTAATGAAGACGGGCAAGGCCTTACAGTGTGCTATGAGGGAAATTTTGCCGCCCAGCGGCGCTACGGCTTACTCTTCTATCGAATTCCAACTGCCAAGGTATCTTTTATGTGCACTCCAATGTGTACACAGGACTTTGGTTTTCCGTTCCATTCGAATGACTAGACAGCTGTCCTTGTCAACCCCTCCGTCCTGTACCACTGACAAGGACAAACCATGCAGGAAAATCCTGATGAACTTTCTTGGCCGACACCTGTGGAGCGAGCCCAAGACCTCCTGGCTATCGAGCCAGCATCTTATGAGATTATGAGATTATGAGATATTATGAGATATTTTTCTTGTAAGCATACCTTCCTGTAACAAACTGTAATAATAAAACTCTATCTTCGTGTGTCATATCACTTACAATTTGCCAAAACCACTAGAAACAAAATACATGATATTTTATTGTTTAATATGACAAGACCTCTATGATTTAGACATTAAAAACAATGTCATGTTTGGTTAAATTTACACTATATGTTATTCGACGTCATAGCTGTAATCCCCATTAAATCGGTTCACTTGAGGAACAGGGTGACACTTCACAAGCAGCACATTCGGGAAAAGAACAGTGACGAATACCCCTTACATAGTTAGCCCTTGGATGATTGTGCCAAGGGACAATTTACCATTTTTATGTTTCATAAAATGACATTGAATAACAAATTATTATTGAGATTAAAAGACCGATATTTCCTTGATAAATTTAAACATACATTATGCAAGATCTAAATCTGACTATTGCAGGTCTTTCTTTAGGCCTGAAATGTTATCTAAATTATTAATTAGACATTAATTAACTTATCCAGACCACAATCGACTCTCGATGTTGTCGCTAGCCTGCGATATTTACTTAACGCTCATTGATGATTAAATAAAAAAATGGATAATCGAGACTATGTTTTTTATTATCGTACTGACTTTCGTTATGATGATTGAGGAAGGACCTAAAATTCAATCACTAAATTCTCGGTTCAGAGTGGATCAATTTGACTGAAATTTTCAGCAAATTCCCTTTACATGATCTAGTTTTTAACTAGTATAGTGAGAACTGCCAGCTCTTTATCTAATCTCCAATAATGTTTCTTTAAGCCCAAATCATTGTTGTGTTAACACAATATCTCCATTATCATGTTTTTTGACTGTTTTGAGAATCTTGGTGAAACATGTTGGCAGTTTAAACTCATTTTGTTTAAACATGTATTTTTATAAACTTTTTATCATATATCTGTATAAGGGATTGTCACAGACAGGCTCTTATGAAATATAATTTGTATCATCATAATGACATACGTATATATACACTTATATATTTCATAAGTAAGACGAGAGGAATGACAATGAACCTTATATCTCTATCTGTCATAATCCAAGAACATGATCCAATAAAACTAGAACGAAAAAATGTGTTGTTTAGGGGTCATTTTTTAAGTCCTGTCTGACAATGTTATGAGGTATAGACTATGAAACTAGGTATCACTATTGTTATAATAATAGTAACAATGGTAATATGATATAACTATTTCTATACATGTCCATCTTATAAATCTTGCATTCTATATTGTTTTTAAAGAGATTATGACAAAAATATTTAGCTTGATTGAAGGCACAAAACCTGATTAATTTCAATCAAATAACCTGCTGAAACTTGTTGAAAGATGTTGATTTGATGAGTGTGTCTCCATTAATTCGAGAATCTTCAATCAATCCCTCCCTTTGTTTTTACCTGTATTAAAGGTGTATCTTCTGTAAAACCAGTATACACAGTATTTTTTCTCCAATCATCTAAATCTATTTCTGGTGAACCAGATAACAATATTTCCTGCACATATAAAATACACTTATTTATTACATAATACTTATTTATAACACATACCAGTACTTTATTTATTATGCATGAAATATACTTATTACACATATAAAATATACTTATTATACATATAATAAATACTTATTATATACATATTACTTATTTATTACATGATAAAATAGTTATTATATTTATTTATTTATTACATATAAAATATGTTTATTTATTACATATAAAATATGTTTATTTATTACATATAAAATATGTTTATTTATTACATATAAAATACAATTATTATATGCATATTACATGTAAAATATAATTATTATATTCTGCATATAAAATATGCTTATTCATTACAAAGTTAGAAATTAATGCATAGCGATTGCCATGCAAGTTACCGCTACATTTTGCGCCCAGTTAAGGAGTAAATTTACTCCCAGTCATTGAGTAAATTTGCTGATTCATGACATATAAATATAAATATTTCAATGCTGATTGAGTTTGGTTCTGGTATTGATATCTGTTCAACATAAGTTCTTTAAAAATATCTGACATAACAGTGTTATTATTGTTGAATTTAAAATAATAAGGTTAAAAACAGTATTTTAAAATTTCCCTGGTTGCTTTATTGTGGTAAAAGTGTAAACCCAAATTACTAAACAAACACAGATGAACAGAAATTTACTTGTGATATTTTAACAGGATGAAATAGAACAAATTTTGCTCTAGCCTAAAGTTTTCATCTGTTGCATAGCATTTGTTCATAAGTTGTTGACTTTGATCACTTATTACCCCATTTAAACTACTGAAGAGCTTTGTCATTGTGGGCGTATATTTCATTGCCTAGTAAGCAATCTTTATCTTCCTTACATCTAGCTTACATAAGTTCATATGTTAAAGTGGCATTAGGTAAGATTAGATAAAGAGCTGACAGTTCTCGCTATAACAGTCCAAAAATAGATAATAAAAAGAGAATATTCTGAAAATTTCAGTCAAATTACTTCAATCTCAGCCTAGATAATGGCGATACAATTTTAGTCTAGCCCGATTGTCATTACTACCGTTATTATGATAATAAATAGAGTCTCGATTATCCATTTTTACGGTAACCGCATTGACCACAAAACCTATTTAAGTCTACTTATATTGCAGCCATTCAATGGCATCGAGAGTTGATTATGGAGAGAGAGAGAGAGAGAGAGAGAGAGAGAGAGAGACTAGGTCATTTCGGGACTAACATATGGTTCAATTTTATTTCCATAATTCGCTTGCGCGTAAGGGTCTTTAGCAGTGGGAGGAAACCCCCCAGTTGATTATGGTCTTGTTAAGTTAATTAATGTCTAATTAATAATTTATTATCAATTTCAGGCCTAAAGAAAGCCCTGCAATAGGCAGATTTAGCTCTTGCATAATGTATGTTTAAATTAGGCTCACGACACAATTTAAGCTCACTAAGTAACTGTCTAATTAATAATTTATTATCAATTTCAGGCCTAAAGAAAGCCCTGCAATAGGCAGATTTAGCTCTTGCATAATGTATGTTTAAATTGGGCTCGCGATACATTTTCAGCTCACTAAGTATGCTGTTCAGACACTTATTTTCAATCCAGTTCAAAATCGTCGGGGCTTTTAAGACAGGGTCATTTTAAATTAAAACGTACTATAAGTCAATCCAGTTTAAATATTCTGACCTCTTCGATCGGTGGTTAGAGTTAACTACGCATGGGTAGCTTCATATTCTTTATTCGGTTCTCGCACGCCTTCGATAACACTGGCACTGCATGGCCTTGCCAATTTCCCAGGAATGTCACTTACTATGTACTGCGCAAGTCCAAAGCGAGCTGGAGCCAGGGTCTTTAAGTCAATTCATTTAGACGGCCAAGATGAACGAGTTTAAAGCCTTCTCGAAGACAGGTCGTGAGCTGGGGTTTTTAAACTGGTTTATTTGCCCCCATTTGCGTTCAGACGACTAAGTTAAACTGGTTTAACGATACCTGGGGTTTTTAAACCAGTTCAATTTAAGCATCTGAATGGACTATTAATAAACATTTTATTTTTAAAGCACAAATAACGTATTTTTCTCCAAAGTTGTGTCTATCGTGTAGAATTACCTCCAGTCTATTGAAATACATTTCAATATTATATACTTATTTGATTAGTTTATTGAAATGAAATGAAATGGGGTTTAACGTCCTACGGTTCTGCTCCTATATTGGGCTAATGAAGACGGGCATACGCCATATGCCAAGGGATCTTTTACATGCATTCCAATGTATACACAGGACCTCGGTTTTTCGTGTCATCCAAAGGACTAGACAGCTGTCCTTGTCAGGCCCTCCGGCCTGCATCACTGACAAGGGGGAACCATGCCGGAAAAGCTGGATGAACTTTCTTGAGCCAGCGTCTTACCCACTTAGCCATGTGATCCCCGATTAGTTTATCACTTTCATTCTTGGCGAAATTATAAATAAAGATATAACCTGCTGATTCTAGCCAGTGTACTAACCAATCAACAGAATAATTTCAATGGGGTCTAGACAGTAAATCCCACTGCTAAGCAAAAGGTACAGTCCTTACCATGGTAACAAACATTAAACGCAAAGTACAATTAACACGCTAACAGTGAGGCTGATGTCCCCCGCCGAAATCCCAAAATAAATAGATGACACATACTAATTAATCGCACATTTATCTTTTTCAAAAGTATCAAGCAATTAAACTGATTACCAACTATACACTAAGTTTCATCACTCTCTATCAGATAGAATCAAAGTTATCTTGTCTCAAAGCATTGACCAATGAAATTGCTTAGCTCTGCTTAGCTTTAGCTTGAAATGTTAATCATTGAACTCAGTCAAGACATTCACCAAATGAACATCTACATCAAGTTTAAACATTCTACCTCAATTAAAAGCAGGGTTGTTATGTTCCAAAGTCTTGACCAATCAAATTGCTTATCGCTCCTTAGCCTAAGCAGAAAATTCTCATCATCGAACTTAGTAAAGGTAATGATATGATGAATCTATGCTCTAAGTTTCATCACTCTCACTTAATTATAACTAAAGTTATCATGCCCCAAAGCATCAACCAATCAGATTGTTTATCTCTGCTTACCGTAAGCAATGTTTATCACCGAACTCCATCAAGGCATTCACCTAATGAACGCCTACACCAAGTTTGAACATTCTACCTCAATTAGAAGGTGAGTTATTGTGTTCCAAATTCTTAATGCTCTGCTTACCCTGAGCAGAAAATGCTCATTAATGAACTTAGTCAAGGTATTGATGTGATAAAACTATACACCAAGTTTCATCACTCTCACTTAATTAGAACTAAAGTTATCGTGACCCAAAGTATCAACCAATCAAATTACTTATCTCTGCTTACCCTAAGCAGAAAATGCTCATCTTCGAACTCCATCAAGACATTGACCTAATAAACACCTACGTCCTACACCAAGTTTGAACATTCTAGCTCAACTAGAAGGAGAGTTATTGTGTCCCAAGAAGTGTGACGGAGAGACAGACGGCGGACAGACAGACTAACCCATTTTAAGAGTCCCCTGCTTTCTTCGAAAGGCGGGGGACGATAATATAGCCTTGTAACTACTTGTTTGAACAAACCCTGTTTATCTCAATCCTTTATCTAGTACCAGCATAAGTGATAAAAACCGTAACCTATAATCACTTACTTTATTGTATACTATTAAACAATAATTACTGCATTATTATTAAGTATATGTTTATATACCATACTCTACTGACTTCTTTCTGAATATTAAAGCTGTACTGGCTTTCAATAATTTTTATGAAAGTAATATGAGATGTACAACATACTTGTTAGAGTTTATTCTTCATAAAAGAAGACCAATTATTTATTGTATCAGGACTGTAAATAAAATATATTTTTTTTGTTGATCTTTTGACCAAGCAGTAAATCATTTTGACAAGTGTTAAATTGATAAAATTATCAAAATTTTATTTCATATTATACAAAATGCACAAGGGTAATGACAATATGTATATACATCTACATGCAGTCATATAAAAAGAAAATGCATCAAATCACTCTGTGTAAGCCTATTTATTTTTTTGTACCTAGTTTATACACTAATGAAAATCACACTTATCAAGTACTAGCAGGATACCCGGCTTCGCTCGGGGGTCATAACTCCGAAACCGGAAGTGGTAGACTAACGCCACCTGGCCTATGTTACTCCCCGGTCCGAGCTACCCCTATACCCCAAATTTCAGACTCGGGGCAGACCTAGTGTAGCCGCCAACCCCGAACAGACAGACTTCGCTCGGGGGTCATAACTCCGAAACCGGAAGTGGTAGACTAACGCCACCTGGCCTATGTTACTCCCCGGTCGGAGCTACCCCTATACCCCAAATTTTAGAGTCGGGGCAGACCATGTGTAGCCGCCATCCCCGAACAGACCGGCTTCGCTCGGGGGTCATAACTCCGAAACTGGAAGTGGTAGACTAATGCCACCTGGCCTATGTTACTCCCCGGTCCGAGCTACCCCTATACCCCAAATTTCAGACTCGGGGCAGATGTAGCCGCCAACCCCGAACAGACAGACTTCGCTCGGGGGTCATAACTCCGAAACCGGAAGTGGTAGACTAACGCCATCCGGCCTATGTTATTCCCCGGTCCGAGCTACCCCTATACCCCAAGTTTCAGACTCGGGGCAGATGTAGCCGCCAACCCCGAACAGACAGACTTCGCTCGGGGGTCATAACTCCGAAACCGGAAGTGGTAGACTAACGCCACCTGGCCTATGTTATTCCCCGGTCCGAGCTGCCCCTATACCCCAAGTTTCAGACTCGGGGCTGACCTAGTGTAGCCGCCAACCCCGAACAGACCGGCTTCACTCGAGGGTCATAACTCCGAAACCGGAAGTGGTAGACTAACGCCACCTGGCCTATGTTATTCCCCGGTCCGAGATACCCCTATACCCCAAATTTCAGACTCGGGGCAGACCTAGTGTAGCCGCCAACCCCGAACAGACAGACAGACAGACAGACAAACGACAGTCACAAATATATATATAGATTAAATATCTATATCTGTATGTATATTGTTTATATAACATAGTTTATCTTGGTATGTATGTATGTTTGTTTCTTATTTATTTTCTAAATTAAAAAATGATAGGTTGCCAGGCATCGAAACACAGCAGTTTAGTTGTTTGAACAAGGCAAAATTTTTATATATAGACTATAGCTGAAATTCAATATGATTCTTTGTTTCACTAATTCAAATAATGAAAAGAAATTTTATACAAATCAGAACTCTAAAAGTATTTAAAAGAAATTGTTAAAATTCAATAGGATTCTTTGTCTCACTAAAGTAAACTACACATATAAATGTAGTTTGCAGAGTTTTCACAAGAAATTGTAGGCGACAGCGAGAACCCCTGTACATGGGATTGATTGAAACCAAACTTAATTGAATCAATGACAGAACATGCTTAAGATATGAAGTGAAATGAGGTTTAAAGTCTAACTGTTCTGCTCCGACTGGGCTAATTAAGACAGGCATACGCCATACAGTGTGCTATGAGGGACATTTTGCCTGGACAGCAGCACTAAGGCCTACTCTTAAATCGAATTTCAGCTGCCAAGGGATCTTTTCGTGCATGCCAATGAGTACACAGGGCCTCGGTTTTTCATCCCACCTGAATGACTGGACAGCTAATCTTGTCAGGCCCTCCATCCGGCACCAATGACAAAGTGAAACCACACCAGAAAATCTACATGCACTTTCTCGGCCAACATCCAGATCGAACCCGTGACCTCCAGGCTAGGGAGCCAGCATTTTATTCACTGAGCCACCGTGGCTCCCCAGAACATGCTTAAGATAACATGATCACCCAACTAAAACGAATAAACTGAAGTCACACCAATCTGATTTTCAGGTCTTAGGAATTTACCACATTTATTCTACAAAATCAAACAAGTAATAGAAAGTATAATAAAAACTATTTATTCACATTCTAACTTCTGCAGTTAGCGAAATAAGTCTGGCATATAACTAATCTATAAATAGATGTTTCTAGCCCTCCAGATCCACTTGATCTGATATGTTAATTTGTTGGCTGTGGTGTCTGTATATTGTGCCCTGTGTTTTGTGTGGTCCCCCTGAGAACTGTTTTGCTTTCATGCTATTTCTTCCAAACCACATCTTTTATTCAATTCTTTTTTCCACAAGAGAGCCATGGTGGCTCAGTGAGTAAGAGTAACCTGGAGGTCCCAGTTTCGATCCCATTGTTGGTTGAGAAAGTTCTCCTTGTCAGAGGCGCAGGACAGATGGCCGTGAGAGGAACAGACTCTTTAGTCAGATGGATGCTAATAAAAACTGTGATCCTGTGTGCAGATTGGCATGCACGTTAAGGACCCTTGCCAGTTGGAATTCTAAATAAGAATATTATGCTGTAGCTGAGCTGTCCTGTCAAAATGTCCCTTATAGCACACTGCATCATATATACCTGTCTTCATTAGCCCGGATGGAGCAGAAAAGTAGGACGTTAAATTCAATTTCATTTCTTTTTTCCATAGACATTAAAACAAACATACCAGTTCATATTCATTGAATAACTGTACTAGACCATACGGTATGTAGTCATGGAAACCAGACAGAAAACTGTCAATCTGAGGTTTAATAGCTCTGGTCATTCGTAACTCTGTTACCAGTTGCACATACTGTTTCTGTAACATTGAAATAAACATTGAAAAAATAATGAGAAAATAAAAGTTATTAAACAATTCTTCAGTTTAAAAACAAAAAACATTTTTTAAATTTCCATTGTGCATCTCACATCTTTACTTACTGAGTGAGAACTTTAGCACTAAGCATTGGACTACTATGACACAACAGTAATAAGGTTTATAGGACAATATCACAGAATTCATAAATATTTTATTCATTTATGAATATGATAAGACAATTGATCTTTGCAATAATTTTCAGTTTGAATGAAGGCAATTTATACAACAGGGTTTTCTTTTTGAAAAAATTTACATGTTTTTGTAATTCTTATTTCATGGTTTCTCCCTATATTTTGAAGGTCATCTCCATATATTGAGAGTCCCCAGGTTGGCAAGTCTGGTCAGGACTGGTAAAAACGATAAAAATAAGATTATTCTTCAACGATTTTAATGAAAAACAGAATTCAATCTTTTACCTTATTTGATTCTGTTACACTAATATCTTTACCACCAGACAATAATTCTACTTCCTGCATCACACCAAACACGTCTGTTTCCATGGAAAATGAGAGATCTAAACCTAGTTCATCAATATTATGATCCAATATCCACTGAAAACCAGGAATTGAAGAAAGTAAACTATTTTAGTGGAATGGTTATAGATTAAATGGTTATGGAAGTTCTAACTATAATAGTTAAACACTAGATGATGTAAAGGGAATATGCTGAAAACTTCAGTCAAAAACCTTATTTTAAAATCTTTGCAGACTAGATTATCATTGTTAGGGCTGTCACAATGATTAATAGAGTCTCGATTATCCATTTTTGTATTTAATAATCATCCAAGGATATTGACCAGCAGATCGGATTCAAATCCAATGAAAATCTGACATATAAGATGGCATCGAGAGTTGATTATGGTCTTTTCATGTCTAATGTCTAATTAATAGTTCATAACATTTCAGGCCTAGTCAACATTAATAAATAGATGACACTCATTAATTAATTGCACATTTAGTTTTTTTTATTAAACACTGCGCAATCAAATGATTTATCACTTTGCTTTACTAAACAGAAAATACTCATCACTGACATTAGTGAAGGTATATTGATGTAATGAAACTACACACCTAATTTCATCACTTTCACTCAATAAGAATCAAAGTTATCATGTTTGAACAAATGGGGTGCAACGCATATAATAATGTATTATGAATGTATATAAACTGATCTACATTCAGTGGTTTCTGTTTTTACTGTCATTTCTAAGCAGTTATGTTCGGCAAAAATCTGCAAAGGGTCCGAATTGAATGACAGTCCTTGGCGTCTGGGTATCAGTCTACACCAGTAGTATTCTCCTGTGGTTTATGTTTAGCCTCGTTCATCAAGTCGCTTCATTACAAATGGTGCTCGAACGCATTCTGGCACGCGATTCATATGCCAATAATTTTGATTTTGTCTTAAATATTGGATATCAGAAGCCAATCTTTTCACAGTAAGATCACAACACCAATGTTGATTTAAATTGACCAATAAGTCGTGTTTGCAAAGTTGAAGACTGTGGATGATATTAAGTTAGCGACTTGGCTCCTTTAATTACAATAAAAGTCTTTCAAATCATTAATAAAAAAATTTGTTAACTCGTCCAATGAACTAAGTTTGAACATTCTAGCTCAATTTGAAACAAAAAGTTTAAAGCGTTGACCAATTGAAGCAGAAGATGCTCAACATCAAACTCTTTAAAAGGTGGGGGATAAGACAATATGTAGGACACAGTATGATCTGGGCTGTTTTGTCTATAACCCTTATAAACATTTTTCAGTTTGCAGATCTTCAGAAATCTTTTAATGGACCTATTTTTAATCTGATTGAAGAATGCAAACCGTTGATATTCTATTATAGTTTTCTTAAATAAACATCAAGAAATCAATTGTGAATGATCTTTGAGAAGAAGTAAGATTATATTTGTACCTGTAAGTTTTTGGCATATTCTGGGTCTATAGATGCTACATCAGTATAATTTACACGGATACCTGGAATCAAAGAAACCATTACTTGTAATTTATATATGAATTCTTTACAGAAAGTAACACAAAACTAGGACATTATACACTGTTGAAGTACTTCAAGAGTAACAACCCATGAAATAATTATCAGAAATAACATTTATCATATTGAAAACACATAACTTTAGCCTCTGGCATCAAAAAGACAATAGAACTAGAAGTCAATAGAAAGAAATGGGAAATTAGATGGCCATAACTTATGTTAAACCCTAGTCACACTATAGACGGTATAAGCCGGAATGCCATTGGAATGAAAATTCTTTGTATATTTCTGGATATTTGTAGTACATTCTAAACATTCCAAATATTCGGGTCCAAATCTTTCCATGTGCACTACTTGAAGTGGAGAAATATTGAACGGCATTCGAAGTGTATTCTAAATGCACTCTGACTGCATTCTAAATATTCTTACAGCATTCCAACAGCATTTGAAAGATTCTGATCCCATTCGAGGGAGAATTGAAACACTATGTCACATCAAATCCAGCCAGAATGTCCAGAGTGCGCCACGAATGAGCTGAAATGCACCTTGGACATCTGAACCACATTCAGTGGCAAGTCCAGGAACGTTATAACTGCATACGAGGCACTTTCCAACCGGACTTTGAGTGGTATTTGGGCATCAATTGAACCACTCTCGTACAGCATTCAAAGTGCATTCTAAAAATTACGAATGCGTTCTAAATATTCCTATTGTGTTCCAACTACATTTGAGAGCTTATACACCCAGAATATGCAAGAATCATTTGAGGCGGGTCGAAACTCATTGTAAGTATTTGAATGGCATTCTTACAACGCTGTAAGAATTATGGTCAATTTTAAGAATTCTTCATTCCGACTGGTTCTGCTTGATTGCTGCCGATTCCGGATAAGTGTGACAGGGCCTTTAGGATTGACTTAACCGAATAATTATTGGACAAATATGCTTTTTGATATAACAACTTTTTAATGTCTATTGTCTAAAAATCTACATTAGTTTTTTTTTTACTTTAGTCTGACATATTGCATCTTTAATTATTTGTAAACAAGAGAGAGAAAGAAATGAGGTTTAACGTCCACTCAACACAAACCAGGTCACCTCGGGACCAACACAAGGTTCAATTTTATTTCAATAATTCGCTTGCGCGTAGGGGTCTTTAGCAGTGAGAGGAAACCGGAGGAACCAGAGAAAACCCACGAGCTTGGACAGCTGACCCTACTCCTTGTCACATACAACCAGGGAATCGAAACCAATGACAGACCTTATGATACAGCACACACATGCTAACCATTCGGCCATTAAAGGGACAATAACACTCTGCTGGCTTGACAGCTCCAGAAAATAAACCAGCGGCTGCCAGGCAGGATACGCCCACATTTTCGAAAGATGGATAGAGAACAAGCTAACAAGAAAGTGATTTTCCCTACTATCAAGGGCCATAATTCAGGAAATTACAATTCAATATGAGCGAATATCGAAAGGAATTGAGATCTTTGTGTTATAAACTTACATTTCAAGTTTCAACAAAATCGGATAAAAATTGTGACGTCTATTGGGTCCACGACCTTGATATACCATATTTTTACGCTATTTGAGAACAAACGGCGGCCATTTTGTCTGTCAATTTTGGGCCTATTTTCACAAAATTCGAACTCAGCCATCCTTAGGGTGTAACGGTGATATAATAATATGTTTTTTTTTAAATCGGATAAAAATTATGACCTCTATAGGGTCCACAAGCTAAAAATGCGATTTTCGTACAATCAGGGGTCATAATTCAGGAAGTTACGGTCCGATACGTGCGAATATCGAAAGGAACCAAGATCTTTGGGTTATAAACTTACATTTCAAGTTTCAACAAAATCGGATAAAAATTGTGACCTCTATAGGGTCCACAACCTTGATATAACATATTCTTATGCTATTCCAGAACGAACGGCGGCCATTTTTTCTGTCAATTTTGGGCCGATTTTCACGAAATTTAAACTCAGTCGTCCTTAGGGTGTAACGGTGATATAATAATACGGTTTTTTAAATCGGATAAAAATTATGACCTCTATAGGGTCCACAAGCTAAAAATGCGACTTTTCGTACAATCAGGGGCCATAATTCAGGAAATTACGGTCCGATATGCGCGAATATCGAAAGGAACCGAGATCTTTGGGTTATAGACTTACATTTCAAGTTTCAACAAAATCGGATAAAAATTGTGACCTCTATAGGGTCCACAACCTTGATATACCATTTTCTTACGCTATTTGAGAACGAACAGCGGCCATTTTGTTTGTCAATTTTGGGCCGATTTTCACGAAATTCGAATTCAGTCGTCCCTAGGGTGTAACGGTGATATAATAATACGTTTTTTTAAATCGGGTAAAAATTATGACTTCTATAGGGTCCACAAGCTAAAAACGTGATTTTTCGTACAATCAGGGGTCATAATTCAGGAAGTTACTGTCCGATATGCGCAAATATCGAAAGGAACTGAGATCTTTGGGTTATAATTTATAACTTATAAACTTAAATTCCAAGTTTCAACAAAATCGGATAAAAATTGTGACCCCTATAGGGTCCACAACCTTGATATACCATATTCTTACGCTATTTGGGAACGAATGGCAGCCATTTTGTCTGTCAATTTTGGGCCGATTTTCATGAAATTCGAACTCAGTCATCCTTAGGGTGTAACGGTGATATAATAGAAGGTTTTTTTAAATCGGATAAAAATTATGACTTCTATAGGGTCCACAAGCTAAAAACGTGATTTTTCGTACAATCAGGGGCCATAATTCAGGAAGTTATGATCCGATATGCACGAATATCGAAAGGAACCGAGATCTTTGGGTTATAAACTTACATTTCAAGTTTCAACAAAATCGGATAAAAATTGTGACCCCTATAGGGTCCACAACTTTGATATACCATATTCTTACGATATTTGGGAACGAACGGCGGCCATTTTGTCTGTCAATTTTGGGCCAATTTTCACGAAATTCGAACTCAGTCATCCTTAGGGTGTAACGGTGATATAATAGAACGTTTTTTTAAATCGGATAAAAATTATGACTTCTATAGGGTCCACAAGCTAAAAACGTGATTTTTCGAACAATCAGGGGCCATAATTCAGGAAGTTACTGTCCGATATGTGCAAATATCGACAGGAACTGAGATCTTTGGGTTATAAACTTACATTTCAAGTTTCAACAAAATCGGATAAAAATTGTGACCTCTATAGGGTCCACAAGCTAAAAACGTGATTTTTCTTACAAACAGGGGCCATAATCCATGAAGTTTCGATCCGATACATGCCAATATCGAAAGCAGCCAAGATCTTTTGGGGATAAACCTATATTTCAAGTTTCGTTGAAATCGGATAAGAATTGTGACATGTAGAGAGTCCACAAACAATTGTGGACGGACGGACGGACAGGGGCGACGGCATAATACGTCCACATGAAAATGTGGGCGTATAAAAATTGTGACCTGTATAGGGTCCACAAGCTAAAAACGTGATTTTTCGTACAAACAGGGGCCATAATCCATGAAGTTTCGATGCGATACATGCCAATATCGAAAGCAGCCGAGATCTTTTGGAGATAAACCTATATTTCAAGTTTCGTCAAAATCGGATAAGAATTGTGACCTCTAGAGTGTCCACAAACAAATTGTGGACAGACGGACGGACAGGGGCGACGGCATAATACGTCCACATGAAAATGTGGGCGTATAAAAATAGCCATATTCTAAGTACTAGATGTGTTAGTGTCCTAGTCTTCAACATATTCGTAGAATATTTTTCTGGATAATAGAGACTAATAGCCTACGTGACTCACATCACACGGCTTCATAGTAAGCACTGCCTAATAATATTATGTTAAGCAATATTTGTGCCGCGCTCGAGATCAAGGGAAAGTGCCACTGTGGATGAGAATTTCTATATGGATTCTTAAAAGACGTAAAAGATATCGTAGACAAAATGACTGTCCATTGATTTAGGGTGTTATTTACTCTTACGATATGTGACATCTATGATTAGTTTATTATAGATGATGTCGGCTCACATCAATGCGATTAAGATGCCCGACAAATGAGAAACCACGAGGTAAACAGGTGGATTAAAATTAAATCATTCTTATTGAATTGATGAATAGTCAGACAAAAGGAAAGCAATGACTTCTGTTTAAGATTAGATTGATGAATTGTCCGACAAAGGATTAAGTCAGTCAATCAAGGCAGATTAAGTAGTTAAATCAAGGTAGGTTTATACTATAGACGGTATAACACGATAAATACGTTGATCACTTAATTACCTAATAAACCCAGGTTGAGTGGTAGTTATACACTCAGTAAACTATATTAATTTCGGAATTTTGAATATTATTCACCATGTCTTGATGTCCGATTAGGCATATTCCCGGTTGGACAATTTTGGGCGTTTGGAAAAAAGATTCGGACAAGTCTGCAATATACGGGCAAAATCCCATCACTGGTCCTACCCGTTGTGTAAATTATCCATTATATCCTATTTTACTTGTCCAAAGGGTTCAAAAATATTTTTAAATCCAAGTCACATTTGAAAAGCTTTACGTCAGGCTTTTCAAATCTTTTAGTTGAATTTTTCCAATTTTTTAAATTAGGTGTGTTAAGATGAAATTTGCATCATCAATTAATTGGAATATTGTAAAATAGTACAATTTGTTGACCAGAATAAAGATTGGGACATATTATTCAGTTACAACCAGAGTGGTATTGGGTCTTTAAACCTCCCATTTGTGAACAAAGAATATATATGATAGAAATAGTAACAAACCTAGTATATGTTTATAAAACGATCGGGTGAAGTAAACATTTAAAATCATTTTATGATATAAGGCTAATCCTAGTATTTGACCAGCAAAACGAAAGTAGCTGAGGTGATCAGGATTAATTGAAGAATTACTGTTGGGTTGGAATGTACATCCTGAAAAATAATTTTCTAAAACATTATATATCAATTCAAATATCTGATGAAAATGGGAATTACTTTTTAAAACACCCCAACAAAACAAGCATCAACAGCAAAATTATCAAGTTTTGTTTCAGTTTTTCAAAATTAATATTTAATTGTACTGTCACATAAATGCTATTTCATCTATTACAGCAAGGTCAAGGAATAACAAGCCACAGTGAGGCTGATGGCTGCCACTTCCACATAGATAGATGGTTTTCATTAATTTTTTGCTTATTTATCTTTTTGTAAAGCAATAAGCCATCAAATTGCTGACCAGTTACCACTAAACCTGCGCAGAAAATGCTCATTATAAAACTTATTCAAGGTATTGATGTAATGAAACTTATACACCAAGTTTCATCACTCCGAGTCTTAGTGAACGAGTTATCGTATTACAAATCATGCTTATCACTGCTTAGCCTGAGCAAGAAATACTAATGATCAAACTCAGTCAAGACATTGAACATTTACACAAAGTTTGAATAAGAATGAATATTCTAGATTCGAAAAGCATCAACAAATCAAATAGCTTATCTCTACTTAAAAAAACATTAATTGAGTCATACCATCAGCTGATTGGGTAAACAAAGCATAATCTGGATTAAGTATTTCTCTAGATAAAACATCAAACCATTCTCTAACAACACCATGACCCTGTAAATCATTTTAATGAATCTTTTAACCTGAGATCATTAATAAACACAATACAAATTTCAATGGTGTTTTTTGTTTGTGTGGTTTTAAACAGTTATAGTTAGTTGGCATAACAGTTTGTGTCCTTCTGTTGTAAATGGGGTTACAGCAAGCAGTAATTCAGTTATTACTGGTAGTTACATTCATATTATATGTGTATTTTTCCATTACATGTATTAAAACAAATTTATTAAAAGAAAAATCCCAGTAGACCCAAGTAAAATACCCACTACAAAATAGATCGTTTAAAGATACATTATGTAAAATTTAGATAAAGAGCTAGCCAATCTTGCTATAATAGTTCAAAAATAGATAATGTAAAATGAATAAATTGAAAATTTCATTCAAATTACTCAAATGCGAGCGTAGATATTAGCCTCTGAAGGTTTGACAAGACCCATGCATTAATTGCAACCACCGTACTGGTTATTCGAAGCTAAGTCTCGCTCCTCCATTTTTAAATTAAATCAAAATATGGCTGAATCGTTCCAATCTACTGAATATTGGAGATATCCGATTGCATCGAGAGTTGATTATGGTCTGGATAAGTTAATAAAATTCTAATTAATAATTTAGATAACATTTCAAGCCTAAAGAAAAACCTGCAATAGGCAGATTTAGCTCATGCATAATGCATGTTTAAGTATGCATGTCAAACTTTAAACTGTGCAGGAGTTTGAGCTCTAAATATTGAACTATCTCGAAATTATCAGCAAAATAATTCATTAGGGTCATGTAAACTTTTTTGGGAATTTGTTCTGTGCTCTAGTGCTTCAGTGAGTGACCTGATAAACATGACTATTCGATAATGTTTGTAAACTTTGACCACAAGTAACTAAAATGCAGCAATAACCTTTAAAATTCTATTTACTTGATGTTCACAAGCCAGCTGTTGACAGGCAGACCAATGGACAGGGTGACAACATTTATATATATATATGCCCACCAGGGCCCATGCTGTCGGTCGCCAAAGTCGCAATTTGCGATAAAAATATGAAAGTGGTGATTAAAATTTGAATTTGGAGACAACGTTTTAAGGTGCTGCCGATTCTTTTTGAGAACTGGTGGAAAAAAATCTTAAAATTCTAATCGCATACATCCTAGATTGACCATTACATTGAGTGTCAATCACAATCACGTGACGGAATACTATCAATTAATCAACTTGCTGATAATCCGGATCGTGTCAATGAGTAATGCTAACCAATTATCTTGGATTAATGATTAGTTGCCAGTGATATATATGGAAGCCTATCTCAATTCAGTATTTACTCCTGATAAATAATCCAAGCTGTGATGGAAACAATCAAAATGGCAGACAATTCTTATCGAAGCGAATTAAATATTTTGATAGTTGAATTCAGTTTACTGTAACTTCATATGACATGTAAAATATACAAGCATGCCTAATCATATATTATTATCTAAAATTATTTTATCACCATTGATCGCAAATGTAAGAACGAGTTGAATAGTGATCCATTCTGGCAGAAAAAAACCCTGAAAGTCATAGTGAGCCCTGATGCCCACAATGAAATGTGGACATATGTATAAATGATCAAATGGTATGGGTTGTTACTCACCATTCCTTCCTCTCCATTAAATCTAACAGCAATGGAATGTTTCAGATCTTCAGGTTTCTTTAATAACATGATATCACAGCTGCTATTAAATATTTGTTCTGTAAAATAATAACATAATATAAATGCCATAATTATACCCCCGCCCGGTAAAAATATTTGTGTAAAGTAAGCCAAGAAAAAAACACTTTACCTCTGTTAACTGTTACAATATTTTTATCTTCTTCAGTAATATTTGTAGTAGTGTCTGTATCCTGTTTTAAATTCTCATAAAACCAGTCTTTTCTTTGTTTGAATGGCTATAAATGAATTAAAATTTGTTTCAAATGTGACATTTTTTTTTTATTTATCAAAGCCATTTGTTTGACGCATAACTACTCTCTATTTAAAGAGGCATAAGAACTGTTAACAATAAAATAAATTCAATCAATTTAATACAGAGAGAAAGTAGGTCATTTCGGGACTAACATATGGTTCAATTTAAGTTTAATAATTTGCTTGCGCATAGGGGTCGTTAGCAGTGGGAGGAAACCGGAGGACCCGGAGAAAACCCACGACGTTGGACAGGAGACCCTGCTCCTTGTCATGTACAACTGGGGAATCAAAAACCACGCCAATTGACTCAATGACAGACCATGCGATACAAAGCGTGCAAACGCTAACCATTTCGGTTCCCCCCCCACCCCATTTCATATAATATGATATTCAAAATAACCATAGATTTAGTTAATTATCAAAAATCTAAGAACTGATAGGTCAAAGCACTGTTCACCAGCGTCTGCTCAATGTTTGAACCAGCGGCTGCCAGGCAGGATACGCCCACATTTTGCAAGAGATGGATAGAGAACAAGCAAATAACAAACAGGATTTTTTGTACAATCAGGGGCAAAAATGTGCAAATATCAAAAGGGACTGAGATCTTTGAGATATAAAGATATGTTTTAAGTTTCATCAAAATCGGATAAAAATTGTGACCTCTTGAGGGTCCACAACCATCGTATTGCATACTTTTACACAATTTGTGTACAAAGAGCGGCCATTTTGTCGGGCAGTTTCATTTCGATTTTCTCGAATTCGAATTCAACCTTCATTATGGTGGAATGGTGATATATTTAAATGGTTTTTAAAATCGGAAAAAAAAATTGTGACCTCTAGAGAATCCGCGAGCAAAAAATATGCGATTTTTCGAACAATCAGGAGCCATAATCCAGGAAGTTACGTTCGGATATGCACGATTATCAAAAGGAACCAAGATCTTAGTGTGTAATTGTGATATATTTGAACGTTTTTTTTTTAAATCGGATAATAATTGTGAACTCTAGTGTGACCACAAGCTAAAAAGGCAATTTTTCATACAATCAGGGGCTATAATTCAGGAAGTTATGATCCGATACGATGGGAATATCAAAAGGAACCAAGATCTCTGGGTTATTAACATATATTTCAAGTTTCATCACAATCAAATCAAAATTGTGACCTCTAGAGGGTCCACAACCTTTTCATACCAGATGTTATACACTATTTGTGTACGAGGGGCGCCCAATTTGTCTGGCAGTTTTGGCCCGAATTTTAACGAAATTTGAACTGAACCAACATTACAGTCTAACAGTGATATGTTTAAATGTTTTTTTTAAATCGGATAATAATTGTTACCTTTAGACGAACCTCAAGCTAAAAAACATGATTTTTCGTACTATCAGGGGACATAATTCAGGAAATTACTATCCGATATGCGCGAATATCGAAAGGAACCAAGATCTGTGGGTTATAAACTTACATTTCAAGTTTCATCAAAATCAGAAGAAAATTGTGACCTCTAGAGGGTCCACAACCTTCATATACCATATTTTTTACGCTATTTGAGTACCAGGGGCGGCCATTTTGTCCATCAGTTTTGGTCAGATTTTTACGAAATTCGAACTCACCTATCCTTAGGGTGTAATGGTGATATATTCAAACATTTTTTTAAATCGCATAAAGATTATGACCGCTATAGGGTCCACAAGCTAAAAACATGATTTTTCGTACAATCAGGGGCCATAATTCAGGAAGTTATGGTCCGATATGCGCGAATATCGAAAGGAACCAGGATCTTTGGGTTATAAACTTACAATTCAAGTTTCAACAAAATCGGATAAAAATTGTGACCTCTATAGGGTCCACAAGCTAAAAACATGATTTTTCGTACAATCAGGGGCTATAATCCATGAAGTTACGGTCCGATACATTCCAATATCGATAGGAACAGAGATGTTAGAAGATAAACCTATATTTCAAGTTTCATGGAATCGGATACAAATTGTGACCTGTAGAGAGTGTCCACAAACAATTGTGGATGGACGGACGGGGGCGACGATAATATATGTCCACATGAAAATGTGGGCGTATAAAAATAAGAACTATTGGCAATGTGTACCTGTATGGCTCGTACATAATCTTAAAAAATCTATATATAAGCAAAAGACTGACGTATAAAAATGAATATTTACCTGTGAGTGAATAACAGATTGAAAATGGCACATCAGATCAGGACATTCCAACAGAAAATGAAAATGTTGAAATATGATTTGTGGGTTTCTGAATAGAAAGAAAAAGAATTTATATATATATGAAAAGAAATAAAGATTTGTATAAATAATTATCATACAGACTCAACAATGACATGCTAAATTTCATACTTGACAAAATATTTCAAATTACTTCAAAATGAGCCACAATTAGCAATTTTTTTTTAGATATAAAGATCCCAAGACCTTAAATAATAATACAAAACAGTCACCTGTTGACTAAAATCTGTAATATTGGAAGATGTTTTAAACAGAATTCCATAAATCTTGATGGACTGTAAATATAAATAAAGCCAAATATAATAAATTTACAAAGCTTCTGAAATACAAAACATTGTGGTATTTATCTATTTCAGAATTTTAAAAATCTATCTACAGTATAACAATAACAGCTATAAAAATCTATTACATTACAATATGCAAATTAATATATGGACTGAATAACTTTTTAATCTCTGGCACACACTAACTTTTTAACACCAGTCTTCTTATTAAGACTTTGCATACTTGTTCCATGTGTAAAATAACCCAGACGACACATAACAGTCCGACCGTTTGTTGTATAATAATGGAGATACAAGCAGAAAACTATTCATAGCAAACAAGAAAGTTTCCCTGACCTACATCAGTTCTTGAATAAATTATGACGTCGTACACACACATCGGTCACGTCATCCGCAGTAAACAATCATGGCTGTCTCCAGCAACAGTTTCACACTGGACCCGTGACGTTTATATATGACATCAGAGGGAATTTACTCTTAACACGTGATTATCCAGGTCTAACATCTATTGCGACTGGAACATGGCTAATTTCGTGGACTTGCATTTAGCATTGTTCACATCAAATTTGATACAAATCCATGCTGGCTAGCTGAGAAAATTCAACTTTTGTTGTCATCAGCACCCTTTATTTTCCTGCTTTTGGGCCGGCAAGTTCATAGTTGGTATATAAAATTGGTATTTTTTTGGTGATTAATATATAGTTTATCACCCCAAATAACAAAAAATGTCATATCTTATGAACTAAACTTAACAGTGCTAGCTTTAAAATGTGCATTTTAGAATACTCAACACCCTTAATGTCAAAAAGTGTTGTTTTGGTTGCCAATTTATATAAGAATAAGAGTTTATAAACACTGTATTTGAGAAATGTGGAGGTTTTTAAGATTCAATAAGTTTATAGAAGGCCATAAAATATACTGAGACACACAACAGATTTGACAGGAAGTGCTTACCAGATACATAATACAATTGGGCGGTTTTCCCTTAATAGACTGTAACATACCTGTTATTTAGACAGCAGATATAAAAAGCATGTATCACAGCGCTGATTTTAGGAAAGGCAGATCCAATCACATCTTGGTTTTTACTGGGTTCACAATCTGAAGAAATATCACCATTTTCTTTTATCCCACTACAACATGGGACATCATTGTTTGAAAGCGTGGAAGAATCGGTTGGTACTGGTATATTTGTGGTATTTGTGTCATGGTTTGAATAAGCTATTTGTGGTTTACCAGTAGAATAGGACTGAGAGATAGTTGAATCTTCACTAATTGATTCACAATTTTTATTTATCTCTGTATGAATCAAAATCAACCAATCCTCTAATAGCTGCCATAATGTATCAAACTGAAATAGTGAAATGCCTACTGTCATATATCTATAAATAAAACTAGATATTATTTTCTTCCATTAATTCAAAGAACTAAAGACATGAACATTCTAAGCCTGTAAATGTAGATCAACGGGACAAGTGACCAAAATGGAATTTATAATTGCCTTGACATTGAAAAACTGATTCTGTTCTTGACAGACTGCTCAGAAGGAAATACCTACATGTATCAGGTCATCGTCAGTTATTATGACCTGCTGCAGACAGACAATAATTAATATATTTTACCTGTTGTTTGGCCGTTTGTAGAAAACTAGAATCTAGTTCAATAACTTGAGAACTCAATAACTTATTGTAAATTCGAACACACTTCAATAGATTTTTGGAGTCAGTTTCTGACTCTGTAGAAATACTGGAAAAAAAACAAATGTGTAAAAATAATAGTATAGCACTAATTTTGATTATGTTAACAACATTAAAGATGATAAAAATTCTCATTTTCTCCAGGCCAGTGTTAAAGTTGCCACACTAACCCTTACTATCACTTGTGTGTTTAGGTCAGTGATTGTGTCAAATGTTTGTGGTTTCCTCCCCCATGTTTGTACATGACCCATAGATATATACTGAGAGCCATGGAAAATGCATCACTTAGTTTTTCGTATAACAAAATGATCCTGTAAACATATCTTATTTATTTTGCTTCTTATTGTGAACAATATTCAAATGGGAACACATCAATAACAACACATTTGTACACTTATGGATGTTTAATCTGTAATCATTGGTACAAAGTCAGAGGGGTCAAAACCAAAAGTATGACAAAAGTGTGTGTCCTCCACGGGCTCTTACGCCCGCTGTGCAGCGAAGTCGCATGGAATTTACCAATGTTTGAAAAAAGGCCTGGGGCAAATTGTTCCATTCTTGGACAAATGCAGCTTCTAAAGCAGCAATGGTGTGCATCTGTGGTCTCCGATACAGACGGCGTCCAATCTCATCTCAGACATGTTCTATCGGTGCCATGTCCGGAGACATGGCTGGCCAGTCCAAGACATTGATGTTGTTAGCAGCCAGGTAGTCCATACGGTGATGAAATGTGAAGCCTCCCCACACCATTACACTTCCCCCACCCCATCGATTCATTTAGAAGACGCAGCAGTCTGCAAGACGTTCCCCAAGACGTCTCCACACACGTTGACGGCCATCAGCGTGATAAAGATGAAAGCGACTCTCATCACTGAAGAGCACACTTTGCCAGTCTACTCTTCTCCATGTCTGGTGTCCTTGAGCCCATCCCTGAGGATAGCTCCAACATAAGGTCATCGTGCACGGAGTCCTACTTCTCTTAGACGACGTCTTACGGTGTTGGCACTTACTGGTCCTTGTCTTCCAACGACTGCTGCACCTGTTCGAGTCGCTGGGCGAAATCTCTGTCACGCAGATGAGTGACCCGGATGTAGCGGTCTTGAGTCTGGGTTGTAACACGTTATGGACCAGGACGTTGACGGTCACGTGTTGATCCAGTAACTCGAACACGTTCCACCAACCTTACAATTGAAGTGTCTGGCAATGACAATTGAAGTGTCTGGCAATAACACGTGTAGACATGCCAGCCCTGGACATTCCTATGGCTTCATTCCGTTGATTTTCAGTAAGTCTCGGCATCTCTAGCTCGATTCCTTCACACGTCCAACAACAAATTACGACAGATTGAAGTGGACTGATGACAATTGAAGTGTCTGGCAATAACACGTGTAGACATGCCAGCCCTGGACATTCCCATGGCTTCATTCCGTTGATTTTCAGTAAGTCTCGGCATCTCTAGCTCGATTCCTTCACACGTCCAACAACAAATTACGACAGATTGAAGTTTTATAGATCATGTACTGCACATTAGGTTGAAAACATGCTTTTAAAGGGCTCACACACAATGCTGCACGTGAATATTGGGGTTTTCATGTGCATCTCGTGCAATTTTTTTTTGCACACGGGCCGATATTTTTTGCATTTGGGAGCATTGTGTGAAACAATAGTTCATAGTATTGCATAATATTATACATACAAAACCACCTAGAAATAAAATATTTGGGAAAAAAAAGTGATGCGTTTTCCATTGCGCTCAGTATAGATAGACCCATACCAACAAATGACCTATTGAATAAATGCTTACCAAATGTTAGTCCCAATATGACCTGACCTAGTTGTGTTGGGTGATGTAAAACACCATTTCTATCTCTCTCAAAAATCGATCTTGAGTTTTTAACCCAGTTGATTTGTATACATTACTCCTCATATCAAGGTCTATTTAATACCACATTAACAAATGCAAGACATTTTCTGCAAATCCTGCCAACTGACTCACTAGCCAGTCAGCAATTAAAACAATAATATTCTCTCATAAATGCAAGGATTCAATTTAGGCAGGTGAAATATGCCAATGCATGACAGTACCAGAATTATCAAAGACAGACAGATACCTGAGTAAATGATGACCAATCAATGATGCCTGTTCAGCCAAACCATTCAATAGTTTATATATTACAGATGAATCTTGTGTTATCAAAAAATGTAACACTTTCAGGATCTAAAGCATAACAATAACAACAATTAACAATGTGCTTCTTTACGTGACATCTTAGTTATTGATAGGTAATAAAATGCATTATGAATAACAATTACTGCTTTATTTTACTAACAACATTTCAACCATGGTTGAAGAGGGGGGAGAGAGAGAGAGAAAAATGGGGTTTAACGTCCACTCGGCACAAACTAGGTCATTTCGGGACTAACATATGGTTTAATTTTATTTACATAATTCGCTTGCGCGTAGGGGTCTTTAGCAGTGGGAGGAAACCGGAGGACCTGGAGAAAACCCACGAAGTTGGACAGGCGACCCTACTCCTTGCCACGTACAACAGGGATTCGAAACCACACCAGTCGACTCAATGACAGACTTTATGATACAGCGCGCGCACGCTAACCATTCAGCCATCCAACCCCCCTTGAAGAGGGGAGAACCATCGGCAAAATTAATAATGTGTTGTATAATCAATAACGTATGGGTTAAAAATAATGATGCCCATTGTAATCAATGATGATAATTTCAATCAACGCTGGCCTCATAAAGCCAGTCATTGACTCTCCCTTCTAATTTCACAGTAATCTAGGGCTGGCAATCGATACTGCTTTCTATCGATATTTTGAATCTGTATCGATTATCGATCTTCAAAACGTTTAACCGACGATAATCGGCAATATCCATAGTTTCTGCCAGTACTACAGCAAACGTTTTATTTCTTCCAAAGTTCCTGCTAAATAATTACTAGTGTACATAATAAATTATTATAAAGGCTTACCATATCTTCATTTATTGACTGATCTTGAACTGTTTGTAAAAGATGTGATAATAGTCGTGGATCATGATGTAATAACAATTCACAAGTTTCACCATATCCACCCTAAAAATATATAATCAATTGAATTACAGCATATCCACCCTTACATAATATAAACAATTAAATTACAACATATCCATCCTAAAATATATAATCTCTTCAATTAAATTATACAAACACTTAAATTACAACATATCCATCCTAAAATACCGGGTATATAATTCTTAAATTACAAAATATCCACACTAAAATATACTAACTCTTAAGTTACAAAATATCCACATAAAACTCTATATTTAAGTAAGATATTGAACATCTACCTTAACACACAACTCCAGAGGTGATGTTTTATTTGGTTCTATTGTCAACAGTGCTTTTCTCTTCAACAGAATATCTACAATTTCATGTTGACCATGGCTTAGACGACAAAAGAAAACAAATGAAAAGATAAGCTGCCAGGCAAAAAAAAACATACACACACAGCAGATAACATGTCTGTGCAGTCCACAAAAACTGTTATGTGATCTATTATTTTTTAAGCTCTATGATTTATCAGAAATCATTCAAAATGAATAATAATATATTGATTGAGCTAATAATGACTTCTGTTTCGATACACAAGAGCTTCAACATTAAAATTGAGTATAAAAGTTTGATACATTTGTGTTTTTATTGTGTACTTGCTTCTTAGTTAATATTTTGAACTATACAAAAATACCTGCAGGCAAAATGAAGTGGTGTCCATCCTTTCTGGTTTGTCTTATTTATAGACGCACCCTTTTCTAACAGTGTTTGTAATGTCTGAAAAAGAAGACAAAGTGACAACAGAAGTCATTAAAATAACTATACTTTTGATTTATATTATGTATATATACAAATACTATTAATTACATATGCATACAATGTGTCAAACACTCTTACCTTGATATGTCCATTTCGACACGATACATGTAGTGCAGTTTGACCCTGAGCATCCTTAAAAGTAGAATAATCATAAAATCATTACAAAACATCTTTGGCTTTTACCAGTAGATGATATGTCCTATTAGTAGGTAAAAAAACTGTAATTAGGTGAACAGCCTTCCCAGAGTTCTCTCAGAAAGCTACTAGTTTTGTTCTATTCAAACTCTTTAGGCTTGATTAGGGACGTGCGGTTTCCCTCTATATATAGTCGGTGAGGACCGGAGAACATGTGACATCAAAAGTGGACCGGAGTCGATCTTTAACAACGGAGTCGATTATTCCAAAAAGTGTGCATATTTACATAGACTTTAGGCTCCCAACTCTTGAGTTTTATCTTTAAAATTTTTATAAACTAATGGGGGCTTTTAAAGAACTCTATTAGGTTATGGGGTTGTATGCGATAATTTATTAGTTTTCACAATGGGGGTTCCACAGCTAAATAAATTGGGAACTCGTCCCAATTTTCATTTCCTGCCTTGAGTTAGGCTAAGTATTATGCTGCTATTTCGCATACTTTGAAAAGGGGCTCATGGGAAGTCGTTCTTGAATTCTACGAAGAGTTCACGAAGTTGTTTTTGCATTTCTCGATTGAAACGTTGTAAAAATACCCAGTCTTCTTTACTGAGATTTGATTCTGCCAAATCATCCCGATTTAGTAGGGACAAATACTATGACAAATTTCAGGAGAACTTGTTTTGAATGTGCTGAATGTGTTTTCTGTGTTGAAACATGTGCTGAACAAAATGGAAGTAGAAATTGGAAGAAGACAAATGGAGCAGTAAATAGTGATAAACTAATCATGCAATTGTGAATTTCCTAAAACTATTTTTTCCAACTATGACAATCAAAAGTATCTATCCAAGATGTGAATACATATAACTGTATATACATACAATGTACAAGTGGTGACAGTTTAAAATGATGGGTAATATATGTATGCATTATGTGGTATTCAGAGTGGGAATACTCTTAAAATGAAACAATCTCTTTGTCAGTGTCCAATTTACTGCAGTAGTGCTGAGATATAATCGATATTTGTTTTCCACTGTAGCCACAATTAAAATTAAATTTTTAAAAAGAGCTGAGAAGTTTAGCTCATTTAAGAATACCTATACAACATCCAACTATTGTTGATCCAGATTTAAGTATATCATAATATTACCTCAATATCTACATCCTTTATATGTAATAACAAAGTTTGTAGTAGTTCTGCTCTACCATTGACAGCCAACCAGTGTATCTGTTATCAAAACAAACCTAAGTTAAAGCTATGTTACACTGACTTTACAGGGTTTTTAATGGATGGAAAAAAAATGGTATAATACATTTCTACACACAAGATTCTTATGTAGGCTAGAAGTATACTTAAAGTAAGACTCCAGTTATTGCAGAATCTTTACATTTTATTCATTATCTAGTATTAATGCACAAATTGATGTACAAATTATTTTACTATCATTCAATTTTCACACAGACTGCAACATTATTATGGGGACTGCCAGTCACTGTAGATAAACACAGCAGTTATGGTCAAAAAGCCTTTACTGGGATAATGAAACAGTTCTTGTCAAAAAAAACTTACAGCAGTAAGACCTTCTTTGTTTTTAATATTTATATCTGATTTATGTTCTACAAGTTTTGTCAAACATCTCTTCTGACTAAAAAATATAAAAATCTTATTTTAAATGTAAAACTTAAAAAGTTCAGAAAGTCTCAGCAGTAAAAATACTTGAAATAGTTTTAATGCATTTTTTGATAAACCAAGGATGCGGGTAGCCTTCAAATTACAAGATACAAAGGTATAGTACACCTGCATTCTGTGCATTATTGTCTGATTGTTGGGAAGCGATTGAACCAAAAGATTCTGTAAAAAAACTTCTATGAAAAATGCAAAAATTTCAAATCCGGACCTTACCCATTTCTAGCTGCTAAATGTAATGGTGTACAACCGGAAATGTCTTGTAGATTAACAGTAGCACCTTTCTTTAAAAATAAACCAAGGCAATTTACACTGTCACAACTAAAATTAAAAGCAATATATGTTAGCTTATTTTTATATACAAGTATTGGTATATGTGACAAACTCTCTCTGAATGAAAAATATATCCCTTATTTGAGATGCATTTCCAGTGTATTTGTCTTCAATAACTTATTTTAATTCAACAATGCTCAAAATGCAAAAACAAATGCTGTATTTGCGTCCTTCACTAATTTTCAATTGTTTTTTTTTCTTCTTAAAATTGATGTTACTGTGTATCCTAACTTCAAGGCCAAATATCTCAGCCATTTGCTGGGATAATTGCGCAGCCACATAACAAATTAAAAGTCTTGGAGTAAACTTAGGGAATTTAGATTTTTGTCCCTTATACATTTGTCTCATTTAGCTAGAGCGGATCACATACAAACAAAACAATTACTGTGTAAAAATGAAAATTAAGTAACATCTACCCGGTACTTCAAAGCCGTGCAAAATAATAGACAGTGAGAAAATTCAAACAATCTATAATGATACACTGTTTTTTATGGTCTGAAAGATTTTATATACTCATGAGACCAGGCTTCAGATTTATAAACCAAAACAAAAGTCAAACTCCATCAGTCTGTGGTATAAAATCATTTTCACATAATATACATACTTTGCTGCTATATGTAGTAGTGTTCTTTGTGCTCTGCCACAAGTATAGTTGACATCATAGGATGATCCATTAAGAAGATCACCAACAGATCTAAAGTTAAAATAAATCATAAATAAAATATCCATTCATGTATTTTGTTGTTTATTCTTTGAAATTCAAAGATTTTGACTTATACTATTTGATGTCATATAAATACCCTTGTTAAAATGACCTACACACACTATACCACATGGAAGTCACGTGACAGTTTCTTCCCGACATTATCTGACAGAAATGAAATTTAATGTTCTACTTTGTGCACCGACCAGGCTCATGAGGAGGGATTATCTGACAGACAAGTTTGTATTTAATCACGCTTCAACTTTCAGTTTCTCTAGGACATTGAAGGCATAAATCTCACTGCGTCATTTCGTTGTGAGTTAACAGCGCGAAAGGCAAAAGGGCAAGAAATAAACAATGTGAATCCGATAAGTCCAGTCACTAAGGATTTTCAGGCTTGACCTGCCCTGGTCAGTGGTGCAGGATAGAGGGCCCGACAAGTAATAGTGTCTAGTCATTCGGATAGGACAAAACAACGAGGTTGTGAATGCTTGAAGTTGAGCAACTTCTTAGCTTTGTATTGTTCAATTCTTGCCTGTCACACTGTGAATCAACTTCTTGGCATTGCACTAATCATTTCTTGACTGACAGATGGACATACAAAGGTGACAAAAACATGTTTCAACATAAAATGCATAGTGCATAAAAAGCATCTATTGAAAAATCTGCATAATATATGTAACATATTGTTTTTTGTAAATCTGTATGGTTCACTACGTGTACCTGTAACTATCAGAAATAACCATTGGCATCAAAAAATAGAAGGCTTCTCTATTGTCTGAAAATAAAATAAATTAAACACTGACTAATAAAAATTGATTGTCTATCATGATTAAATGTATTTGTTTTTGTTGGGGCACTGATAAATGGCTTCGACCTTGAGTAAATTATGCTAATGAAGACGGGCAAATGCCATGTAGTGAGCTAATGAAATATTGCTCTGAGTGATGACAGCAGTTTCCATCTCTCTTTATTGAATTCTAACTGCCAAGGGTTCTTTTTTGTTCCATTAGAAGCAACCGTAGCAAAGAATTTTTTTTCCGGTCCATTAGAAAGTCAAGACAGTGTTATGCATACGGTAATAATGAAGGTGAAATGAAACTGGAGCCAGAGAAAACCCATGAGGTTGGACAGCTAGGCGACCCTACTAAATTGCCACGTACCTAAGCGGGGGAATCGCTTATATTTGGGACCTAGAAATTGACACAAATCGGTCGCAACGCACATAATAATGTAATATGAATGTATATTATTTGTACATTCAATCGTCTCAATCAAATGGCAACGTCTAGCCTCTGGATATTCCAGTCTACACCGATATTGTGGAATATGCCATGGCGTACCCCTTTGACATGACGTCTATAGAAGTTCTTCCAGTCCCTTTTTACAAATGGCACGGAAACGCATTATGGTATTCGTGTACCAACCAATGGTAAAATGTTTATTTTGTCTTAAATATTGGATATCAGAAGTCCATCTTTTCCGGGTAAGATCAAATGATCAATGTTGATTTAAATTGACGGATCAGATAATTCGTGTTTTCAATGTCGAAGACTGGAGTTAGAGACTACTTTACTACAAACCTGAAGGCAATGCAACAGATCTTCCTCTCTTCATTGAGGCAGCTAGCCTCTGCAAGAATTCCATTATCTACTGATTATGTACTATTATTCAGTACATAATGAGCAACAAAATCACGATAGTTGTTTGAAGGATTTCCCATTAAAGTCTACCGTCATAATTCCTATTTATAGAACTGCAAATCGCGACGATGATTGGTTGATAAAAATAGATTTTTAGGTCCCATTCGGTTTATCCTCGTCCGGTCGATAAAATAAATAGGTCAATGAACATTATAAAACATAATATACCCGTATACACAAATCCGACTACAAAAATGCACAGTCTTGTTTTTCCTTCAATAGTCTTCAGATGGTCGAGATATATTTTTTTCATCCAAATGTTTCATGTATGTCAAGTGATTTGCCCTGTAGTGGCACCGGAGTGGTGCTTGAACGATGTTCTCCGAATAGTAAAGAGCGTCCTTATTAACGGTGTTGATATAATTTGCCACCGTTAAAAAAAAACATTCGCAATAATATGTTGTTGTGGAATGCAGTCTAAAAATCAATAATTTTATGTCATGAATGAGAATATTTTTAATACAGTAAGCATAATAAATGACAAGGAGACCGCCAGGCGTTATCAGCACAGCTCAAATAATAGTTATTCTGAAAAATACAAATCATGCAGACTGTTTTATTTGGTAGTCACATGACTGTGAGCACCGTTTTCTTAGTAAATATTTTCGAAATGGAACTTCGAATTCTGCCACATTTTCAGGAACTTTGATTTATCAGTAGTAGGAATAGTACAATACGCTGTACGAACTATTAAGCTTTATGTTAATTTACATGACCACAGACATTTCAGTCAGTAATCACTAGTCAAAAATTCAATCGTTACTAGTAAAGTACACAGGAATCTGACCTTGGCTTCTATCGTATACTAATAGTAATAGTCTAGTAATACTATTATATAATATAGGCTAGCCGATGCATACACTTGTGGGTAGAAAACAGTGTATTTTAGTTAATTGCAAATCGTCGTCTGAATCTGTATTTGTCATCTGGGGTTCCCCAAGTTTCTGTTCTTGGTCCGATTTTATTTACCCTCTATACGTCACCATTAGGAGATATTGTCAGAAAATATGGTCTCAGCTTTCATTTGTATGCTGATGATACTCAATTATATATTTCATTTACACCTAATTGTCCATCTTCTTTCAATTTATCAAAATTGCAACTTGAAAAATGTATTAGTGAAATTAGAAAATGGATGTCAAAGAACTTTCTAAAATTGAATGATGATAAAAAAAACGAATATTTGTTATTAGGCTCAAGGCATCAATTAAGTAAATCTGCACAAGATAACCCCCCTGTTGTAATTGGTAATTGTGATATATTTTCATCTTATTCTGCTCGTAATATTGGCGCTATCTTTGATAGTTTTATGCTTATGGGAGCTCAAGTAAATAATATTTGTAAATTGTGCTATTTTAATATTAGAAATATAGGTAAAATACGTAAATGTGTAACTGTAGAGGCCACTAAGTCACTTGTTAATTCTCTGGTCACTTCTCGATTAGATAACTTTAATTCACTTTTAGTTGGTTTACCTTTAAAGCTTATAGATAAATTACAAAAAGTACAGAATACTGCGGCTAGACTTGTTACTTTAACTAAGAAATGTGACCACATAACTCCTGTTTTATATAATTTACACTGGTTACCTGTTAAATATCGAATTGATTTTAAGATTTTATTACTTACTTTTAAATGTTTAAATAATTTAGCTCCTGTTTACGTCTCAGATCTTTTAGAACTTTATACACCTGGCCGAACATTACATACATCAGATAAACTACTTTTAAAGCCCAAAACTGTTCAACTAGTCTCCTATGGTCAGCGCTCTTTTAGTTATCAAGCACCTGTTTTATGGAATAATCTACCATTTAGTTTAAGATGTTGTACATCTCTGTATTCTTTTAAAAAACAACTTAAAACACATTTATTTAATCAGGCTTTTAACTGACTCTGTATACAATCGTTAACATGCCCATAATCTTGTTGTTTTTGTGTGATTTACATTGTCACTTTGTAAAGTGCCCCTGAACATGTTATATGAAAGGGTGCACTATAAATATGCTGTAATAATAATAATAATAATAATACTCGACTAGACAATATATAATAAAAAAAGAACAGGAATGCAATGCCTGCTGAAGCCTCGATTTTATCTGCTCTCGCTTTGGCTCGTTTTTTTTTCAACAATTCGTAATGTCAGGCAATCTAACCTCTGCCGATTCACTCTGATGATAGAATGATATGGTTTTTTTATATGCCCACATTTTCATGTGGACGTATATTGTCGTTGTCCCTGTTCGTCCGTCCGTCCACAATTGTTTGTGAACACTAGACTACAGTCACAATTTTTATCCGATTTCAATGAAACTTGCAATATAGGTTTATCACCCTAAGATCTCGGTTCCTTTCGATATTGGCATGCATCGGACTGTAACTTCATGGATTATGGCCCTTAATTCTACAAAAAATCACGTTTTTAGCTTGTGAACACTGTAGAGGTCACAATTTTTATCTGATTTGGTTTAAACTCAAAATGTATGTTTATAACCCACAGATCTCGATTCCTTATGATATTCGCGTATATCGGACCATAACTTCCTGAATTATGACCCCTGATTGTACGAAAAATTGCGTTTTTAGCTTGTTGATCCCATAGAGGTCACAATTTTTATCCGATTCAAAAAAAGGTGTGAATATATCACCATTAACCCTAAGAAAGGTGAGTTCGAATTTCGTAAAAATCGAACCGTTTTTTGCTTGTGGACCCCATAGACAGGTCTCTATAAAAGTTGAGTGTGCCTCCGCACACACTTGAAAATGTGCCTGCTACACAGGGATGTAGCCAGGATTTGGTGAGTGGTGTAAAATTTGGGAGGGGGGCGTGGTCTTTTATGAAAATTAAATCCTTCTTGGTGTATTTTCAGAGCATCTGCTGGCTTTTGTATTTGGTTCAGTGCAAATCAAATTTCCATTGATATATTCAAATTTTACCAAATTCACTTAATTTTCATCAATGATACAGGGATCTAAAAACTTTTTGACACCATCCAATCGAGCATAAAATTGTCCCGCCCCACTCTGTTTCTCTGGATAGATAAGTTGAGGACCTTTCGGTATTTGTTGTTTTGTTGGGTTTTTATTTAAACTAATTTGGGATGATAGGGTCTACTACGGCACACAAAAATAATTATGCTGTGACAGACATGGTTTGCGTACGTCGGCTTTTACCATGGCTTTGCCATTTAACCGCCGTGGAAAATTTTGAGCGCCAAGTTTGTGTACAGAGAAGGACGAAGGGGTTTAAATACGACTGGGCGGCTTCCTTCGATTTTTTCTTTGTGCTGGGCGGCAAAAAATAGTGCCGAACACAGGCGCCGCCCGGCGTGGCTACATCTTTGAAAATGTGCCTGCAAAAAAGTTTTTTAAAGCAAATGTGCCTGCGCACGCCGTGTGCATGTGTGCAGAAATATCGATGCCTGCCCATAGAGGTCACAATTTTTATCTGTTTTACAAAACCATTTGAACATATCACTGTTACACCCTAAGGATGGGTGAGTTCGAATTTTGTAAAAAATTGGACTGAAACTGACGGACAAAATGGACGCCCCTCGTTCACAAATAGTGTCAAAATATTGTGTATCAGGGTTGTCGATCATCTGGAGGTTACAATTTTCATCTAATTTTGATGAAATTTGAAATGCATGTTTATAACCCAAATATCTTGGTTCCTTTATATTTTCGTGCATATCGAATCATAACTTCCTGAATTATGGCCCCTGATTTTACGAAAAATCGCGTTGTTAGCTTGTGGTCCCTCTAGATGTCACAATTATTATCCGATTTAAAAAACGTTCAAATATATCACCATTACACCGTAATTTTGTTTGAGGTTGAGTTTCATGAAAATCGGACAAAAATTGCCAGACAAAATGGCCGCCCCTCGTACCTGAACAGTGTAAACATCTGGTATATCAAAGTTGTGGACCCTCTTAGAGGCCACAATTCTGATCCGATTTTGATGAAACTTGAAATGCAAGTTTATAACCCAAAGATCTTGGTTCCTTTCAATATTCGTGCATATGGAATTGTAACTTCCTGATTTATGACCTCTGGTTGTATGAAAAATCGTGTTTTTAGCTTGTGGTCCCTCTAGAGGTCACAATTATTATTCGATTTAAAAAATCCTTTGAATATATCACCATTACACCATAATGTTTGTTGATGTTGAATTTCGTGAAAATCAGGCCAAAACTGCTGGACAAAATGGCCGCCCCTCTAGAGGTCACAATTTTGATCCAATTTTGATGAAAGTTGAAATACATTTTTATATGTATCTTCCTGACTTATGGCCCTTGAATGTACAAAAAATTGCGTTTTTAGCTTGTGGTCTCTCTAGAGGTCACAATTATTATTTGATTTAAAAAAACGTTCTAATATATCACCATTACACCGTAACTTCCTGGATTTTAGCATGCAGATTTTCTAGAGGTCACAATTTTTTTTTTCAGATTTTAAAAATCGTTTAATTATATCACCATTCCACCATAATGGAGGTTGAATTCGAATTTCGGGAAAATCGAAATGAAACTGCCGTACTAAATGGCTGCACTTTGTATGCAAATTGTGTAAAAGTATGCTACGAAGGTTGTGGACCCTCTAGAGGTCACAATTTTTATCCGATTTTAATGATTTTAAAACATATCTTTATATCAGTCCCTTTTGATATTTGGGCATTTCAGACCATAACTTTCTGGATTATTGCCCCTGATTGTACAAAAAATCCTGTTTGTTTTTAGCTTGTTCTCTATCCATCTCTTGCAAAATGTGGGCGTATCCTGCCTGGCAGCCGCTGGTTTTCAATCTAGCCTTTTTGATTTGCATAAATACTCCCCACAAACGAATCATAGCCACTTGTTTTTAATATTTACATCACTTTCATTCGTTAACGTCTGTCATTGACTCGATGCGCTGGATAAGTTATTAGGCATTCAATGGCGCTGAACAAATATGCTCCGATTGTAATTGGAATATAAACCCAAGTGAAAGGACATGTACTGTGTTGTGTATTACTCAATATGGCGTTGTAACAAAAAACACCATTTTATTGACACTTATATTTGTCATAAAATAGCTGTAGGGTAGTGACGTCAGTGACTAATAGTAAACGTTAATAGCTTGGTCGACCATTTCTTGATTTAATTTTAAATGGATGACTGTTTAAATCCCAGCAGTATCCAAACCATCCGAGCTTGTCATGTAAATAAAGAGAGAGAGAAATGGGGTTTAACGTCCACTCGACACAAACTAGGTCATTTCGGGACTAATCGGGACTAACATATGGTTTAATTTTATTTACATAATTCGCTTGCGTGTAGGGGTCTTAAGCAGTGGGAGGAAACCGGAGAAAACCCACGAGGCTGGACAGGCGACCCTACTCCTTGCCACGTACAACTGGGGATTCGAAACCACGCCAGTCGACTCAATGACAGACTTTATGATACAGCGCGCGCACGCTAACCATTCAGCCATCCAACCCCCCGTGTAAATAAAGGTCTAATTATAATTAATAATCTCTATAACATCTGAAGCCTAAATAAAGACTTGCAATAGCCAGATTTAGTTCTTGCATAATGTATGTTTAATAATGAGAGCTAAAATTAACTTGCACCAATGTCATCCCTCTCAGTGATAGAATATTTACTGCTTATATATCACTCAGTTTGCTTATCTTGTACTTACATGTACCGGTACATTTAACTCTTTAACCCCTCCTCCAAATTCTGTAGGCCTACTTTAATTCTTAATCAAAATTCTACTTCTTGTCAATGTTGATGGATTATAGGTTTACAGATATATCGTTTTGTTTATTTTCTCTTTAGATAAATTTGTTTCTTTGTGGAGTTGCTGTATGGGGGTAATAATAGTGTAAATTGATTTATTATGAAGATGGAACAAAAGTATCGTGGTTTATGCTTACTCAAGTTAGAAGATTTGAAGTAAAAAAAATGGAAAGAAATAAGAGATTGACTACTGAGTATATTTGTGTACCTCAGTATGACAAGAATTACTCACCACTAGAAGTTTGTGGTGAAATGGTTTATGCTTCACCCAAACAAATGACCAAATATAACAGGTACAAATATTTCTAATCAAAACACAAAAAGACTCTCCACAAGTGAGGTATTCAAACAAATACCGGCAACGTCCGTAAAGAATATTTCTCAGGGATGGTAACTGCAAGGGACAGAAAACTGAAGTTCATTCTCATAGGCCTACACATTGACGTGCATGTCAAAGAACCCTTGACAATTGGAAATTAAAGCATATTAGTAGACAGCAGAATTTTGCTTCCTTGCATTGCACACGTAAGCATAAATTATAGAATCATCCATGTCCTTTGTTAGTTTCCTTCTTGGATATCCAGATTTTGCCTCTGGCAATCCAAAGGATTCCTATCAATACAATTAAAGGGTGATAATATTGACCCCTGGGAGTAATATGAAGTTCTATTTATGATATTGTCTACTGTAAAATGAATATGAAATATTAAAGATGTGTAATGTAAGATTTAGAGAAAGAGCTTGTGGTTCTTGCTATATAATAATTCAAAAATAGATATTGTCGATATTGAAAAATGAATATTGAATAGTTCAGTCAAATTACTTTATTCTGAGTGAAGTTATATTACTGGTTTAAGGTTTATGGATATAGTCTTGACTGTCAAGTACCTATTTATACGATAATAAACAAAGTCTAGATTATGTATTTTTGCATTAAATTATTAAATGGTGATTGTGTTTTAATCCATTCAAAATCATGGCCATCCGGTGGTATAGAGAGTTGATTGTCATGTGAATTCATGTAAATACCTAATTAATAATCTATATTGCATTTGAAGCCAAAGCAAAGACGTGTAATAAGCAGATTTAGCTCCTACATGTTCCTAAAGCAACCATTGCACAAGTTTTACAACATCTAGCCATTGCTAGATTAGTCTGAAATCCCCAAACTTTTAGTAGTTATTTCCCTTAACCACAGACGCGTGATACAAACATGTAAAGGAATAGATTCGTTTACAGCCGTTGAAAAACTCACGGAAAACCAAAACAAGCAACCTTACTAGCATAATGGAAGAACAAAAAGTAAAGTAGAAAGGTTTGAAGTAAGATACGAAGTGGGTCATAGCTGACAAGCGTAAAGTTCCAGCAACCTTGACATTGAATGGACCTTGAACTTTGCAACTCGATTATCAATTTTAGACATTTCAGTTGGAAAGTGCAACTTGGTATTCACTATGATATTTTCTATCAAGCAATCATAGAGGTCCCCAGCTGGATGAGGAACCAATCGAAATTAGTGCCAAAAAATTTAGGGTATTGATAAGATGTACCGAGTTAAAGCGAGATCAATCCTTCTATTGAAGATGCTCTTACATAATGCATCTTTAAAGGAACTAAATTTCAAGGCCAAAATGTATAATTGAATTAGGTTGACTGGATGTGTTATTTCGATTAATGAGGGTGCATGTTTCTAATCTCCAAAGATTAAGGAAAAGTCGTATTTAATACCGTCTTTCTGTTGCAACACTGGCTTTATGTACATTTATGTACCTGTAGACATAAAATTTTCAGAGAAGACAAAGTCAACACAATTTTATTTTTGACCCAAATCAAAACGGTCAGCTCATATTATGCGATTATCATTCAGTTTCATTTGAGTTTTTAATCAAACTGAAAAAATATTGAATTTCTGCTTTTAGAGATGATGATATGGATGATGTATTAGATAGATTAAACAACTGTAATCTGAAGAAACTAGAATATTATGTTTGTGCCGTCTGTAGCTGTAAGTCAGCCATTTTGTCTGGTGATTTAAGAGTCAACAGAGAGCAAACAAATGAAGAAGATTCAGAAGATGAAGGTAAGTAAAACTATCATATTCATCAGAGAATTATCTAAAGATGACTTCTAGTTTGGTGCGCATCTGTTTGTAACTTCTTCTGGGTTATGGCCCCAGCCTGGTGTGAAAGATTAGTTTCTTGTTAACATGCGGAGTTTGAACAATTTTGTATCGCCAAGTGTGAAGCATTGGGACCATGAGAGCATGGACTCCGTGGATTTTCATCATTCTCCATTGGTCTATCCGTCCGTCCATCAGCAATTTCTTATCAAAGTTGATGTGAAGCATTGGAATCATGACATGATGAACCCTATAGATTTTCACTGTTACCTGTAAATTGCATGGCAACCACTTATTTAACTTAGGATGTATAATTTAGAGAAATCACTAATTATAGCTTATATTTCAATTGTGTAAGCTTATTTTTCCCACATCTACAAAATAACAAAATATTGATGTGAATAGGAATTGGTGTTGAGGAGATCATGAATATTCTGCAAAAACATCAATACAAGCCTCCGAGTTGCCATGGTAATAAAGCTTTACTACGGTTGATTACATCATTTAGTGGGATAGGTGTAACAGATGACCAGTTGAATCAGGTAAAGAAACATTTGTTAAAACCATAGCTTGTACTCTTACCAAATACTACCCAATACCACCAAATACAAACTAAATACTTCCAAATACCACCACATCTCACCACTTCAATTATATAAAACAAAATAAGTTAATTCGTGGGAAACTTGTGAAAAAGGTACGGCAAAAGTGATGGTTGTGTCCAGTTACCTCACTACTCCCTACCAGAAATAAGAAATCAATCTATTTCTGTAAAATAATGGTCCAATATTACAAAAAAATGAGATAAAAGTAAAAATGTTTGGATACCAATATCTTTGCTTGTGGAAAATGAATTATTTTTTCAAAGTTTAGTGTTCCATTTATCACTGATACTATAAATAGATATTTCACATGGTTGCACTTATTATAGGAATTAACTCATTGACATTGAAGTAATTGAAGAATTTTTTCTGTTTTGGATAATAATAAGTTAAGGTAGTATGTGGTTGTATTTTGTAGTATTACGATGGAATTGAGGGATATTTGGGTAGACTTTCAGATGCTTCAGCTACTGGGTACTACGGATACTATAAATAGAATTTTCCGGTTTATTGTAATAATTTTGCTAATTCTGCGAACTAATTCTTTTTTATATATATATAATTGAAGTATTATTGTAGTTTTTTCACAATAATAAGGTAGTATTTGGTGGTATGAGCAGTTGTTCTTCAGTTTTATGTACTGGTTCAACTGAAAAGAGACAAAGTGATTACACTCAATCCAGTTGTCAAAATCCTAAAGCTGTTAACAACTTGCTCACACCACAGGACAATGTCTACGACAAGTTCAGATGGTATCAAATCATGACATGAATGTAATTTGAAAGTGCTTGAGAATGTTGCTATGCATATAATAGCAAATGGAAGAATATTTTGAATTATTTCTGTCTGGTCTTGAGCGTACTTTTGATTTCCTTTTCTAAATCTTTGTTTTCTTCGAACAGATTCAGGATTTATTATCATCAGAGAAATCGTCTTTTCAAGAAGTGACATTAACGTTTCTTTATCAGCTTTGTTTATATGAGGAAACAGCCATTAAAGTTAGTCAACATGCTATCATGGAGATGATATTTAATATTTTATCTTCACCAAATGATGTCCCTGTTCAAGTTGCAGCATTTAAAACTGTTGAAAAGGTAATCTTAATATTAAGGAATGAATATGAAATCATATAGAGAATAACAAATGGTAAAGAATTTCCTGAACTTGTGTATGAGGGATGTGGGGATTGTTACTCAGCAGATTGTAGGGCCTGTTTTTTTTTTTGCCCGTCATGGGTTTGATCCTGGGTTTGCATTTGACAAGGAAAAGGGTCACCTGCCTATCCTTATGACTTTTCTCATTGTACTCCAGTTTCCTCCTACATTTGTAATTTTTAAAGATCCCAATGTGTAAGCTAATTATTGGAATAAAGAATACCATATGTCAGTCTTGAAATGACCACATTTCTCTATCTCTCTCATTTTGTGGAATTTGCCCAGAGTCACAGAATTCATATTTAAAGATTTGCAATTCTCTGCCTTGTCCTGCAAGCTGCTTTGGCTATAATTGCCATATGCCATACTACGGTAATAAACAGGGCAGTAGCCTGATTTTTCTTTGTTAAATTTTTAATGTTTGTGAATATATTCAATATATTCCGTCTGTCTGTCCGTCACACTTTTTAGTACACAATAACTCCTAATTGAGCTAGAATGTTCAAACTTGGTGTGGGTATTTATTAGGTCAGTGCCTTGAAGGTGTTCGAAGATGAGCATTTTCTGCTTAGGGTAAGCAGAGATAAGCAATTTAATTGGTTGATGCTTTGGGACACAATAACTTTAATTCTAATTAAGTGAGAGTGATGGAACTTGGTCTAGAGTTTCTTTACACCAAAACCTTGACTCAGTTCGATAATGAGCATATTCTGCTCAAGGTAAGCAGAGCGAAAAGCAATTTGTTTGGTCGAGACTTTGGAACATAATAACTCTCATTCTAATAATTGAGCTAGAATGTTCACACTTGGCATAGGTGTTTATTAGTTGAATGCCTTGGTAGAGTTCGAAGATGAGCATTTTCTGCTTAGGGCAAGCAGAGATAAACAATTTGATTGGTTGATGCTTTGGGACACGATAACATTAATTCTAATTAAGTGAGAGTGAGGACACTTGGTGTATAGTTTTATCACATCAATACCTTAACTAAGTTCGATAGTGAGCATTTTCTGCTCGGGGTAAGCAGAGCGATAAGCAATTTGATTGGTCGATACTTTGGAACACAATAACTCTCCTTCTAAGTGAGGTAGAATGTTCAAACTTGGTGTAGGCGTTCATTAGGTGAATGCCTTGATGGAGTTCGATGATGAACATTGTCTGCTTACGGTAAGTAGAGATAAGGAATTTGATTGGTTGATGCTTTTGGGCACGACAACTTTGGTTTTAATTAAGTGATAGTGATGAAACTCCGACTATATATTCATTATATCATTACCTTGACTAAGTTCGATGATGAGAATTTTCTACTTAGGCTAAGGAGCGATAAGCAATTTGATTGGTCAAGACTTTGGAACATAACAAGATAGAATGTTTAAACTTGATATAGATGTTCATTAGGTGAATGTCTTGACTGAGTTCAATGATTAACATTTCGAGCTAAAGTTCATTGGTCGATGCTTTGTGCGATTAATTAATACGTGTCATCTATTTATTTTGGGATTTTGGCGGGGGGCATCAGACTCACTGTTGGCTTGTTCTTTCAGCTATTTACCTACAATAGTATCAGTGATAGTTTATGGAATCAAGTAGATACTTGTATTTTACCATGTATATTACGTACTTACTATACATCCAGTCCACTAGCTGTTAAATATAGTGCTACATGTTTGTTACGTTCTCTCTCCATGAATAAATCAACAGCTGATCTTCTAGGACAAGAAGCCTTATTGATATTAAAACAGTTTAAAGATTCTAGTGCTAGGTTAAAGGTTTGTTATGATATAAATAAAATGTTGTTTTTTTTAAAAAGTTTGTTGTTAATAAAAGATCTACCTTCTAAAGTAAAAGATAAAATAGAATTTAACTTTTACCAGGAAGAGAAGAACCTTCAGGTTTATGTACAACTTTTAAAGTCATGCTACATGTATCTGGCTTCCACAGCATTTATTTTGGCTATATTTCACAAATGGCCTAGCAATTGTCAATGACATATATGTACATAATTTTTTTAATACACATATAAGATTATATTACCTTAGATTATTTCTTTAATTTTGATTTTTTAAAGGAAATTTTTACTGAGATATTGGTAAATTTATATCGTCATCAAGGTTTAGTGGACAAAAAACTACTGGACACTAATCTACTACCAACCTGTTCCGACTTAATTAGTGAAGGTCCATGGTAAATATCTTAATTCATATTTTTATTATATCCCATATTTGAAGGATTCCAGATTGATACATATAATATAACGTCTAAGCACTGTGTTGTCCATCTTTTTATCATCCAAACTTTGTGGATTTCAACAGAAATATACTATTATTACTATGTTATCATATAGCATTTGTGATATTTAAGGACATTAAACCCCATTTAATTTCATTTCTGCTTGTATTTAATTACATGGCTCAGCTCCAGTAGTATGACACCTGGAAGAGTATATAATCTATTGACTGAGTTCTGATGTATCAATTTCTTCATTTCTTTCCCCTGTCTTTTTTGTAGTTCTAGTCAGACAATAGCATTATCACTTTTGTCAAGTTTATTAGAGGATGAGAAATACATATTAGTAACAATCAACCATAAATACCTTATACCATCCCTTCTTAACTGTTTACAACTCTCAGATTGCAGGTATGTATTATACATCTATTCAGCCTTTTTATACGCCCACATTCATGTGGACATATCGTTCCCTGAGAGGTAAAAGGTCGCAAGTGACAAAACAGGCAAATTTGATATTTTTGCACCAAAACTTTATAAATTGACCCCTCCAGGTTATTACAAACAATGGTGACAATTGCAATGATACAAACTACAATATGGGTAATTAATATTAGGTAGTAAGTGGAAAACTTTACCAAAATGTCACTGGAGAAAGGTAGTAAGTACACTGATGGCAGTGTAACAAGGTCGTAAGTGACATTTAAATATGTGCAGTAGCAACTTCTTTCTGGCAAACTTCTTTCTGGCTTTCCCACAAAAGCCTGTGTACATTTCATTTTGCGATAGTAGTGTTTAAAATTGATCAACCCGCAGTAGACTTTAATCCTTGAGTGACATTTAGGGATTGGGCACATTAAAAAACACAATACAATTTATATGGAAAAAATAATCACTGGTCTGTACACACATAGCACGACGTTTCGACAAGTATCCTCTTATCGTTGTCGTTTTGTGCTTGATAACAATAAGGGGATACTTGTCGAAACGTCGTGCTATATGTGTACAAAACAGTGATTGTTTTTTCGATATAAATTGTGTTGTGTTTTTTTTTTCACAGTAGACTACACAAAGAACGGGGCTGTAGGGGGGCCTTTTTGCGATACTGCATGTAAGAGACGCTTTTAATACCCCACGTTCGCCGTTTCAATGGACTGTAGTACGGTATGCGTACACACTAGAGCGAATGGGAACTAGAGAGGGATAGAGAGAGGGTTGTGATGCAATGAGACGCCCCTTGAGAGAGAGAGAGAGAGAAGGAGCGATGGGTGGGGGGGTCTGAGAGCGAGAAAGAGAGTAAGAGAGATCCACATTGTAACTTAAAGATAGGGCTATAGAGAGCTAGAGAGGGGGGGGGGGTAGTTAAAGAGGTGGGCTAGGGACAGAGAACTAGCGGGAGTGAGGGCTAGAGAGAGCGAACTAGAGAGGACGAGGGCTAGAGAGCGAGCTTAAGAGTGGAGTAGAGAGAGAGAGAGGGGGTGGGGGCTGAGAGCGAGAAAGAGAGATCCACATTGTAACTTAGAGAGACAGGGCTATAGAGAGGGAGATGGGGGGGGGGTAGCTAGAGAGGCGGGCTAGGGACAGAGAGCTAGCGGGAGCGAAGGCTAGAGAGAGCGAACTAGAGAGGACGAGGGCTATAGTGAGAGGACAAGAGCTAGAGAGCGAGCTTAAGAGTAGAGAGAGAGAGAGATGGGGATTAACGTCCACTTGGTTCAATTTTACTTCAATAATTCGCTTGCGCGTAGGGGTCTTTTATCAGTGGGGAAACCGGAGGACCCGGGGAAAACCCACGAGGTTGGACAGACAATCATACTCCTTGTCACGTACAACCGGGGAATCGAAATTACGCCAGTTGTTTCAGTGACAGACCTTATGATACAGCGCACACATGCTAACCGTTCGGCCATCCACCCCCCCCCCCCCCACACACACACACACCCTGAGAAAGATAAGAAACAAGATGGAAAGAGCTAGAGAAAGAGAGAGATGGTGAGAGCTAGAGAGCGTAAGATAGAGAGAGACCTAGAGAGATAGCGACACGGAAAGTGACGGCTACAGAATGGGCTAGTGAGGGAGGGACTTAAGAGAGTTATCGGTAAGGGGGGGAGGGAGCTAGAGGGAGAGAGATAGCTAGAGGGCGAGTGGGGAGGTCAAAAAGCGCTAGAGAGTTGGCTGCCAAGGGATGAGACTTGTCCCTCGAGAAGAGAGAGAGAGAGAAGGGCGGGGTGGGGCTACAGAGAACAAGCTAAGGGGGGGGGTAGGGAGTTAGCTCGCAAAAGAAAGAGGTGAGGGAGAGCTTGACCTCGAGGGAGAACAAGCTAGAGAGAAGGGCGAGAGCTAGAGAGTAAGCTTAGACTATTAGAGAGAGATAGAAAGAAAGAGAATCCACAAGATAAAGAACAAGAGAAAGAGCAAGAAAGATAGGGAGAGAGGGCGTGAGCTAGAGAGAAAGCTAGAGCGCGTGAGATAGAGACCTAGGAAGATAGCGAGATAGAAGGCAAGAGCTAGAGATGGAGAGATGGGGGGGGGTCTAAAGAGAACTATCGATATGAGGAGAGCAATCTAGTGGGTGAGGGGCGGAGGGGGTGGGGGGTTAGAGAGAGATAGTGATAAGCCTGCGATGTGATGATACTATCAATCTACTGTGAGAAGGATAGAAGAGATCGAGAGAGAGAATGAGCTAAAGGCTGAGGGTGGTAGGGAGGGAGCTAGCAAGGGTAGGGAGTAGCGATAGAGAAGGGAGAGCGGGGGGGGGGGGCACAGCAAGGGAGAGTGGGTACTAGAGCGAGATAACAAGTGGGCGAGATAGAGAGGTGAAGAGAGTGAGATAGAGAGAAGGTTGTACGATACCGTGAGGCTTGACAGGGAGGGAGCGCGCGAGAGCCAGAGAAAGGTATCAAGATAGCGTGAGGGATAGAGGGAAGAGGGGCCTGGGGTTAGAGAGGGGTATAACATCCACTGAACACAAACTAGGCCATAATTTTACTTCAATAATTTGCTTGCGCGTAGGGGTCTGTATCAATGATAGAAAGTCGGAGAAAACCCAACAAGGTTGAGCAGGCTACCATGCCACTTAACTCAATTACAGACCTTAAGATCCAAAGCGTACCCGTAAGACCAATATAACTTCCACCCCATGGCAAAATCACATAAGGTCGTAAACAGCAATAAGTATGTATCTTTGGTTATAGGTAGAGAGTAGAAAAAGGTCGTAAGTGACTTTTCCGAGTTACCACACCTGATAACTGAAAACTTTATATTGCATTTCTAGCTATTCCCAATCATAACATACTGTACAAAATATTAGAAAAAACAATAAATAAACAATTTTACAGGACCATTTTCAAACCTTTAAACTCGATTTTCTCGAAAAGTGAAAAATGTCACTTACGACCTTTTCCCTCTCAGGGGACGATATATTGTCGTTGCCCCTGTCCATCCATCCAGAATTTGTTTGTGGACACTATACAGGTCACAATTTTTATCTGATTTTGACGAAACGTGAAATAAAGCTTTATCTCCCAAAGATCTCTGTTCCTTTCGCAATTGGCATGTATCGGACTGTAACTTCATAGATTATGGCCCCTGATGGTAGGAAAAATAATGTTTTTAGCTTGTCGACAATCAAGAGGTCACAATCTTTATCCAATTTTGATAAAACTTGAAATGTTTGTTTATATTATAAATTTTATAACCTAAAGATCTTTGTTACTTTTGATATTCGTGCATATCGTATCATAACTTTTTGGATTATGGCCCCTGATTGTACGAAAAATCACTTGTAGTGTAACGGTGATATATTTGAATGTTTTTTCAATTCTGATAAAATTGTGAACTTTAGAATGTGATTTTTCGTACAACAAAGGGGGGGGGGGGGATACTTACCGTTCGATATGTGTGAATATCGTAGAAGCAAAGAATAATAAAATCAGTCTTAGTAAGGTTATTTAATTTAGTGTCTCATAACTTTCTTTACTCAGACAAATCTATTTGTTATTTTCAGGAAAGTTAGAGAAGCAGCCATTTGTGTTTTAAAACATGTTACCAGAAGTCAACAACCCAAGATAGCTCATGATTTTATGACACAGATAGGAATTTATTTTCAAGCTGATTGTGATGATACTGTGATACATAATCATCTGATGTATCCAGTATTGTTAAAACATCAAACAGAAGAAAAACTCTGGAGCTCTATGGATCAGTTTATACATCTGATTGTCATGGCTATAAGCAAAGAAGGTTAATTGTTATCTATAACTAAGGGTGTGTTTGATTTGGCCTATTCGTGACTAATATTCTGGTTGATCTATCAATAAGAGTGTTTGATTTGGCCGATTCGTGACTAATATTCTGGTTGATCTATCAATAAGAGTGTTTGATTTGGCCGATTCGTGACTAATATTCTGGTTGATGTATCAATAAGAGTGATTGATTTGGCCGATTTGTGACTATTATTCTGGTTGATCTATCAATAAGAGTGTTTGATTGGGCTGATTCGTGACTAATATTCTGGTTGATCTATCAATAAGAGTGTTTGATTTGACCGATTTGTGACTAATATTCTGGTTGATGTATCAATAAGAGTGATTGATTTGGCCGATTTGTGACTATTATTCTGGTTGATCTATCAATAAGAGTGTTTGATTGGGCTGATTTGTGACTATTATTCTGGTTGATCTATCAATAAGAGTATTTGATTGGGCTGATTTGTGACTATTATTCTGGTTGATCTATCAATAAGAGTATTTGATTGGGCTGATTTGTGACTAATATTCTGGTTGATCTATCAATAAGAGTGTTTGATTTGACCGATTTGTGACTAATATTCTGGTTGATGTATCAATAAGAGTGATTGATTTGGCCGATTTGTGACTATTATTCTGGTTGATCTATCAATAAGAGTGTTTGATTGGGCTGATTTGTGACTATTATTCTGGTTGATCTATCAATAAGAGTATTTGATTGGGCTGATTTGTGACTATTATTCTGGTTGATCTATCAATAAGAGTATTTGATTGGGCTGATTTGTGACTAATATTCTGGTTGATTGATCAATAAGAGTGTTTGATTGGGCCCATTGTGACTAATATTCTGGTTGATCTATCACATTGTGACTATTATTCTGGTTGATCTATCAATGAGAGTGTGTTTGATTGGTCTGATTCCGGACTAATATTCTGTTTGTTCATTCAAGAAGTTAAGCTTTAAATATGTGAAATTTGTATCTTAATAAAAAACATCATTGATCACTTATGTGTGAAATCAGAAATTAGATTTGAAATAAACCATGGAAGGATTGTATTTCAACCCAATTCAAATTAAGACATCTGCTGTTATATAATACAACTTTAATAATAATCATGTCTAGATTTTGAATATTTCATTTATTCCTCCATCGATTTTTCATGCTTGTAAAGTAGGACATTAAACATGCTTGTGTCTACAATTAGATAACACTTTATTTAGAATTTAAATACCGGTATATGGAATATTAAAATTTATAAAGTAAAAGACAATTATCCTTTCTTTTTTTTTTTCTTTTTTTTGCTTTCAGCTGAATTAACAAACTTTGAAGGTGTGGATGGACTAATGACCTGTAATTTAACCCTGAATCAAGTGGGATGTCTGACACATCTGTCTCAAATACTATCTAATTTATGTGTTTGGCCCATAGAAAAACATAAATCTTCTTTACCAAAAATAGAAGTAAATGATTTGAGTGAAGATCATGAAATAAAGTAAGTATGAATCAAAACAGTATCAAGAAAGGACAGACTAAGTTTAAATACAACTTTCTTTTGATTATTTATATATTTGCACATTTCAATAAGCCAAACTCAGTATTGGTCAGGGGGCTTTCAGAACTGTTAGCATTTAAGTTCAACTCCAAGTCATCAAATTGTTCACTTGGTGCGGAGACAAACGATTTTGTAATGTTTATTTTTTTAATTCACATTTTTCTTTGTTAATATCCCCCTTGTAATTGATTTACTTGAGAAATGATAATATTCTTTTGTTCCTTCAGCCGGGCAAAATTTCCCTCGTAGCACACTTTATGGCTTATGCCCGTCTTCATTAGCCCAGTATAGGAGCAGAACAGTAGGACGTTAAACCCCATTTCATTTCATTGTTCCTTCAGACTATTGGCCATTCAACTATCTGTATAGACAGATATTGATTGAATTTTTATTTGATTTTAACGAAACTTGAAATATAGGTTTATCTCCCAAAGATCTCGGTTCCTGTCGACATTTGCTCATATCGGACCATAACTTACTGGATTATGGCCCATGATCATACAAAAAATCATATTTTAGCTTGTGGTCCCTAGGTCATGATTTTTATCCAATTTAAAAAAATGTTTGAATATATGACCGTTAGACCATAATGACAGTTGAGTTCAAATTTCGAAAAAATCAGACTGAAACTGACAAACAAAATGGGAGCTCCCTGTACGCAAATAGTGTTAAAGTATGTAATATCAAGGTTGTAGACACTTTAACGGTTACAATTATTATCCGATTTTGATGAAACTTAAAATATATGTTTATATCTCAAAGATCTTGTCTCTTTTGATATTCGCACATTTCTGACTTTAACTTCCTGGATTATGGTTCCTGATTGTATGAAAAATCGGGTTTTTGTTTTATAGCTTGTTCTCTATCCATCTCGTGCATAATGTGAGCGTATCTTGCCTGGCAACCTCTGGTTATCATTTTTAAAGCTAAGGGCTACATGAACCTTAAAATAAGAAAAGTTGAATATTATAAATGTATTTTATCCTCTTTAGGTTCATGTTGTCTAAGATGAACCGTTTCTTAACTTTAGACGTATGGCACAGAGCTGGAACCAACATGATGACAATTTTACGTAAATTCAGCAGAAAGTTGCAGACATGCCTTGACTTTTCACCAACCTGTGAAACTATTCAAACAACTACACCTGGTTTACTCACAGAAAAAGAAAATGAACTTGTCCAAAATGTTCTAAGATTATTAGCTTTTATTTCTGTGGCAACTTGTCAAAATTTCAAGTTATCGAACAACAATAGTATGAAAGCTAACAAACCGTCTGCTAAAACACAGATCTGGGTAGATTCCAATCCTCATTTAACCAGCAGTATTGATAGAGTATCACAAGTTATTGATCCAGAGATAGCTCTTAAAGATAAACAGACTATGGAAGCTGTCCATGAAGGGAAACTAATAAGACAACACTTATATGAACAAAATTTATATGGAGTGTTGAGTCCATTCCTAGAATCTAAAGATACAAGAATAAGTGTAAGATATAAACATTTAAATAAAAAATTCTGTTTGTATGTAGTTTGTGGTAATAATTCAATGTTTCACATATAAAGTACTGGCCTAGTTTTTCTGTAGTTTAATAATTATTTTTTTTTATAATGGATATGCATACTAAACGCAAGAATTATCAATGTCTAGAGGGTTAAGAATAGATAAGTTAATAAAGGTATAATAATTAATAAAAGCATACAATTCAAGGTGTTTTTATCGACCACTGATTAGCCAAAGTGATTTGCATTCAATCAAATTTTCATCTCTAACCTCCATCTAATTCAAATTGGTTACCCTAATCAACGAATTTCCGAAGCGATTAAATCAAATCGCCAAATCACTTCAGGGTGCGATTTGACGATTTGATCGGGTGATCACGTGTTTTTTTTCAACTGTGTCCAGCCACAACAATTGTTTACAGCTAATCGGAGCATTTAACGAACTCGCCAAAGTACTTTGAAATTGACTATACTGTCACATGAAATCTCCACTAAATTCAAATCGATTTGGCAAGTCGATAAAAAAGCCTTCAATCATATGTTTAATTGCCAATAATGAGTTATCTCCCTTGACACACTTTTATGAATTGAGAATTAAAATATCATTATTCAGATAATAAAGCATGAGTGGATTCCATATTCAAAATTTATTATTTTTGTGCTGTTTATTTTGGAGGGGTTGAAAAAAAAAAACCCATAATCAATTAGAAATTAACAGAACCAATAGAGATTTCAAGTGATTACATCAACACAGTTTTTGATTGCCAAAATTGCACACTATGAATGGTTTATCATCCTTGACTTGTGAAATTTACTGTTGATATCAGCTTTAATCTAGAGAAATTGAAAATAGTAGTGAAATCTGATATCATAATGCGCATTCTTACACATAAAATTATACCAAAAATGTGAGTTATTCTTATAGTTTGAATCAGCACACATATTAAGCATATTTACTATTGTATCTACTTACCATGTAGGCTATATTTTTAGGAATATAAAATCATGTTATTTAATTGTTTGTAGGTAATGTCACCACTGATATTAAGATGTTCTGTACAACCATTGGATGATATATTTGAGACTGATGAGGTAATTACTCCTCAACCTCCTTCAAACAAACCTAAAAGATCCAGGTAAGTAAAGATATAATAAAATAGTAACTCTTGTTGAATACTATTCTATGAAGAGGATAGAGAAATCAATTTGAGTTGAATATTTGTTTGAGAAGTTCACATAGTTAGTGGGTAATTATAACACGGTGTACTTTGAACAAATTAATTCCAATTTCTTAAATTTGGTTAAAAGTTTTGCATAGCTAGTTGTGCTGTTATAGATTGAAACATTTGGTAAAATGTCTTTGATAATTTGTATTTTAATTTGCAAAAACTATTTTTTAGACCTCAATCTGCCATCACAAGAAGTAATAGGCATAAAATAGAGTTGGCTTTACATGGCATGTCTCCACAGTTATCTTCATCCATGAAGAAAATTCTTGGACAAAGACCAGTTTCAGCTTGTAACAGAAACAAAACAGGTAAAGATTGTTATCCAGTTAGTAAGTGCAATCATAAACAGCCCTGCTGCACAATGTTGCTGAATGTCTTTTGTCATGAAGCTTTTTTTTTCCATTCTCTAGTCTTCAATTGGCCTTCCTCTATAAATGCTGCTAATTTGTCGTGTATCTGAATTTATATGTGGACATTAATATTTAGGACTGGATAATCGTTTGATACTATAGGGCAAATAACGAAACACTTTAAGTATGAGTTTGGAATTGTTCGGGAAAGTGTGACTACTTTTGCTTGAAATAATTTAGATATTAACTGTCTATTGAAGGGATTGGGATGTGTGCAATTTTCTCAATTACACGAAGAGTAACAATCCCAATCCTTTGTGCAAGTGTATTTTTATTGTGTTTCGTTATATCATGTTTCTACTTGCACCCAACCTGTTACAGGGGCTGATAGAACATAATATGTGTGTCACTCTGTTGTAATCCTCTAAAAGAATTTTAATAATTTGCTACCCTTTCTGTTTATCAGATCAAAAGACAACATTGAAACCACCAGTTGATGGCAACAAACCACTAACTCAACAATGTCGTCAGTCAGCAGTACGAACTTGTGGTCCACGGCTATTGAAAGGCATCTTCAGTAAATCTAGAGATGTAAAGAAGAGTTGTCTGCTTCTCATTCAAGATCTTGTTAAATATGGAACTGTAAGTTACATACAGTCAGCTCATAATGGTTAATAAAATTCTTTCCCTGAGCAGACATTTTCACTGTATATGTAAATGAATGGTTTTTATATGCTCACATTTAATGTGGAAGTATATGTCATTACATATAATAATTTAGTACTCTACCTACCATAATGACAGAGTTTACCGGGTATATTAAGTTGTACACAGCACTACCACATTTTACACTCCTCATGATCTTTGCATAATCAGTAGATTCTCTGCACATCATCAACCGAGGACTATATAAAAATAGGTTTCTAATTTTACATTCATCTAGGACCTCAAAACAATAGGTCTGTCAAGCAACGGCAGATCACTGGCATTGGATCGAATCCAGAAAAAGGTTTCTACAGTCAAAGGTTTCAGTCGGTTTTACCGATACGAGACCCCACCCACCCCGCTAAGATACATTGTCTTAGGTACCGGGCAAACCCCTCTTGCAAAAATTCTGGGATCCTCCCCTGTACAATTATTAATGGTAGAAAGCACAATCTTGTTTGGCTCTGGATTTACAAACATGTTCAGAACACAGGTATTTGTGATTGTTCTGGATGTTTCAGAATTATCTATAAAATAGAGAAACCAACCGCTGCCAGGCAAGATATGCCCACATTTTGCAAGAGATGGATAGAGAACAAGCTAAAAACAAAAGCGATTTTTTGTAAAATCAGGAGCCATAATCCAGAAAGTACTTTCATATTACAAAGAGCAACCATTTTGTTGGACAGTTTGTTTTCGATTTTCCCCTTCATTATGGTGGAATAGTGATATATTTAAACGGTTTTAAAATTGGATAAAAAAATTGCTATCTCTAGAGAATCCACAAACTAAAAAGCATGATTTTTCATACAATCAGGGGCTGTAATCTAGGAAGTTACATTGGCCAGTGATCCGGATTGAGGACCTGACAAGGACAGCTGTCTAGTCGTTCGGATGGGACGAAAAACTGAAGTCCTGTGTACACATTGGCGTGCACGTAAAAGATCTCTTGACAGTTGGAATTTGATATAAAATTATTCCGTAGTGCTGCTGTCTGGGCAAAATTTCCCTCATAGCACACTGTATGTTATATTTCAAGTTTCGTCAAAATCGGATAAAAATTGTGACCTGTAGAGTGTTGGACAGGGGCGACGACAATATACGTCCACATGAAAATGTAGGCGTATAAAAAGGCAATTCAATGACTTAACAAATAGACAGTTGCCCGAAGAATAATATCTAAAAAAGACTGAAGGTGCATTACATTGCAACCCCCCCCCCCCCCCTACAATTTTTGTAAAAGGGTCTTGAGAGTTTGAAAAGTAACTAAAACCGAGAGAGAGAGAAATGGGGTTTAATGTCCACTCGACACAAACTTGGTCATTTCGAGACTAAAACCTGGTTCAATTTTATTTCAATAATTCGCTTGCGCGTAGGGGTCTTTAGCAGTGGGAGGAAACCAGAGGACCCGGAGAAAACCCACGAGCTTGGAGTAACTGAAAGCAACAAAAACATTAGCTTTTCATTGAGTGATTGTAAATGTTCTACATATCAAAATGTTGCTTGGGGGTATACTTTCATTGCCTGGAATGTTTGTATAAAATAAATAGACTGGTGTTTCTTCTATAGGTAGAAACACACATGGAATTATCACAGCTAGGTTGTATACCAAAACTTATTGATTTTCTCCGTATTAATGAAGATGATGAGATGTTAGAAATTTCAGGTAGGTCTTCCATCTAATGAAGTAATCCTCTCTTCAATTCAATCTGCTTTACATATTACTCTAATATACAAATTATATTTTTATGAAAATTACACAAATAATGACAATTTTAATCCATAGATGAGGTTCAAAAATTCAAATGCCTCCTCTGTAGAGAGAATACAAGAGAATAAGGTTAAATACAATTGGTCATTATTGCACTCAGACAGTGATTTGGAATTAATGAAGGTTGTAGGGTTAAACGTCCTACTTCTCTGCAACAATGATTCAGAGAAATATTTGTAATGTTAATGGTATATAAATTACGTTGTTAGTGCCAAATACTAATACTTTGTGATCTTTCATTTATTTTTAAAGAGGTAGCCTACATGTGGAAAAATATGGACATCTTGAAATCTTAATTTTGAAATAAAATTATTACATATATTTTAGGTTTGATATTGACTAAGATGTTGATTAGCAGTGATTTTCGATTAAAACAATTATTTAATCGTCATGGTGGATCTAGTGTACTAATGGCAATGGCTCAGTATACTAAAGGAAAGTTGAGAGATGAAGTCAGACTAACGTTACAAGAAGTTACAAGAGGTATAATTTATGCTATGTTATTAGTGATTTATAAATCTCAAAATAAAGGAGCAGTCCCCAATTTCATTTGGTATCTGTTGATAAAATTGGACTACAGTATACAAATCAGAAACTTTAAAGGGAATAATAAAAAAGCTATTTACCTTTTTGAAATTTCCAATAAACAATATTGAGCCGTTTACAGGCTTATGTAGACTAACTCTTTTGAGGAATTGCATTATTGTAGAAGTGACTTGATAATAACTTAAAAGTATAACTTCATGATAGACATACGGTTATCCTTCAGCAGACTTTATTTAAACTTTCAGAGAAATTATATGAAAATTGGGTTACATTAAAGAAATTACGTGTCTGTAAATGGTTCTAGACTTCATTAGTTATACCCTATTTCATTTCATTTTGTTCTAGGCTAATTGCGTATTTTGTAGGCATTTTTGCATGAATATATCACTGGATAGTAGAAATGAACATTTTTGCTGTTTATTAATTCAAATTTAAATATTCTCTAGGAGATGAGCAAGTCACTCGTCCTGTTTCTACTCCATCTTCAAGTACTAGAGCACCTGATGTTTGGGATCATGTAAGTTCACAAATAATTAATGTTACATAGGGTCAACTATAAACTACATAAACTGATATCACAGACAATTACATGTTATATATACAGATAAAATATTTACAGGGTGATTAACGAAAGAGTGAACAGATTAGTTAAATATTTATATATGTACATAAAGAACAAAAGAAAATGATGGACATGTACATTTAATAGACGTGGACATGTAACATGTAAGTGTTACTAATTGTTTTTACCCTATATTTATATCTTATAATTTTAGATTATGGGACGATGGAAACAAGAAGATCAAGTTGTTCTTGTCTTAAGAAAATGGTTGAAAGAAGATGAGGAAAAGAAAAGGCTATTTCACTATTAAAATTAGTTCCGGTATAGGAATATATATTTTGTTTCTTACATTATTCCTTTTAGAAAATTATAGGATACATATATAATATTTTTTTAGAGAGTATAAAATCTTATTTGTAAAAGAGAGTCAACAATTTTATTGCTAAAATCCCTACACAATTGTACTTGTTTTTATTTTTTATATCCAAATTAAATGTGAATCTATTTTTTATATTTTTCTACGCATACTTTTTATGTTGTTTTTTTTTAAGGCTTGCATATGTAGACTTACAACTCGGCCCAATATACATTAATTACTTAGTAAGATATCATTTCAATATTGTTGTGTTAAAACGGAATAAAAAGTATTTGTTGCAAGTGCAAAATTGCCAATTGGTACATTTATGATTAGGCTTGAAATTGGTTATGTCCAAAAAACCAGTTAAAACTTAAAAGTCATAGGAAGTTTTGTAAATTAAAAGTTAGAGTTGAGTTGTTATTAGTTCCATTTTACAGTCAACATGTACCAGTCTTTAGCTAAGAATATTATAAATTAATACATGTATTATTATTTATAATTTGTTTTAATTTATATCAAAGAATTACTGTATTTATGAAAATTATATATATTTTACCACTTTAAGTGCATTATAAATGCCATTCTGTCCATATACCATGAATCTCTAATTATTACATTTTAGATAATTTTTTGTAGTGCATTAAATGCTTTCAATTCTATTTTTTATTCATTGGATTTTACTGTTTTATATTATTATAAGATGAATACAAACTGTTGTCGTGTCTGATTTCAGGAAAAATATTTTCAATAGGTCATAATAATATTTATAAACTAGAGATATAAAGCTTTCACAACAATGCCAAGTATTACGCAAGGGGATTATCTAATCGTCCCACAGCAAGTGAAGAAAAATAACTAATTTAAGAAAAAACGTCCAAATAAAGGTGTTAATGATTTATTGTTATTTTGATCTTTAAGGTTGATAGATAGTACATGTATATTAATAGACCCATTTTTGTGAAAATCTCAATTTCATTCAAACTCATTATTTTCACTTGTTTTGTCTGTAGCTCATTCTGACTCATTTAGCTAGCACGGGTCACATATGTTAATAAGGGACTCATATGCACGAGATGTCTGTCACTATGGAAAATTCAGTCGAAAACCTAATTACTGCTCCCTGGGTCAAGTTTATAAAAAAAGGACATAAACCAAATCAAATAAGTACCTTATCATGAGGTAATTAGTATTTCTATAAACTGGAGGCCAGTTCATTTGTAATAATTCATAATTATATATTTTTACTGAAGAATCACCTTTATTTCTCAGTCATATTTATATCCATCTTCCGTATTCAAAGTTCACTCCACAAACCCCTCGGTCCATTCACAGGGTATTCATGAATTTAAATTATCTGCCCTCGATTGTTTATTGGCCACATAGGTTATTTCTACAAACCAATCATAGCATCATTGTTTATGTTCACCACAATACCGCAACTTGTACATTCGATTATGAGAAACTTTGCAAGAAATTTAATATCAAAGAGGTGACATGCACACATAAACATGTCCTATTGACAAAGTTTACAACACTGATTCAGTGATCTGAGTTTCAACAAAATGCGAGTTACCGCCCTTCGCCCACTCGCTTTTTGATTGGTCGATAAAAATAGCACAATTATTAAGGGAAGATAATTTGACTATGTGTCTCCCCAGTGAATGGACCCATGGGTTAAAGGAGTAGAACGGAACGATACCATACTAGGTATACTGAGGATGATTTATATCAAAATTTACAATTATCACACTGGTAAACAATGTTTAGTAATCCTTTGACCCCCACTTAATTATTACATACAAATATACTTGTACTGGTAGAAAAAAGATAATAATTTTTACAAAATATGTAGAGATAAGCAAGACTACTTTTTTACAAAACATAACAGAAAGCTGGCAACTCAACAATTGTTTTAAGAATCTTGTAAAAGTAAAATCAAACTACTGCTAGTATCATGTTTTTGCCTAACCTGAGTGTTTCAGAGATATTATCTGTACTAAACCAAAAGATTCCGCTCCTAACGGTGTAGTAAATGACAAAGCAATTTAAAAAATAGAACAAATGTAATTTCTAAAGCTGCTGTAATAACCAAAAAGCTAAATATTACTGCTATTCAGAATCTTCAACAATAGATTCTTTACAGTTCAAATAGTTGATAGATGTGTAGAGAATTTCATGTGCGATGGCTATTTATAGACTCATAGACTCTTGTGCTGAGTGTTATCACAGCGCGTGATTAGCCAGAAATCACTTAGAAACAAACCACTGAAGTGTGCACATTCGCTGTGTTGAGTTCAACTTTCAGTAGGGAAAATGTGGGCTGCATGGGGCACCCTACAATATCTAAGTATTGTTCCATTGTATCAAATTATAACAGTCCTACAAATCAACTGAAACAGTTCACATATAGTGAGTGTAGCGTTATATAAATTATTAGTGTACTGTCACAATTTTGTCTGATCGCCCTGCAATATTCCTGAAAAAACAAAAAATACATAATGTATGATTATAAGGCAGGATAACAGTGCCACTAAAATCAGATAATAAACATTTATATAGCCAACACTAATATCAATACCACAAAAAATGAGAATCAAGTCCCTCTAAATATTCAGAATATGTTATGACACAGTAGAAATAAACAGTAATTTTAACCATTATATTATAATGATTATAATAATAATGATATTTACATAGAACATTCATGTTTTGTTTTTAAAAAAAAAAAAACTTGCTCAATGTCCTACTCTCAATAAATTATAACATGCTCATCATCAATCAGTCTGAGAATTCCATAAAGTTGATGTTTTTCAAGTTATTAGATCAACTTTAGTTACAGGTTAAAATGAAAATATGACCTTTTCTGATTTGATCCTTGAATTACAGTTAGTTTTTCCTCCCTTATCTAACGTAATATATTGTAAAGATATTTTCTTTGTATATATGTACCTGTATTCCCATTCACTGATACCCCAACCATTAATACCATTTAAATTATATCTACAGAATCTCTCGTGTATCTTAACATCCCAGTCTTCACCCATATAAAATATTGGACAATGTAAAACATTTATTTGCAGATGGTATTGTTTTCCTCCTGTGAAAATAGTAACAATTATATTATAATAATATTGGGGAAAATTCCAATTGAATTAAATTCAAATACTATTTTTGCTCCATTTATTCTCGTGGTCACTCCATTAACATCTACGTTAAACCCCATTTCATTTCATTTCCATTAACATCTAAAGACCTGTTTGATTAACCCTTTGAACTCTGGCTTATATACCGTAAATGACCCCCCCCCCCCCCCCGGCCCGTGGGGCAACATTTTACAATTTTCATTGATAAAATATAACAATGCAAACAAAGGGGATATTCTGCAAGTATGGATTAAGTGCTACCAGGAAAAATAGTAACGTAATATGATTTTTCAAGGCAACATTTGTCATCATAGTTCCACAGCTTACAAAAACCCTGAAAAAAGTGATTATTTTCATTATCGTCATTACTTTCATTTAGAAAGTCAATATCGTTGCTCTAATCAACATTATTCAAGTCCTTGTCATCACTCTCAAGTATTCTAGCGAGTGGCTGGTCTACTGTTACGTCTGTTTGCCATTCATGACCGTAAAATAATATTTTCAGGAATATTTGTGTTGTGTTTGCAATGAAGAAGGGAAAGCCCTCACTACAGATGACACATTGTAACACGTTCTGATTTGTCTAGATTTGATGGAATTCCAAGTAAGTCATACCAGTGTATCACCAAGAGAAGTGGCCATAGTCCTCTTTAAACACAACATGTGTTAAGTATGGAATTCCTAATGTGTCATGCTGTGCCGGGATATAGATGTTATCTTGGCCAGAAAACTGGCCAGTCAGGTTCAGAGTGTTCAGGGCCTGTGTGACCTTGATTATACAAGCAATTAAATGTGTTGATAATCAAAGCCTATCAAAAGATTTTGCAGAATTTTCTGTATCACAGGTTTCGATTGGTAGGTTGATCTGGCCTCCAACAAACAATCTGTGCATACTGAACACACCCTTTAAAAAAATGTCTTTAGTGGAGTAACAACTGAAAATTGTTAGTATAATTTTTATTAGACCAAAAAATTCCTTACCCAGGAAATACCTGCTTTCAGATGGAACAATATGCTTGTCCTCAATTATTGATAACTGGTTCATTTTTACTGCGTTAGTATCTAACTTGTGTCTTGTAAAAGTCTATTCAACACAATTCTTAACTAGCTACCTATGTACAATTTAGAACTAAGAAGACATCAAAATTACCTGCTTGAAAATTTAAAGACATTTCTTTAGGTGGGTGACCATCATCACCAAAATTATAAAATTCAAAATCAGTGTTAGAAACTGGTTCCATAGTTCCATCTTGGTGGAAAATATAACCAATTGTCAACCTAAAGTTTCATAAATATAGTTCCATGGATTACCTTATTAATCATAAGTGAAATTTAAACTAAACTAAATTATGTTATGTTCTGGAGTGATTACGTAAGGCTGCGGTCTCTTCATTAGTTCACCTAATTTTTAAAGTCAATTTTTTAAAGTGAATTCCTGTAAGCTGCATGAATAAACAAAATGATGAGATAAATGCAGAACCTTGAAATGTATCCCTTGATAAAATAAAGACTTCCCTCTCGCATTAGACTTGTTTGAAAGATTGTCAGATAATCAGAATATTTTTTGTGTGGCCTTTAGATGGAATTGATTGATCAATACTTTAAGGATCAAAATGTTATTTAATTAAACTATATTTATTCTGGCATGTTGGGGGTAAGAACTTAATTTTGACAGTATGCATACAATACATATCATGAAATCTTGTTATGACAGACACACAATTTACCTTGACATGGTAATAGGCATACATATACATCCGACGCATACACATGATCCATCTTCAAAATACATATATTGTATACCATATCTATGTAAGTTTTTCCACTCTCTAATATTACCTAAAAAATTGAGAATAATACAGTTTGTTAACTATGTATTGATGTAGCTTTCATCTTGATAATTTTAAAGCACCTTGTACAAATAAACTTTCATTGTTAAATATTGCAGCAGTATATCAATATGATTGTAATTTTATTGATGAATAGTTGTAAAAATTAATATCTCAAACATTGCACGGATCATATTATTAATAATTAGTAGAAATTATAATATAGTATTGCCAGGCAATGAAAATCCACCCACTACCAGCTTTGTGAGAGTGAGAGGAAACAGAGGATGTCACAGTATATGTTGTTACATCAAAGAAGCAATAACCGCATCTGAAAAACTGTACCAGGTTTTGGTGAGAAAAGTACTAAATTTAAATAAAATCGATGCAAAACTCTGATAGGGTTTTTCCTTACGACTATCCAATAGCCAAACAAAATTATTTGAGCCAGTTTGTCTCCGACAAAAAAAACAACTTATGACTAGCTGAAAAATCCCAGCAGGTTTGTTTTTAAAAAACCCCAACAAAAAACAAGTTGTAAACAGATGGACAAAATATTTGTGTATAAAAATAAGTACCATACAGAAATTTATTAAAATATAAAGAACATGATGTTTGTATTTTACCATAAGAATGATCCCTAACACCTTGTACTCTTATATCAATGGTATTATAACCATCTATATTAATGGAGCCTGTTATTTCACCAAACTGTTCATAGTGTGTCTGATGTGCTCTAAAATGAAGAAAATGTGCATCAAGACTTTTAGTTTAACCCTTTTCAGTTGAGGTTTTGGGGAATAAATTTTAGGAAAATTAATGAAATATCAGAATCTAACAATTCATGCCAAATATTATATTTATTATTGACGTGATAACAATTGGTGATACATTTTGAGCAAAATATGTGTTGCTTCCCCCTTAAAAGTGTTAAGCACTACAAGTTATTAAATAGGTATTATGCAACTTGTACAGTCAAAAATAAATAATGAAAAATCGATATATTGAAAATTTCATTCAAATTACATTATTCTGTGCAAAGTTACCAGCAACGGTAATGGATAAATGAGACTCTGTCTCAATTATCCATTTTATTGTTAAATCTCGCAGACGTTCTAATCCATTTAAATTTCTGCCATTCGATAATCTAGAGAGTAGATAATGGGCTTGTCAAGTTTATGTCTAATAAATGATAGTTTATATAACATTTGAAGCCAAAATAAAGACCTGCAATAGGCATATTTAGCTCTAGCTCTTACATAATGCATCTTTCATATAGAAAAGCTACAAGTAACTTTAAATAAATATTTCCCTATTTTATCTTATTAATTTTTTATTAAATTATTTGGCATTTATGATTCAAGAAATCTAGTAAAATATGTCAAATAAATGGTTAAACTTAAAGCATGAACAACATGAGCTTACTTTTGAAGTGTCTGAAAATATTCTCTGGACCAGTCTTCTCTGGCTATAGCATCTGCCATGACACTGGGATCTAAATCAGTATCAAAATCAAAATATTTTGAAATGGCTGTCCATTCCAGATCAAAAGATACAAAGAGTGTCTTCCCTTTCTCCGACAATCTGTAAAGAGTATATTAAAGAGATTTATTTAATGTCCGCTTTCACCCAGTTGATATCACAGACAAATAATACTACTAATTTAAAGGTGTACGACCACCTCCACCAAAGTTTCTCTTCTGCCAAAGTTCTACATATATATATATATATGGGAATGGACTGTCCAAAACATGACACCAAATTTCACAATCAAATACTGTACATAAATCATTACAGAACACAGGAAACGGATGGCTGAAACATGAACATACTTCAGTTTTCCTTTAAAAGATATTTTCCAATTTTTCATAACTTCTACTGGTTCTATCACAAGTCCACCAGCTGAATATTTTCCTTCTTCACCAGATAAGTTAGTGTCAGGCTGAGTAGGCATTTCTAACAAACCAATTTCTGGAATCTAAAAGAAAAAAAACCTCAATACCAATCGCACTTTTGATTGTTCTTTATTAGCTGGTCAAAACAAACAAATTTACATTTTATAAGCAGAGTTAATCTTAGCAATATATGTATTCATTTCAAATAAAATAAGACTCAAATTGAAATGTGTATTATGGCATATTTATATGCTAGATTGTTTAAGCATTTAAAAGTAAAGAACATATTTAGTCTATTCTATAAGAAATGGGTAACCAGTGCAGATCAAGTATAACATATGGGTGACATGGGCATATTCAGTTGTACCAGTCATTAGTCTTTTAGTATAAATTTCTGTATATTTAGTACACAGTCATTCTTTGAAATATATCGATATTAACAGGAAAAATTCTTAATTCGGCCAGGCAGCATATATTTGATGCTTTTAATGGCTGTATAAGTATAAATTTACATATTTTAACGGCCAATTTATTCATATTTATTTTATCCCAATTTTCTATCACAAAATTCTTACTTAATACTACATTATCCCCCCAATTTTCTATCACAAAGTTCTTACTTAATACTACATTATCCCCCTAAACCTCTGAGCCATATAAAACTATTTGTTTCACAACTGATTCATAAAGTTGTATCAGAACATGTGTTGGAAGGCGATTTAACATACATTATGCAAGAGCTAAATCTGCCTATTGCAAGAGTTTATTTAGGCTTCAGATGTTATAGAAATTATTAATTTATAGACCTTTATTTACACGACCAATGACAAGCTCAAAATCAACTCTGTAGACCCATGGATGGCTTGGATACAGTTTGGATTTAAACAGTCATCCATTTCAAATTAAAGGAGCTAAATCGCTAACATTTGGGACCTAGAAATTGACAAAAGTGGGTCGCAACGCATATCATACTGTAATATGAATGTATATAAACTGATTTACATTCAATGGTTTCCGTTTTTACTCCAATTTCAAATCAGTTATGTTCGGCGAAATAAGCCAGCAGTCTCAAGCGAGTGCAAATTTCTAGCGTCTGGTTATTCCAGTCTACATACGCCGTTTGATTTGGTGCAACGTGTCTAGCCTCGTCCCTCGAGTCTCTTGATACAACTGGGGCTGAAGCGCATTATGGTACACGATTCGTGTACCAATGGTAAAATGTTTTTTTTGTCTTAAATATTGGATATCAGAAGCCCATCTTTTCCCGGTAAGATCACAACATCAATGTTGATTTAAATTGACAAATAATTCGTGTTTTCAATGTTGAAGATTTTGGATGATATTGAGTTGGAGACTTAGCTACTTTAAATCAATAAATGGCAGACCAAGCTAACATTTATCGTTAGTCGCTGATGTCACTACCGGAAACTGGTGATGAAAGGCCTGCCAAGCAAGGCTACCATAAAGCCATTGAGCATGTTACTTGATAATCGAGAATATATGGGTGGAGTTATCGTCTGTCAATCAAACGATCGCCAATTTTCATAGACAGTGCAATTGAACAAAGTAAATCAATAAATGGCGGACCAAGCTAACGTTTACCGTTAGTCGCTGATGTCACTACCGGAAACTGCTGATGAAAGGCCTGCCAAGCAAGGCTACCATAAAGCCATTGAGCATGTTACTTGATAATCGAGAATATATGGGTGGAGTTATCGTCTGTCAATCAAACGATCACCAATTTTCATAGACAGTGCAGACACAATTGAACAAAGTAATTTGACTGAAATGTTCAACATTTTCTTTTTTTATCATCTATTTTTGAATTATTATACCAAGAATGGCCAACTCTTTATAAAACTCTTAACTAATGTATCTTTTAGATGTACAGACTTTATGCCTTTAACCAGGCTCTCCTAGCATTCTTTTTCCAATTTCACAATAGCTGATTTAAAAGATCTGTTATCATTTATGAAAATGCCTAGGTACAGATAATATTTGACAATTTTTTTTGTTGTTTTTTCCTTATTGTTTTTAAAGATCATAACTTTGCTTTTATCTTTATTGAGGTCCAGTTTCCAGTCATCACAGAAACGTTTTAAATTATCAAGATTGTTCTGTAATCCTACAGAGGAAACCGGAGGACCCGGAAAAAACCCACGAGGTTGGAATCAGCACAAGAGTAGATGGGATAGGATAATTGTCGCAGTCTGTAGAATTGTCTAAGTATTGATTTAGATCATTGATATAGATATAAAAAAATGTAGGACTTAAAACACAGCCTTGCTTAACTCCCATGGTAGAAACGATGTTATTCGAAATGAAGTTGTTGTATTTCACTGCACATAGGATCTATTTTTATACACAGATTTAATCAATTCAAATATTTTTCCATTAATGACATGTTTCAGTAATCTAAGAAGGAGACCTTTGCACCAAACTGAATCAAATGCTTTTGAGAAATCGACAAAGCATAAAAATAGAGGTTTCTTGAGTTTCTTTTATTTGTTGATTAAGTTGAGTATTAAGAATGAGAACATTATCCACTGTTCTACGGCCCGCTTGGAATCCACTCTGTGCTTGTTCTAACAGATTATTAGATTCAATATATTTAGATATATGGTTATTCATAATAGATAAAAAATGTTTGCTCAAGCAGCTAGTTACAAGCATCCTGTATGCTCCCCTTCTTATGTATTGGGATATGAACGATTCACGCCACAGTTCGGGAAAACTCCCAGATTCAAGAATTAGATTGAAAAATTTTTATATACACATCAATCATGTACTCACATGATGGAAGAAGCATATGAACTGGGTTGTTATATTCTCCAAGGGATTGCTGGAATCTCATAATAACTAACAGGACGTGCCTAAAAACATGAACTGAGTCGTTATATTTTCATTTTCACTTGGGAATTTATATATACAAAAATATTATAACGACTGGATACCATTAGATGGGAGTATATTGTCATTCTTGTAAATGGCCAGACAAATCAGAGCTTTCAGGTAGCCTATTATTCTTGAAGTTTTTCAGATTGTCGAATTTACTAAGGGTTGTTGGCTTGTCCCTTTCACCGAAAACTTTAAAAGCTCAAGATTTTTGGGTTTATTGAAATTCTTCAGAACATTAAAAGGACAATCCCGATTGAAATTTAGTTAAGCGCAACAGTTTTTCCACAGACTTACTTCATGCTCGGTCACCGAATAACATTGTAAATACCCAAACTTGTTTGGGCCGTCAATAGTAGGACCCCTCTTGTATTTCGTGTTGCGGAGTTATTATTCGAAACTTGCTGGGATTGTTCGACTGCTAAACATACAGAAGAACCGTACTGAAATTCAAACTTATGCTTAAATTTTACACAGAGTTGTCACCATAACAGCAGAGTAATTTTCACTATTGCTGGAATTGTTATAGGTTAGCCACTATTATTATTCGAAACTTGCTGGGAAAGTTTGATTGCTAGACATACAAGGTGACAGAATGGACCTTACAATACATAAGTTTCATAGTGATAGCACCTCTTGAAAATAAAAAAAGATATACCAGTAGTATGAGTATTGTTTGTGTCAAATTTTTATGTCTTCTAGCTGTAGCTGCCACCACGTAAATACCATCTTTATTTCCTCCATTAAAATACACAGCATCTACAGCCTTAAATAAATTTAATACACTGGTAAATAGTATTTATATATGTTGAATAATAAATTATGAAAGTTAAAAAAAGGTTTTAACTCTAGAATACCATGTAGTACATACAAAATTGAATTTTTGTCTGGACAGGGTTCATATATGCATGCCAACAAGTACATGAAACTTTTAATTTCCATACCATCTGAACAACTAGGTGCTATTAAGTATTCCTTGCCAGAAATTGCATAATTAGGGAGAAACCATGAGTCTAGGTGCTGTCAAGTAATGTACCAAAACAAATCTTGGGATTTGGTAACAAAAAAAGCAATCTAACAGGCAATTAAGGACATAGCTTGGAGTTATATTTATAATCTTATACAAACATTTCCATTCAGAAGTGCTGAAATTGTTTTGCTATGTAAACTTAGTAGAAGAAAAAATTGCTAATATACCAAAATTGCTAAAATAAATTCTCAAAATTCTACTTTTTCTGAAATTAGACACATTTTTTACTTCAGCCTATGCCTGTGAATCATAGTACTGTGTATGATATAGACATTTTCTTGTCACCTGTGGATGATTTGGTGAGAGTGTCTGAACCTTGTCCATTTCCTCTTGTGAAACTCGAGATTTCATACCATACCCAGCATCTTCTCCACTGATCTTTTTCAAATTGTTGCTTTTACGTTGTCTTAGCCAAAATAAAATTCTAAATAGAAAAAATTTGAGAGGAAACCATTTCCCCTTCTGTCTGTAAACCCCCTTCACTGGCGGTGGATCGGCTGCCAAAAAGAAATATATTCCTGCCAAAAACAACAGGCTGCTTATTATGAAAAACCACATTGCTCTTTGTCTTCAGTCTTTGTTGCAAGGCCCTCGCTGTCGGTTTGATGTAGGGTGAGTTTGATGTAGTTACTGACTGGTGAACTGTAAGCCCTCTTTCGTAACCTAAAAACAAACAATGTCAAAGTGTGAGCAAAGTCCAAACAAATTATATCATGTATCACAGCTAACTATCTGTTGTTGCCAACCTCTGTTGTGGGTATAGTTATTTTCTACTTTTACTTTTAAAAAGGGAAATAACTCCCATTTAATGTATGGAGGCAGACCACCATTAATTTCCCCATTAATTCTGGCCTCTATGCCCACCTCCAACTTTTCCCCAAATTTTCGTTGGGCTGAATGCTTTTCACTACAGACAGAGGAACAAATGGTCATGTCTTTGTACTAAAATTTGTATGAGGTAAACCACAAAAATTTTGAGATAGAAGAAGCATACTAAAAACATGTAACTAGTTGCCGTACATATCGCCGTAGCCAACCTGATAACCCTGTTATCCTTCCGCCTCAAAATCATGAATATTTACCAAAACCTGGCAGAAAATGTTAATTCAAACCCTCATCGTTATTTCTAGACCAAAAAATCAACAAAAATGGGCATGCAAAAGGGGAGAAATGAGAGAGAAAACGAGATGGTAAAATTTTATGGTGGTCTGCCTCCGGATGTTTCCAATACTAAACCGAAAAAAAAAAACGTCTGTAGTCTACGATTTCAAAATCAGAGAGGCACTTTATAATTAATCAAAATATTCTAGAAAACGACTACTAAAATGGATCAAAGCAATTTTTTGTAAACATATAGCCTACCGTACATTAGTGATTAATTCATCACAATTCCAAGACAATTATTAGACATTACGAGCAGAAGGTTTAGTCGTGTCTCTGTGTACACTAACACAGTCTATACAATCCTTTATCTGGTGTGACCACCGCGAGTGTCAATAACAGCAGCGCAGCGTCTGTACATTAACATAGAGTGGATCAGACGATTGATGAACGCCATTGGGCTTGGCACGTACCTGGAACCACTAGACTCCCAGAAAAGCCTGGCGCAATCCATCGGCTGTGTTTGGTCTCGGTACGTTATTAAGTCTCCTCTGAATTTCACCCCAAAGATGTGCAATCGGGTTTATGTATGAACTAAGGGCTGGCCAGTGCATAACGTTGACACCGTTCTGCTGTAGAAAGTAAGCCTGGCGGTGTGGGCACGGGCATTGTCATGCTGGAAAACGTTTTTTCGATGACGTGTGAAATGTGGAAGGCCTATGACGTGGGGTCTAAGAATAGCTTGATCGATGTAGCGCACTGCTGTGATGCCGTCTCCTCTCCCTGGACCAAGATTTTGGAACACCACAGGACCCGCTCTTTGGTTCAGGCCCATATTCCACCCGAAACCTATGCTTGGACCTCCCCACGAGTCTCGTTCCATGACAGATTGGTCAGAATAACGCTGGCCACGTCGACGCCATATTCTGGTCACTGCCACCAGTCTGCAGTTGATACGCAATACCGACTCTCATCAGTGAACAGTTCTACATTGCCTGTGTCGCCAGTTCTGGTGTTGTTGGGCAAACTGTACAAGAAGTTCACGTCGATGGCGAGGGGTGAGGATCGGTCCACGGTCAGGTCTACGGCAATGGATGTTCTCTCTGGTGAGACGTAGGTGATTTTGGGGGCATAATACTAAAATATGCAAATGACTACGAAAAAAGTCACTATAGAACCTAACAGAAGAAACATTTCCAGTTACATGTGACGCCCAAACGCACCAATAGCTACCGCATGGAATGTAGGTGATGCTTGGGATCATCATGGGGGTCCAACCCAAGATTTGCACGACTCTGACTTTGAATGTTACAGTCATTGTGGCATTGAATTCCAGGGTGGAAACATCAGTTTAATTGTTTTAGTGACCAGAAAACAAATTTTGATATGCGTCGGCTTACCCAAAATGAAAGGTTACGTGCCCTTGGCATGCTACAGATCGGCACAACACAGGCGGTTGTGGCGCGGACGATGAATATTTCTCAGTCTGTCATAAGCAGGCTATGGTCCAGATACCGTGATACACAATCTGTACAGGACAGACCACGCTCAGGTCGACCAAGGGCGACAACTCAAGCCCAGGATCGATTTATCCGTACCTTGGCCTTGAGAAATCGTGTCATCACAGCAAATCAGATCAGCGCTCGTCTTCAAACAGACACTGGTGTGAGAGTGAGTGGCCAGACGATTCGGAATCGACTGCATAGGGGTCACCTTCGCGCCCGACGTCCTCGCGTGATCCCTTGTTTGAGAGATCATCACATTCAAGCAAGACGTCGTTGGTGTAGGGATCGTCAACACTGGGATAATCGACGCTGGAGCAATGTGATGTTTTCAGATGAGTCAAGGTTCACTGTTGATTTTTTGGACAGACGTAGGAGGGTGTGGCGTCGTCGAAACGAGCGCTTCCAAGACGTTAACGTCATCAGACATGATCGATTTGGGGGTGGTTCTGTTATGGTGTGGGGAGGCATCACTGTTGCTGGAAGAACGGCTTTACATGTTGTTGCAGGGCGTGTTACAGGCCAGTACTACCGGGACAACATCTTGGCAGTCCATGTTGTGCCGTTCGCACGACGTCATGGCCGCCATTTCATCTTCCAGGATGACAACGCAAGATGTCACAGGGCCAGGATCGTTACAGGTTACCTCCAACAACAGAACATCACCACATTACCTTGGCCAGCACTGAGTCCCGACCTCTCCCCCATCGAGCATGTCTGGGACATGCTTGGACAGAGGTTACGTCAACGTCAACAACGTCCTGCCGATGTCCAAGAACTTGCTGCTGCGTTGCAACAGGAATGGGACAATCTGGACCAAAATGACCTTAGACGTCTCATTAGGAGTATGCCACGTCGGATCAATGCTTGTTTGGCAAACAGAGGAGGATTTACCCGTTACTGACTTGGTTGTGATGCTGTGGTAACTTTGCTGTTTGACCCCGGGTATCATTTTACCCTTATAATGGTCAGTCTGTGCCTTACTTAGTCTAACGATCATTTGGAATAAATCGATGAATGTGAACTTCATTTCATTTTGTCATTTGTTTCTTCGTCAGTTTCATTAGGTGACTTTAATAACACTTAAAAATCAAATATCCCCTACTTTTTTTGAATAGTATACATGTATATATTGGCTTTCTTAAATCTTCATATTTTTGGCATTCCATAAGATTATTTAATTGCGAAATTTGTATGTCTTCCTGGTATGCAGAATTCAGTCCGGCAATGAGTTGCTTATGGTATTGATATTTTCATTTAGTCTTTTATAGTACTTAAAAAGTCCTTATTGTTTTTAAAGATCATAACTTTGCTTTTATCTTTATTGGGGTCCAGTTTCCAGTCATCACAGAAACGTTTTAAATTATCAAGAGTGTTCTGTAATCCTATTTCGGTAGATGACATCAGAACAAGAGCAGATGGGATTGACCCGTAATATTTAATATAGGATAATTGTCTGTAGAATTGTCTAAGTATTTGTTTAGATCATTGATATAGATATTTAAAAATGTAGGACCTAAACACAGCCTTGGTTAACTCCCATGGTAGAATCGGTGTTATTCGAAATGGAGTTGTTGTATTTCACCACATAGGATGTATTTTTATACATAGATTTAATCAATTCAAATGTTTTTCCATTAATTTCATGTTTCAGTAATTTAAGAAGGAGACTTTTGCGCCAAACAGAATCAAATGCTTTTGAGGAATCGGCAAAGCATAAAAATAAAGAGAAGGCAATTTTTCGGTCATTTTGAAAGATATTATATTTTACTCTTTATTCCTATGTGCAATGGGCTGTGGGAGAATTTGGCCTGGACAGCGACTCTCACCAAAAAATTACAAGTTTATTGAATATATTATTGACTTCATCTGAACGTGACAATTGCGCGCCCAGTTTGGATTTGCGTCTCGAATATGACCTAAACGAAAAATTAGTTTTAGCTAATATGACATTATAGTTAATATTCCGCTTGTACGTCTGCTATCGTTATATTTTGTCCCAAACTGTTTTATCCTACTTGAGGCCAGGTGTTTGCCCATTCGTAAATACGTGGCGCCGCGTTCAATTACTACATTTTTGACATGTGGCGAGTCAACTAGCGACCGTCATCCACATAAATTCATTCAGCTCGAATGTGCTTAATTTGTATGGAGCTGTTGAAGAATATAGGTCGCCTAGTAATAATTAAGGTACTTGTCAATTCGCCGGGAAGCCAAAATTGCAATATTTCAACAATATTTATTTCATAAATTTACTTGTCCCAAATGTTCTCTCGTATTATCTACATATCTTATTTTCTACTTGGTCTAATTATGGCACATATCAACCTGAAATCAACCGTGCAGGACGCATTGCAGATCCGGCCTCGAACTGACGTTTTCTGGGGCGTTATCTTTCAGGTAGGTAGGTAAGGTCGCAATTAAAGCTTGATAAATAGACCTGGCGACCTGGCATACATTTTACATTATGCTCGCAGGTGTCATGCGGTAATTAAGGCTGTCATTCTCGAAGGCTGTCATAGGAATTACATCTAGTAATTGTGTGTCCATAAAATGTTCAATAACTAAATATATGTTTTAGAAAGAGCTGGCATTCTCTGCACGATGCGACCTTCAGAAATCATTAGTGGACAGGGTCCTGATAATCGGTGCATAACGAAAACTAAAGCATTTGACCAAAAATTATATTTTGACACAAACAATATACCAGGAGGCTGCCATTAAGTGAGTTTTCAGTATACCAGGAGGCTGCCATTAAGTGAGTTATCAATATAGCGTTACTAAAGCAATGTGTTTTTGTTTGGGGCTGTATAATCTCATTGATGTCAGTATGTGTGACACATTGATAATGGCGAGTTCTACTGTGCTAGTGAATGCATGCCTTATATCCGGAAATATGATCAAATATAGCCCTAAAGGATAAACTAAAATGGGATTTACAATTAAAGATCGATATTTTCATTATTGTTTACTGCGAGTGTTAATGGACGATTTTAATGGTAGTGGATACCTTCCTTCCATGTGAAAATAAACGGGGTTTATTGTCTAATTGTTCTGCGCCGTCTGGACTATTGAAGACGGGTATACGCCGTGCAGTCTGCTATAAGGGAACTTTTTCCCGGACAGCGGCACTTCGGCCTACTCTGATATCGAATTCCAACTGCCAAGGGCCCATTTAATTACGTGTACGCCAATGTGTACACGAGGTCTCGGGTTTTCGTCCCATCCGAACAACTATATGCCCTTGTCAGGCACTGTGTCCTGCACCAGTGACTAGGGGGAACCACGCTGGAAAATCCCGATGAACTCCTCGGCCAACACGGGATCGAACCTGGGACCACCGTATTACACACTGAACCACTATAGCCCCCACCTTCTATATGAGAATATGCTTACACGTAACTCTAAAACATGAACTAAACATATAATATCTGAAAACAATGTGAATTTCGTTAAAAGTATGCGAATGAACAAAGCGGTAAGCGAATATCCTTAAATGTAATTTAGTGAAACCCCCTTTAGAACGAAAAATTACTTCTTATGCCAATATGAATCGGGATAAATTTGTCACAGTACAACACCCCTCTTACAGACAACAGCCCGCTTCCATATCACAGACAAGTTGTCGAATATACTTCAACGTAATTTAGTATGCAACGTTAACTTTAAAACTCATATAAACAAATATTTGTATACTGAATTTGAATCAAGATTTAATTTCAGCCTTTTCTCGAACTTTGACCTTATTTAATCTAAAGTAATTCCGAATGGCTGTTTTGGGATGTTGACTCACCTAACAATTAAGCTTATGATTATCCTTGAAATTATGTGTTATATTAGTGTTGTTATGTATACCTAGTAACATTGTGTTATTATATACATGTATATTAGACCTACATATAAATATACGATTTGTGTTACATAGATAAGTCATATTAAGCTAATAGTATAACGCACTATGGTACTTCGTTTATCACAGGTTTCTTGTTTATCAATGAAGAAATCGTTATTGATGTTACCATCTATAGTAACTTATTATGTTCATTGTAAGTATGTATTATCCCACATCGAAAAGTTATACACCAAAGAATAAGTATGGCGACCGACATATTATGCAGTGCACACGGACATTTAATTGTATCATAAAATAATGTTATATAATAGACCATTTAGGAGTTTATATACGCCCACATTGTAACGTCACCTCGGTGACGCTCTAGAGGTTAAAATTATTATTCGACTGATACACAATGTTTAATGTAGAAACATGCTATGTAGAATGCGTGAATGACAAATGGGATGTGGCAGAGAGCAAATGTAAAATTTAATGAGAGAAATGTAAAATGTAGACACGTCAAAAAAAAGCATTTTCACACAAAACATTTGTTATTTAACACTTAACATTTGACGTTTTACATTTAACTCTTGCCTTAGAGGTATTTTTTGACTTTATCATTACCGGTGTTATGACTTTGTACATTGTACTTTTTACATATAATCAATGGAAAAGACATTGTAGCAGAGCATTTAATATTGGCAGCGATACCCTTCCATAGTTTAAAGTCATGCGACGGAGAACCCTATTGATTTTCAGCGATTTCCGAGGATTCCTGACAGACTTATGACATTTGATCAATTAAAACAACCTTGTGGGCGCTGTAGAATATAGGCGATTTCCGACAATTACTTTCAGGACTATCACCCTTGGTCAGTTGGAAACATCTTGTGAATATACGCAGTGTTTAAGGTCATGAAGTGAAGAAGACAATTGGTTTTCAACGAATTTTGCCAGAGTTTCGGCTCTTGATAAATTTGTTTGTTTAGTCAAGTTCTAAATTTTTCTACGTCCACATTTTCACGTGGACGTATATTGCCGTCATCCCCTGTCCCTCCGGACATCCGTCCGTCCGGCCAATTTTTATCCGATTTTGATATTTCGGACCGTAACTTCATGGATTATGGCCCCTGATTGTACGAAATGGACCCTATAGAGGTCATAATTTTTATCCGATTTTGTTTACACTTGAAATGTAAGTTTATAACCCAAAGATCTCGGTTCCTTTCGATATTCGCGCATATCGGACCGTATCTTCCTGAATTATGGCCCCTGATTGTACGAAAAATCGCGTTTTTAGCTTGTGGACCCTTTAGAGGTCATAATTTTTATCCGATATAAAAAGCCGTTTTAGTATATCACCGTTACACCCTAAGGATGTTTGAGGTCAAATTTCATGAAAATCGACCCAAAACTTACAGACAAAATGGCCGCCCCTCGTACGCAAATAGTGTATATCATCTGGTACATCAAGCTTGTGGACCCTCTAGAGGTCACAATTTTGATCCGATTTTGTTGAAACTTGAAATGTATTTTTATAACTCAAGGATCTTGGTTCCTTTCGATATTCGCGCGTATCGGATCGTAACTTCCTGAATTATGGCCCTTGAATGTACAAAAAAATCACGTTTTTAGCTTGCCGTCCATGTAGAGGTCACAATTTTTATCCAATTTAAAAACATGTGAATATATCACCATTACACACTAAGGTCTTGGTTCCTTTTGATAATCGCTTATATCTGAACGTAACTACCTGGATTATGGCTGCTGATTGTTCGAAAAATCGCATTTTTAGCTTGCGGATTCTCTAGAGGTCACAATTTATTTTCCGATTTTAAAAACCGTTTAAATATTTCACCATTCCACCATAATGAAGGTTGATTTCGATTTTCGGGAAAATCGAAATGAACCTGCCCGCCAAAATGGCCGCTCTTTGTACGCAAATTGTGTAAAAGTATGCAATACGAAGGTTGTGGACCCTCTAGAGTTAACACTTTTTATCCGATTCTAGTGAAACTTAAAACATATCTTTATATCCCAAAGATCTCAGTCCCTTTTGATATTTGCGCATTTCAGACCATAACTTTCTGGATTATTGCCCCTGATTGTACAAAAAATCCCGTTTGTTTTTAGCTTGTTCTCTATCCATCTCTCGTAAAATGTGGGCGTATCCTGCCTGGCAGTCACTGGTTAGTTTATACATCCTCATAGAGGTTACAATATTTTATCCAATTTTGAAGAAACTTAAAATATATGTGTATATCCCAAAGATCTTGTTTCATTTTGATATTGTCGCATATCGGATCATAACATCCTGGATATATAGCCCCAGATTGTACAAAAAAATCGCTTTTTAGCTTGATCTCTGTCTATCTCTTGCAAAACGTTGGCGTATTTTGCATGGCAACCGCTTGTTTTTCTTGGGGTTCTAATTTGGGCTTCTATTTTCCATTTGCCAGAATACAACAGATTACACAGAAAATACAGACTAGGTCTACCTTCCCTCAATATTTTCGCACGATTGTTTCTCAATAGCTTATTGGTGACATGAAGATAGATTTTCTATTATCCAGTACCGGTACGTATATAGTCTTTGTAGATTTTATTTGTTTTTACCAAAAATATACAATGGAGAAAAGAAGGTGCGCAACTACAAAGTTAATGGATTGAGATAATTATTTAAAATTCAATTAATTGAAAATCGCATCTAACTCTCAAACTATATATGAAAATACACTAGAATACTTGACAGCAAACGATGAAGAAAACAACGAATGGGATTGTTTACATAGAAATACACCTATTTCCTGTTCCGTCTACGCGAAACTAGTAAACGGTCTATTGTAAGAGTCACTATTCTCAAATTTTCTATTATGGAATGATATATATATAATATAGGCTATATCTACTTAACCAGAAAATAATCATCTATAATAATAGACATCCTCTCTTTTAATCATCTATATTTTATCTGTATGCACAGACATTATAGCTATCCATTGAAAATAGTAATATCATTTTAATCTTGAAGCACGAAATGGTAAATTCTTGGATTATCTTCTGCCATTCTTTGATATACGTTTAAGTCTCCCAATAGCCATTTGGTCAACACATGAGAAGCATTCCTTACGTCATTCGAGTAGATAATTAGGCAACAGGTTGCCAATTAGTGATACCCGTACCTTACATCATTGTCATGTGGGATTCCCCATGGGTGTTTTTCAGGGAATCGAGTATTTTTCTAGTAGGATTGAGTATATCTACTTACCATATGTATCAAATTGGAAATAACTACCTTATTAAAAAACTTTCGTCGAAATGCACCCTTAGCTATTGCTAAATCTTGTATACTTATAGTTAGCGCCATCTTAAAACTTAGTCTTTTTTATCCCATTCTTTAGCTATGATGAACAGTTTCAAGTTATTACGTCAGTATGGGCAACACAATTCAATGCTCCTACACAAGTACAATTCTACAGTCGCTGCTGCACAACTATCTGATATCAAAACCTCTAACCCTAAACCATTTAAAGATATACCAGGACCTACAGGAATATACAATATACCAAAAATTGGTGCTATGTTTTTATTTAAACCATTTTGTAAGTAATTTCAGAGAATTTTTCCCGAAAGATGTGAAAGGTAAATTCTGAAGTTGTAATAGCACGCCATGCCAAATTATGTGACGCAGTTACGAGTGTAATAACTGGGATTACATCAGGAGGTCTGTTGCACTACCGCTGCCACATACCTTTCTTTTGGCATGATTTTCTAAGTGTTTGTTTGACTCTCGGCTGCTACCAATGTGTTTTCTTACGATACCGACTCAAATAAGTAACAGGAACAACGATAGTTTTATTTCTCTACGTTTTTATGTCACAACAGTTAAACAATAGTCTGCATTACAATATTTAAAATTAACATCTCTATTCTAGCCCTCACTCCATCTGATCTATAGATGCCTATTCTTTTGTCTGTGGTGTTTACGTAAAAGACAACAGCTAAAATTCCTAATATGGAATGGACATGCACCCCAAGCTGTATATTGACAGGGATTATTAATTAATTTGGTCAACAAATATGATATATGTTTTATAACAAAGAAAAATGTAAATGACCAACATGTTCATTAATCTATAGCTCAGTTAACGTATCAAAATAACCAGTATATACTGTTTATATTTTTGGTTATGAAGTTAGAATCAATACTATGAAAGATAATATTGTTTCAGCCATCATATTTCTCCATTACTTGTCTTTAGACCCCATGTCCTGTTATTGTCACAATATTTCATAAACAATTTAATTTGCGTTTCAGATTAAACCTATACCATAGCTAATATTTTTGACAATGGAGAATAATTATTCAAAACCATAATATTATTTCACATATGATTTCCTCTTGTGAGTGGGCCAGGTCAGAGGGTATGACAAGGACAGGTGTCTAGGTGTTCGGATTGAACGAAAACCGAGCCGTTTATTACGGAATCCTTGTCAGTTGGAGAAAGCGGAAACACCGCTGTGCAGGCAAATTATTTCTCACAGCACGCTGTATAGCGCATGCCCATGTTCATTAGCTCGGGTGGGGCAGAAAAGTGAAACGTTATTGTAATAAAAAGAATATCCACCGTTTTTTCCATCAGTTCTTTGAATATATCTTCTTTCGTTTTTATACGGCCACACATTCCTGGATTATGGCCCCTTATTATACGAAAAGTCGTGTCATTAACTTTAGGCTACTCTATTCTATAGGTCACATTTTTTTATCCGATTTTGAAGAAACTTAAAATATATATCTATATCCCAAAGATCTTAGTTCCTTTTGATACTGGCGCATGTCAGACCGTAAGATCCTGGATTATGGTCCATAATTGGGTCGAAAATCGCCTTTTTATCTTGTTCTCTGTTCATCTCTTGGAAAGTGTGGACGTATCTTGTATAGGCAACCGCTTGTTTCATTTTTAGCTAACTATAACCAGGAACGTTTCCATGAGGTACTGGACAATGTGTGTGATAAATATGGACCTATAATAAAATTATCCCTTATGAAGTCCGCTGTATTCACCAGCGATCCCAATGATATAGAAATCGTCTATAAAAATGAAGGCAAATATCCAATTAGACCAGGATTGGGACTATTCGAAGTTTATATTGAGAGAACTAAAAGACCCAAAAACCTAGGAATTCTGTAAGCAACTATTTTTTACGAAATATATTTCTATTAATCACTTAACACTTAAACAAATAAGTCAAATTGACTCAAATGTACATACCGAGTATTCCTCGCCGTGTTTTGGTTGATACATATACCCTCAACACTGCTGTATCAATGCATATACTTAATGTTGATTGATTGTTAAGCGTTTGTTAACCAGTTGTAATATGAAACGAAAAATCTTGTTTAGTTCAGAAAGACGTGTTGGGACTTTAAATGAGAAACATATGCCATTTTAACAATTTCGTATAATTATACGGAGGGATATTGCACCTGGTCGTGTTGTACAGATCAGTGATATTTATCAGTAAATAGTTTTACCTTTTATTAACCTATCATACCATTTCCTTGCAGTAATAAGGAGCCGCAGTGGTCCAGTGAGTAAGTCCCTGACTCGCTACCTAAGGAGGCGGATTCAAGGGGGGGGGGGGGCAAGGGGCGCCCCCCCCCCCCCTAATTTTCGACAATGCCCTTTTTTACTGCTGAAAGTGCCTTTTCTCAGACCCAAATATGTCCGTTCCCAACCCGTTGCAGGGATCCCAAATGACTCAAACCATCGATTCAAACACACCAGTCTGGTCTAATTAATGCTTCCACTTTCAAACGAATTCTTGTTGTTTAGCTGACGGTGCCCTAATCCTATAGAGTGCTATAGACAGACATCTTGTGGAATCGGCGGCGTATACACTCATGTCCATCACCGACGCGCATGAGTACAACTTGATGTAGCAATGTTTCATGTGTGGACAGTACAAAGAACAAGTTACAAGGCTTAAATAGTTAAGTGGCTAGGGAATAGATTCGTCTTTTTTCCCATCATAATGCCTCGCGCGCCCTTGACAATTTTCGAGCCGCATGTTCAACTGGCTTTTTTCCTCGATTTTAAGGCTCTTTTTCAACGATTTCCGAATGTTTACTTAAACGAAAATATCAGCCAAATAGCTCTTGGAATGGCTACAGATGCAAGGAAATGACGGATAATTTTCTTGGGGGGGCCCCCCCCCCCAAAAAAAAAAATCCCCTCTCAGCGGCGTGCCCCGTCTCCGCGGTCAGTGCCCTCATTTTGCGGCGCCCCCCCCCCTTTTCAAAATTCCTAGATCCGCCCCTGACCTTGGACGTCTCTGGTTCGCTCCCAGTGTTTTCCGGTGCGGTTTCCGTTTGTTAGTCATGGTACACGACAGATGGGATGAAAAACTAAGGTCCCGTATAAACATTGGAGTGCACGTAAAAGAACCCTTGACAGTTGGAATTCGAAATAAGAGTAGGTCGTATTGCCGCTGTCCGGGTAAAATTTATCTCATAGCAGGCAGTATGAGGGTTTACGTCAACTCGACATAAATTAGGCCATTTCCGGACTAACATATGGTTCAATTTTATTTCATCTTTAGCAGTGGGAGGAAACCCGAGGACTCGTAGAAAACCCACGGGGTTGAACATACTGGACATACGACCCTACTCCTTGTCACGCACAACCGGGGGATCGAAACCACGCCGTTTGACTCAATGGCAGATCTTATGATGCAACACGCACGCGTTTATCATTCGCCCCCCCCCCCCCACACACACACACACACGTTCAGAAAAATAGGACGTTAAACCCCATTTCATTTCATTTAGATTTTACAGTAAGAACATATTACTCTATTTATCTTAATTCACGGTTGTATATGAACGTGATGCATTTCTGTTAAATTTAGACATGGCGAAAAATGGGCTGAGCTTCGGCATCAAATACAGAAAAAGTTGGTGCGACCGAAATCGGCTCTTCATTACATAGAAAGACAGTCAGAAGTGGCTACAGATCTGGTTCATAAATTACAGAACACCCATCCAGACCAGGTCCGAGAACTCTTATTCCTATATGCCACCGAATGTAAGTAAACGATAATCGTATACGAATTTACCTGTTCATGAAAATAAATTATGTAGGAATTTTGTCCGCATATTATCTGTACCGTATCCATTGTATAATTGTTCAGTGCGTAAACTAAATCGGTGCCATAATGCCCGGTTGTGCTTGGTTCCTTGGGAATGAGACTCGGGTGAAACCATATCAGTTTGGATACCGGTTTTCACGTGGCACGTAATTTATAACATACGATATAAAATTTACCACTTTGATTTTTAACGACCTTAGCTGTCCGTTATTATCATAAATCACGAATTTGGTGATATTTATTTCGAGGGAATGGTAACAAATCTGTGAAAAATCATTACTTAGTTTTTCAAAATTACCACACTTTATTCTCAACAAATCGGCCCCGTTTGTCGCGACGCAGGAGCGCCATCACGTAGCGATCTCTAAAACTATTATGGCCACTTCCGCCTTCATTTCTATCGGGTTTGGAGCTCAAAGTACGGCAATAAACTCGCTCTAACTTGACTGAATGAAAAATCTAACATACCTTTCGACTTTGTGGAATAACAATCTATAATTCTACTGATCTTTTTTTTGAAAATCTTATCGGATTCCTGAGAACAGATGTAGGCCTATTTTCTTCATGATCACCATCAAAACATTGAAGAATCCATTATGTCGTAAATTTTATGTTAATTAGATTGCCATTACTTAGATTTTCCTTTTTCTCACTGTTTTATTGTCGATTTGGGATGATACGAATATTTAGTATATATTAAAGACGTCTCTATTCATTTGACCTCATTTGACGTTTAAACCTATATAATGTACATGAATTTTAGGTACTATTTTTTTTGCGGATGAATACAGCTGTTCTGTAATGCTTAATATTGATCTGTAACATTAAGAGTTAAGTGGATTTATCTCCCTTTCTTAATTAATAATAATGTTCTCATGAGCCGTTTTTTTTCGCCATGAAGCCTTAGTGCATAAGGTACTTATATGTGTATCTCCCCTGTTGTGAGCTATGTATACTATTATATTTTCTTACTTGACTGTCATTTGGGTTTTCCCTCTTTGTTTGCTCTGTACCATGTCCCCTGTGGACCCTTGATTGGAAATAAAGCTATTATTATTATTATTATTTATTATTATTATTGTATTCTGTTGTAGACTGTGAAAATTTTGGATCCATGTGTCGACGCTTTAAATCACATGGATCCATTAAACCTTCTAACTGTTTAATTCCATTTTTTTCATTGAAGATTCTTATATTACAAATCTTTCCTTGCACTAGAAACGTAATCACTGGGTGATAGCATTGAATTGTGACCTATGATGATGAGTTGGCGTGCACGTAAAAGAGCCCTTGAGAGTTGGAATTGGTACTCAATTGCTGCCTGTGTAAAATTTCCATTGGACCTACTGAATATTGGATATTATGTAGACATTTACGGTTAGAATTCCGTTTCGTAACTAAGAAAATTAAGGTGGCACAGGGACGTGGTGTCTGCTGATTTTGTATTAATTTTGGCTTGGTATGGTTGTTGGCACCTTCTTATTGACATGGATAAATACAAAAATATGACAAAGTCGAAAGTCGACATCATGCTACACAAGCCAAATGCCTGTCGAAAAGTAGAAGTCACGACAAAACAGGGTTGCTAATATCGCGATGTGTTTATTTCTTAAACATACATTATGCAAGAGCTAAATCTGCCTATTGCAGGTCTTTCTTTAGGCCTGAAATGTCACTATTAATTAATTGCAACAGAATTTTTCTCGATGGAATCTGGTAAAGGGGTCCCTGAAGGTCTCCCAAACAAAAATCGCCCAAAATAAAGAAATAAGTTTTCGGGTAATTAGCACAAATCCAATATGTATTACGGGTAGATAGGAAAGATGGCTCAGAAAAACAAAGCCAAATGACGTCCCTGTTACGTCATACGACCAACAATTTGCATAAATCCAATATGGCCGCCATTGAAACTTAAAACTCCGATATCTCGGGAATGGTTGAGTTTGGAGGATGTAAATGGTTTACGAGTCGATAGGAAAGTGCTACCAAAGAACTAGAAAAACGATGCTAGGTGACTTCCTTGTGACGTCATAACGTCATATGGTCAACAATTAGCATAAATCCAATATGGCCGCCATTTGCACCTTAAAAATCCAATTTCTCGGGAATGGATGAGTTTGGAGGATATAAATGTATTACTGGTAGATAGGAAAGTGCTACCAAAGAATCAGAAAAACATTGCCAAATTACGTCACCGTGACGTCGTAACGTCATACGTCCAAAAATTAGTATAAATCCAATACGGCCGCCATTGGAACCATAAACATCCAGTTTCTCGCGGATGGCTGAGTTTAGAGGGTGAAAATGTATTAAATGTACTTGTATCATCTTGTCAAACAATTCATATATTTCATTAGTTTGTAAAGGTTTTAACAGGAATATTTTACTTGGTTTCTGATAGACCTGGATTTCAATTATGGACTGTACAATTCTTCTGCTAACAATTCTTCTTTATTGACGATTTCAGGGACTGTAGTGTCAAGTATGCAGTTGGTTCAGGTTCAGGTTCAATTTTTAAGCTGGCATCAGGTGAATTACACTGTTAGAAATAAATGTTAATTTACCGTAAGAATGTGGTAAAATATTTACGTAGTTGTATGTTATTTTACAAATGTATGTTTTATTACACCAAACAGGAGTGATAGTACAAATAGTCGTAAAAAAAACATATTATACAGGTGATTTTACCGTGAAATAATTTATTTTTACATATGTAACGTCAAAATACAGTAATGTTCAGTGTATTCAAACTATAGGAAGATGTACCGTAGCCCAAATTGGTTGTCGTAAAATGTTAAATCACAGAAATGTTTTATTCAATAGTAATGAAAGCAAACCTTGAAATATTTTTGTTAACATTTCTCAACACACAACTAATTAACAGTGACCGTTGAAGTCCATAACCAAATAGCAAATGGTGTTACGACAACCACCAGGTAAACTGTCAGAAAAGTATGTAAAATTACAGTAGTACAAGGGTTTTTTGTACCTCAATTATCGGTATATTTTACAACATATACTACTTTTACCAAGTCTAATGTATTTTTACCGAGTTTCTAGTATGTTTATCGAGTTTCATGTCTTTTTGACAATAAGTGGCGATGGAATCAAGGACATATTCAAAATCCTGTAAAAATACATATAATGTAATAAAATTGAACTGAAAGTAACGCAGCAAGCGTGTTACTTTACAGATTTTACGTTTGTTCACATTATTATGTAATTTACTTTTAGGTAAGAAATATAAGTAAAATTACAGCAGTTAAAGCATTTGTTTTTACCTTAAAATATTGAACGGAAAATAACATCCAGCATGTCATTTTACAGACTTACGTTTATTCACGTTATTTTGTAAATTTACTTATTCGGTAAATTTACTTATTCGGTAAATTTACTATCTCTTATTGTATTTTAGTATTCCATAGAAACGAAACATTCCTACAAGTATCTTCTTATGGTATTCATTTCAATTTATTAACCATAATATGGACAATCACATCTTGTAAATTTAGTATATTGCATGTCATGTATATCTAGTTTCCATTATTTCTAAGATCTATAAAGTGTATTGATATTTAGCGTACGTTAATCAGTTTGTAAGTATTTTCTTAAATGCATAAAAAAAAAAATTTTTCTTGCCGTAGGGTTATTATCTCGTTTTCAAGTTCACTTGAAGACGGTAAATTAAACCGATTGACCAGTGTTAGTTGGGCCGGACTGTCTGTAAAGCAGGGCTATAATGCCTGCAAATAGATAGTACCGCGAGCTTACATCTGAAAGCCTGGAACCATGCTCTCGTCTACCAAACAGGATTATCGATATTCAATATATATCGAAGTGATATTAATACGAAATATTTTACACCGGGGCTATTGCTCGAATCTTGCATGTAAAATTACCAATATTAGTATTTTTAACAAAAGTGTAAATTAACAGTGTGATGTATTTTTACAAGAAATGTAAATTAACATTCTGATGTATTTTTACAAGAAATGTAAATTAACAGATATGTCCTTCTACAGTAAATTGTTAAATAACTAATGGTGTAATTTTACCTATGATTTAGGGGCAACTTTTGCTGCCCGTAATTTTAGGGTAAAATAACCAAAATATTTCTAACAGTGTAGTTAACAAACTTGGCGGCTCTAGTTCTGGAGCTTCTGTCCATGTGTCTCTTATCTGTTTATGACATGTGGTTGATAGACCAAATAAGGTAATGTTCTCCCCCTGGTTTGGGGAGAATGGGAGTGCTTATTCCATATTTGGGAAGGAAATGAAGGCCTAGGTCAGACTATGACGTGCAGAAATTAGGGAGTGAAATTGAACAGAACTCACCCTGATATTCCTAGCAGCTATCAACACTATAAACCTCAGAATGCCTCGTTCGGCATTTTTGTCCAAACTTGGCAAAAACGTGCTAATAAAATTTTTTCCACAATTTTGCCACGTTGTAACGTGGTAAAAACAACATGCCACGTTTGTCTGGAGTTTCAAAAAGTTTTTTTTTTTAATTGCCATGTTTTTGGAACGAGGTATTTTGACCAGAACGAGGCTGTTCACAAGGTTGGATACATGATTTTTCAAAAGGATTGGGGGTGGGGTTCAGCCAAACCAAAGTTTCGTCGAGCGTATCGAGGACAGCATAACATTATTTGGAGACACTTTCAAGCGATTATGTAGATAAAAAAAAACACGGCAAAGTCGACTAGAAATGACATTCGTTGCATAAAAGAGTTTGTTACATTCTTTGTTGCAGTTTCATATGTTCACACATTATTTCCAACAAAGAGATGTGAGAAATGAAAAACAGCCAAGTTCTTTGTTGCAGTTTCATATGTTCACACAATATATCCAACAAAGAGATGAGAGAAATGAAAAACAGCCAAGTTCAAAGCGGAGCAAACTCGATAATTGTTTTTTTAGGCCTTTGAATATTATTAATTACAAATATGCTGTTCCTTTTTTTATATAATATACGATATTATATTTAATATATCACATAAAATTTTATGTAATTGTCACTCAGTTGTATGCATAAAAATGGTAAAAGCAATTAAATTAAAATCCATCGAAAAATGAAATAGACACAATTTATGTTTATATAATGACATGCAAAGTGAGGCGATGCGAACAACTATATTAAAAATGATAATTACATTTACATCCTTCAGGTGACCGGCCTACGTCTGGATTCTTACATAAAGGGTCGATCTGGACTATATTTTGGAGAATAAAACTGCTTAATTTTGTGTTAAAAGCCATTAAAATCTTCTACCTTTGGACCGAGCAACTAACTCAATATACATGACACGTTTTCATCTTAAACCCGTCGTTTATTATATAAAAACAGGAACAAAATATTGGGTTTGGCTGAACCCCACCCCCAACCCTTTTGAAAAATCGTGTATCCAACCTTGTGATCAGCCTCGTTCTGGACAAAATACCTCGTTCCAAAAACAATGCAATTTAACAAAAAAAATACGTTTTGGAACTCCAGACAAACGTGGCATTTTGTTTTTACCACGTTACAACTTGGCAAAATTATGGCAAAAATTTTAATACGTTTTTGCCACGTTCGGACAAAAATGCCGAGCGAGGCATTCTGGGGTTTATAGTGCAATGCTTTATTGAGAACGTGGAACATAGAAGCCCTGCAAGCAGTTTAATAGTAAAGCTGTAGAAACGAACTAACCTGTACTTTTATCTTACGATCACAAAGGAAACACAACAAGGAAGTCCAGTATTACTACATCGTTGCTGCTTTAATTTCAAATAAGAGGTACAGAAGTCGTATGCATTCAAAGTACCGATCAGAAATCCTGGCCCATAAATATGATGTAGCTGTTTCGCGAACGCTGAATGAAATAGGTCTAAAATTGCTTAGGGTCTCGCAGCTTTTACCAAACATAATAATAATAATAATAATAATAATAATCGTTTTCTATAGCGCTGAACATTCAGTCAGTCTGACTGCTCTGTGACGCTTTACAACGTAGATATGATTATAAACAAATATAAATGTATATACAAATAAACAAAAGAATACAAAGGAATAGTCAAGTTACAATATACAAATGGAAAGTGAAGCATTTAAATTATAGTTCAAAAGTTTGGGTAAAAAACGGGTTTTTAGACGTCGTTTAAATATAGCCAAGTTTGGGCTATTTTGGACTTCCAGAGACAATTTGTTCCATTCGTTTGGTGCTGCGTACGCAAAAGCTCTCTCACCAAACTTTGACTTTTGTACTGGACATAAGGAACGTAAGGAAGGAGAAAGCACATATTGTTTAATCAAATCGGATAAATAGGGTGATGTCAAAGGATCGTTTAAACATTTGAAAGTTATTGTGTATCCTTCAGCAAAATTGATGCAAAATTTGTCAATGCACTCAAAAACTTTATTGTTTCTGGTCCAGGTAATACTTTTCTGGATGTGTGATGGATTTTGTTTAATAATCTTGCTGCAGATTAGTGTGGTTGCTGTTTTGATAAATCTCTTCTGGCCGAATTCCAAATCCCCTTTTCGTAAATTATCATAACATTGTCGAATAATATTGTCTTTTCACATTGTCTGCCCATAATACATAAGATATTAGAGTTTTAAGATTTCCATAAGGCGTAATTTAGCAAGGTTTTTTCTGATTCTTTGGTAGCACTTTCCTATCTATCCGCAACACATTTACACCCTCTGAACTCAACCATTCCCGATATATTGTAGTTTTAAGTTTCCAAAGGCAGTCATATTGGATTTATGCCAATTGTTGGACTATGACGTTATGACGTCACAGGGACGTCATGGATTATGCTTTTTTTTATTTTTTGGTACCACTTTTATATCTACCTCTAATACATTTACACCCTATAAAATCAATCACTCCCGAGATATTGGAGTTTTAAGGTGCCAATGGCGGCCATATTGGATTTATGCTAATTACTCGAAAATCTTTTTATTTTGGGCGATTTTTGTTTGGGAGACCTTCAGGGACCCCTCTACCAGATGCCGTCGAGAAAAATTCTGTTGGAATTTGTTCTAGGTCATTTATTATTTTTACCGGACTATAGACATTTATTAACAAAACAAGACCATAATTAACTCTCGATGGCACCGGATACTCAAGATTTTGACTAGATTAGAACGGTTCTCCATTTAAAAATTTAATTTAAAGACGGGAAAGCGAGGCTAAGTCTCGAATATACCAGTGCATTGGTTACCACAATGCACACATCTTGTCAAAACTACAAACAGTGATAACTGGGCTCAGAATGAAGTAATTTGAATGAAATTTTCAATATTTTCATTTTACATTATCTATTTTTGGGCTATTATGGTAGGGATGGGATAATAAATAGTTTTTTTTTTAATTCTTTAAACGCAAAGTGGATTTATAAGCGAAATATACCGAAAATAATGAATTTGACAAAATTTTGTCAAAAACTGAATTTTTCACTTGGTGCCGGTCATATAACTAATCAGTATCTCGTAAGATATGTTTTCTTATATGTCTTTTATATGGTTTTCGAGGTGGCTGAATTCAATTCTGGTCTCAAAAATGAATTTCGATAATCCAAGATGGCGGAAATTCAAAATGGCCGCAAAAATTGGTTCCAAAGTAGAGGATTTTCAAATAATCGTCATTTTTCCTGTTGGATATGTCTTTTATATGTTTTTCTATGTCTCTAAATTCAATTCTAGACTCAAAAATTAATTTCGCAAATCCAATTTAAAATGGGTTCCAAAATGGCGGATTTTCAGGAAAACCGTCATGACCTTTTCGTAATAAATTGTGTGTAGAAAAAATGACGTATCAATTAAATGATGGTGCAAAGGCATACGAGATGAAATTAAAATGACTCGCTATTTTGGCGGAAACAAACGTAGGGGATATTAAATTACAGATTGACTTCTGGATAAGTGATCGAGCGGCGGACTGCACGGCTTTGTTCCGCAAGTTACAAATCGAAAATGACAAAATATTGAAATGCTGCGCACATTTGATACTATGTATTGACTATGCCAAAGGTCAAACATTTAAAGACACTGAACAGAAGATTGAATTCGATAAACTGATCCAAGCTGATAAAATACTGCGTACAAGCTCGTCCAGTGTTCATTCGTTGGGTCTAATTGCATTAGCTAAGTTAGTATCTCCCGGTCATTCATCACAGTCCGTTTTGCTGTACAACGAATTCAAGGAATGGATGTCTGTTAATGGATATGATTCAGCATTATTCCCAGGGTTCGTTTCTAATCGATTTGGTAAGATTGTCGAGCTGGCTAGAGAATTTCTCAAGAATCTCGATGCTCTAGTGAGTGGCTTTTTTGATGAAAATTCGAACAAGCTGGTATTAGCAATTCATTCATTCATATCGAATACTTGGTTTATTTGCTGTAATGACGTCTACTCACTAATTGTTGAAATTCTCATATATCCTCTAATGGACCTACTAGGTATAGATGGAAGTGGAGGTGATCGAAAACGTAAGTGGGAAAATGTGAAAGAATTTGTTGATGCTAAACTGCCAGAACTAGAAAAACTGAGAAACGACTTCGCAAATACTGAAACTGGAAAAGGGAAGCTTATCGGAACTATTCCCGAAGAAGTACTTATTGCACTCCGGCGACAGTTATCCTCTATGGACTATTTCGGATCATCAACTGAATGTAGCATAGACGTTGACAAGTTTAACATGATGCTCCATTGAGTAACCTTGGATGCAAGAATGGTCAACTCTCTATCTAAATCTGACATAATGTGTCTTTAATTTTCCATTTTCGAGTCGATTTTGGCTGTACTTTCACCTCACATTTTTGTCGTAACTTCTACTTTTCGACTTTCGACTTTCGCGTTCTACACTGTTAAAAATATTTTGTTTATTTTACCCTAAAATTACGGGCAGCAAAAGTTGCCCCTAAATCATAGGTAAAATTACACCATTAGTTATTTAACAATTTACTGTAGAAGGACATATCTGTTAATTTACATTTCTTGTAAAAATACAGCAGAATGTTAATTTACATTTCTTGTAATAATACATCACACTGTTAATTTACACTTTTGTTAAAAATACTAATATTGGTAATTTTACATGCAAGATTCGAGCAATAGCCCCGGTGTAAAATATTTCGTATTAATATCACTTCAATATATATTGAATATCGATAATCCTGTTTGGTAGACGAGAGCATGGTTCCAGGCTTTCAGATGTAAGCTTGCGGTACTCTCTATTTGCAGGCATTATAACCCTGCTTTACAGACAGTCCGGCTCAACTAACACTGGTCAATCGGTTTAATTTACCGTCTTCAAGTGAACTTGAAAACGAGATAATACAACCTACGGCCAGAAAGTCAAAACATTTTTTTTATGCAATTAAGAAAATACTTACAAACTGATTAACGTACGCTAAATATCAATACACTTTATAGATCTTAGAAATAATGGAAACTAGATATACATGACATGCAATATACTAAATTTACAAAATGTGATTGTCCATATTATGGTTAATAAATTGAAATGAATACCAAGTAAATTTACAAATAACGTGAATAAACGTAAGTCTGTAAAATGACATGCTGGCTATGTTATTTTCCGTTCAATATTTTAAGGTAAAAACAAATGCTTTAACTGCTGTAATTTTACTTATATTTCTTACCTAAAAGTAAATTACATAATAATGTGAACAAACGTAAAATCTTTAAAGTAACACGCTTGCTGCGTTACTTTCAGTTCAATTTTATTACATTATATGTATTTTTACAGGATTTTGAATATGTCCTTGATTCCATCGCCACTTATTGTCAAAAAGACATGAAACTCGATAAACATACTTGAAACTCGGTAAAAATACATTAGACTTGGTAAAAGTAGTTTATGTTCTAAAATATACCGATAATTGAGGTCCAAAAAACCCTTGAACTACTGTAATTTTACATACATTTCTGACAGTTTACCTGGTGGTTGTCGTAACATCATTTGCTATTTGGTTGTGGACTTCAACGGTCACTGTTAATTGGTTGTGTGTTGAGAAATATTAACAAAAATATTTCAAGGTTTGCTTTCATTACTATTGAATAAAACATTCTGTGTTTTCAACATTTTACGACAACCAATTTGGGCTACGGTACATCTTCCTATAGTTTGAATACACTGAACATTACTGTATTTTGACGTTACGTATGTAAAAATAAATTATTTCACGGTAAAATCTCCTGTATAATATGTTTTTTTACGACTATTTGTACTATCACTCCTGTTTGATGTAATAAAACATACATTTGTAAAATAACATACAACTACGTAAATATTTTACCACATTCTTACGGTAAATTAACATTTATTTCTAACAGTGTAAAGGGACGAAAAGTAGAAATTACGAATGGTAGTTATAAGCTTACATACTCATTTGATCCGGGCGTGCAAAATCTCAAGTGGACGCAAAACCTTCAAACGCATGACGCTATGCGCACCACTGAGTCTCCGTCAATTAGCCCCCAGGTGTTGTGCCAAACCCCGCCAACCATAATTACATTATATTTTGTAGCTATATCGGTCGTGTGTTTTGATAGAAGATTAGGTATTTTAAGTGGAGTTGCAACCGAAGAGGTGAAGAATTATCTGGACAATGTCAAGACGTTTTTTGTGTATGTTAATAAGGGAAGACTGGGCCTGCCTCTATATAAATACTTTGAGACGCCGATGTACAAGAAATTCAAGAAAGCTGCAGATGAATCATATGGGTAAATTATTATATGTATCATTAATATTCGTGAGCCTGGTCAATAAAGTATGTGTATACTGATGTCCAAAAGAAAGTATACACACTAAAAGTATGACTAAGTTTTCTTTATATTAAAAACATTAGATAAAGCATTACCGAGTGTGTCTCTTGCGTCCAAACTCAACATTTCTAAGCAAAATAAAAATGTGAAACAAATTGACCAAATAACGTATACCATGGAAAAACGACTTTGGTTGATGCAGTACAAAATACGCAGTGTATACTTTCTTTTGGACATTAGTATAGTTGTGAGAGTAAGAGAAATTCTTGGCAGCTGGAATTCAAAGTGTAAAGGTGTCGCACTCACCCGCTTGTTGTCCTCAAAATGTCTAAATTAAAGTTGGCGACATATTAAAAACCCCGTTCAGTTACAGTCAGTCGGCGAACGCGATTATAATATAATATCTATAACAAAGACCCATCTAAATTCTGAACTGGTGGTGGGTACGGATTCGTTGTTAATTAGCATAGAATATAAGGTATTCAGGGTTATTTAGTATTATGTCCTGGTCAATATGTAACCTTTACTTCTAGTACATAATCATACCATTTTTAGATTCGGTCGAATGCAGATAGAAGAAGCTCTAAATAAATGTCTTCAAATGAAGAAAAATGGAACTTGGAATCCAGAAGAACCCAATTTTTTAATGTCATTGTTAGCAGCAGAGACTCTTACAATAGACCAAATCACTGGTTTGGTTATTGATCTATTGATTGCTGGCACTGACTCGGTATGATTACCACTGTTTCTAATATTATAAATATGAATAAGATTTTCGAATCACTTTAGCTATGTTATAACCACCCTTAGTGTAATAATTTGTCCAATGTAAATTTTCTGTGTTTAATATGGTTCTGCACTGGGACTTAAACACGACCCATCTTGTTGATCTTCTTGGGGGCGGCGGTCTTTGAAAAAAGACTTGGCATGCTTGTTCCTTGGACTTTAGACAGACACTTGGCCAAGTTTCATGAAGCCCACGTAAGACTTACAAGTAAATCAAACATTTTTACTGTACAGATTACGTATACATAATTTTACGAGGAACGGTGAACTATACGTTGAACATTGAACGTGATAAAAAAAAGGGGATGCGAGGTTTTTTTATTTTGTATTACCATATTAGTTTTTATTGCACAGTTATTTGCTGCCATTCTTATTTTAGACCGCTAAAAATCTAGAGAATTTCTTGGACTGTTTGGCGCGTTATCCAGAAGTTCAGGAAACTCTGTACCAAGAGATTATAGAACACATGGGCCAAAATGGCGATTTGACGGCCGATAATTTACCGAAGATGAAATATTTAGTAGCTTGCTTGAAGGAAAGTTTCAGGTAACAAACCGTTGTATCTTTCAGTATATTATATCTCTTTGGTGAATTTCTAAGATTACCACACGCGAAATTTGTGTATAAGCTATGACATACTCTATGGAAAGCATCATTTACAATCAGTTTTTCATAAAACATCATCGCATCCCTGGCCGCTGTTGTCCTGTGCTGCAATGTTAATGTAGCAACATGAAAAAAGAAACAAGAAACGCAACTACAGTCTAATTGACTGACATCATAATAATAGTGTGAAAGAATTACCAGTAATTGAGACAGTTTATGTGATTTATATGATGGGATATAATATAAGGTTTAAATATTATGTTGCAGATTACATTATCCTATATCTTTTGGAACTGTTAGAGCATTACCTGTAGATGTTGTATTAAGTGGTTATCATGTACCAAAGGGGGTAGGCATATCATATTGTAATTAGCGAATAAATCTCAACCATAGCAAGGTAGAATAAAGGGAGTATCATAATCATTAACGTCATTTCGTTCTCCACTGAAGACTTTTTCATTCTCAAATGTTTTGTCTTTATAATAATCCAAGAAAATTTGTTTTGTTTTTATTTATTTTTTTATTTTTTAGGAATAAATGACTTATTTTGGTGTTTTTTAAAATGACATTAAAATATTGATTAGCGCTGTATAAATATTGATTGATTACCTCGGTTATTTCATGTAGCAATGTATGCCTTACTGACCAAACCCTTCATTTAAAAAGGAACTCAACCATTTTGTCACTGGCATATACATTTGTTTTTAACACCTATTAATATGCACATATCAATGGTTCTGATATTTTATGTAAACATTGTCTTGAGTTGCTTTAAACATAGATCATTCGAGACATAAAAATTACTTCTAAAAAGGAGAATGTGACGTTCAAATTATTATTCTAAAAAGAGATTTTATACTCCCTTCGTCTATACTCAAAGTTTGGATATTATAATTATTATCGGCAATATACCATCATGTGGTTATTAGTTTTAAGATCGAGCCACCCGCCCAGAGCAAACTATGAAATTTCGTTTTGTTGTAATCTTTTTTATCTATTAATATTATAGCCCTACCTTCTAAAATGTGCATATTTCAGCCATTGATTGCATCCTGTTTGTGGGATTTGTTCAGGACAACTTTGTTATAGTTATCTGTCTATTATCTAATTATCTATTATGTTTTGTTCTTGGTATGTTGTAGTTCTTATAAATTATCATCCACGTGTTTACGTTTTGAAAGCAAGTGTAACGATTCGAATGTCATGTTTGGCATGAACATTGATTTCTTCCAGACATTAATTGGTTTAAATAATCGAAGATTGCTTTTGGACCCCAAATATGTAAAAGATCCAACCTTTTATAGACCAGAAAGGTGGTTACGAGATGAGAAAGGTGAAAGAGTTGATCCTATTCCTACAGTGGGTTTAACACCATTCGGTATTGGAGTTAGAAACTGTGTTGGTAGACGATTCGCTGAACAAGAAATTTATTTAGCAATTGCTAAGGTAAGAGTAGAGAAGCTATGCTGTAAGAAATATACTTCTTTTCATTAACAGAAATTGATTGCAGTGGTTTTTCATAAATTTATATTTTTGTCAAATTCTGATAATAAACAGAAAAAAGAACACTGCGTTTCTGTCCGCTCTTTTCCGATTCCAACTGATTTTTTTTACTTGCACACGGGTGGACCTTACTTATTCGTCGAGTCCAAACGAATAGTACACGTTTATAGGTCGCATGCACATCTTTATAACGAATGTCTGTAATTATTTTCTTTTATTTCAGATTGTTCAGAACTTTAAAGTTAGTCTGACAGGCGAAGTACCGCCACCAAAGATTATTTACCAAACATTTGGATTCCTTCAACAGAAATCAATGTTTAACTTTGAGAAGAGAAAATGAAAAAAATGCACACCTACGTTTCTGAGAAAATCTGAAAAACGAATCGGCTTAGTAACTGTTGTATTATAGAATATATTTTAAAATAGTATTGCTTACTAAAAAAATCCAGCCCTTCGTCCATATATCAATTGGGAGTTTTGAATGCCACATGATAGTGGCGTTTTCAGTATAATTGGTCCATCGCAGTCTCGTATGGATAAACGATTTTTAAAGTAAGTTGTTGTATATTGTATTGTATATATCGGTAATTATTGTTTTATAACAAGCCTAGCTGAGACATAAAATTGTTAGGTGTTGTCTTTTTTATCACACACTTTTGGCAGATAAAATATTCCAGTTGGTAAACAACTCAACATGGGAAATCACAGTCTCACAGATATACCTGAATATATACACTACAACCATCAAGACTTCAAATCTTAAAAACTATCGTTGTTTTAGCACAACACGTCCATATAATTAAACTTTTATTTTTCAAATATCCTCCATTTTTTAAGGGATTACTTTCAGACTTTTTGTATGGAGTACCATCATAAACATCATTTGGATTAAATGTTTCGGGTCTGTATGGAATATTGTAAATACTGCATCACAATTTCCTTGAAACTGCTTTTGGTTTTCAGCAATTTTTTATAATGAATACACATTGTTATCATTTGTATTACTTCTTAATTCAAGCCCTTGAAACTTTGTGCTTGGAATCATAAAGATGCACTGACAATTAAACATTGGACATTTTTAGTAAGTTTCATAGTAAAATAGTTTGTTATAAATTTTATTCAATATTTATTCAAACTCAACACATTGTTTAATCTTAGACTGTACACTAATAGTCCACTATTGAATGTGAAAAGGTCCAGCTGAATGGTTGATTGGACAATATGATGTGTTGCAAATGGTACTCCATAGAAATGAATTTGCTCCACAAAAATTATATCTAGGTAACAAACCCTCATAATGCTTATTATTCTAACATAAATGAATAAAAATCTATCCAAAATTTAGAAACAAGCCTTTTTACTAACATTTACCAACACTTGACAACGGCAGCCATGATAGCTTAGATTTTGACAGTTCTGTTTTCATCAATTTATAGAACGGTCCATATGAATAATGTTGATATTAAAAGATGTGACAGTTCTTGCAAATGATGGTCAATAGTCTATAATATTACAATTTAACACCTGATTTATCGATAATTATGATAGTATAAGTCAAAAAGTATTTACTGCAGCTTTATTCACCTTTCTGTGTCGAATTGCCGCTCAACGGAAGTGCTGATTACGACAATAAGTTTGTGAATAATTTATTTTTAATATTATCAAATCATGTAAATGACACCTCTACTGAGAAGAACTTTTCAATTCATAGATTATGTGGACACATTTGTGCCACTATATAAAACATTGGTCAGGCCACACATGGACTGTGTGGGCGCCACATAAACAGAAGCATATTGACCTGATAGAAAACATTCAGAAAAGGGACACCAAACAGTTACAGGACTCAAGGATCTTACTTACTCGGAAAGACTGAAACAGTTAAAAATCCCAACACTGACATACAGGAGATTGAGGGGAGATTTAATAGAATGTTACAAAATAGTGCAGACAAAGTACGAAAAACAGGCTGCACCTCCCCATAAAATGTGGAACGATGTGGCAAGGGTTGGTGCTCGTGGAAACTCCAAGAAGATTTTTGTCCCGAGAGCAAACAAGACAGGAAAAATTCCTTCACTGTGAGAGCCCCCCCCCCCCCCCATCTGGAATACCATGCCAGAAGATGTGGTCAGTGCGCCAAACCTCAACACTATTAAATCCCGACTGGATAACTTTTGGCAAAAACACGAATCTTGCTATAATTATAATGTTAAATCCACCAGAATAACATACAATTACTTTGAGTCGACGAGTAGAGGATCGTATAGAACCTGATCTGGAAATCTACCATAAGTAAGTAACCATAAGTAATTTGTATTCAGATATGAATTAATCTTATTCCGCAATTGTTTGAATTCAAAATACAAAAATTTGTAATTAAAGTTAACAATTTGCTCATTGATATTAGCAGAAGGCCAAGGATATTAGACTTTCGGACGCGAAGGTAGAAATCGTTCACAATATTCACGTTTATAAAACGGTGAAGTGTTTTATTACTAAACGGAATACGGCATAATTGTGTATATGGTGGTGTAAATGAAACCTTTACATATCGATATAATTTTCCGCTAAGCGTTGTCACTGCATAGGCGTACGGGCTTGATGACAGTTAGGGAGGCAGAACCCGGGTTTTACAGACAGCGGCGACGGTCTTCCTCGAGAGGCGAAGAAGCGGAGCTTACTTTATACGGACCCCCCCCCCCCCAAGAACATTTTTGAATATTTGACGGCTGCAAACACGTTTTCCTGCTATTTCAGCCCGTGAAAAAGCAACTTTAAAGGGTCTAATATAGCCTAATTAAGATGGCTGACTCGAATTCAAATCAAAAGATAAATCGTTTACAGTTCACAGAGACGGGGCCGTTGGGAGAAAATTTTGAAAATTTAATTGCCGCAAACGCGTTTTCCTGCTATTCCAGCCAGTGAATACAGGAACTTCAATTTGGTCCAATATAGCCTACCTGGCTGACCAGAATTCCAAACAACCAATCAATCGTCGCGGGGTATGGGGGCCTCACCCTCCCGGAGAAAATTTTGACAAATTAACCACCGCAAATGCATTTTCTGCTATACTAGCCTGTGTAAGCAACTCCAAAAGAATCCAATGGTTTTGTAAGCGAAATCCCATTCTGAATTCCAACCATCCAATCAGACTCTTGCAGCTGCAATAACAAATAATAATCGATGCCCGAAAAATGGGCTATCCTCAGATTCGGTAAAGTCTCTAGAAAAAGCAGTTCAAATGACGAAAGGTAGAACTTGGAACCCAGAAGATCCCAATTTATTGATGTCGTTGTTGGCAAACGACAGACTTTCCATTGATCAAATTACTGGTTTGGTGCTTGACTTGTTGATTGCTGGTACCGATTCAGTAAGTTTACATTTTTGAGGAACACTGATTAAAAACTAATGGACTTAGTAATCAACCACGTCAACATTTGCTCAATGAAAATTTATAGTCCATTTCATACAAAACAGGGCGCCATGGTGGCTCAAAAGGTAAAATAAAAATGATTGCTAACCAGGAGGTCCAGGGTTTGATCGAGAATTCTCCGGCGTGTTTTCCTGTTTGTCGGTGATTCAGGGCAGCATTTAGTCCTTCGGGTTGGACAAAGAAATGGGGTCCCATATACACGTTGGCGCACACGTAAAGAGCCATTGACAGTTGAAATTCGTAATAAGAAGAGACCGTAGCGCCGTTGCCCAGACAAAATCTTCCTAGTGACACAGTGCATGGATACGCCTGTCTTCATATAACTCGGTTGGCACAGAAAAATAGGACGTTCAACCCAATTTCATTACATTTGCAAATATCAAACCAGTGTCGATTAGCGACGGATATAATTTATTATCTGAGACGAAAAAGTCCTCCTATATAACATTCGAGTAACATTTTACATTAAATATATTTCAGACGGCTAAGCCCTTTCAAGTATTTTTGGATTGCTTGGCACATCATCAAGACGTACAGGAAACTCTACACCAGGAGATCTAAGAACACATGAGTTGTCATGGTGATTTGACAGCAGATACTTTACCTAAGATGAAATATTTAACAGCATGTTTAAAAGAGTCGTTTAGGTAAATGTAAACTGATTTCTGAATAACATCAAAACGGCAAATGGGCAAAAAAAAGACAGCAACTGATCAGCACTAATAGCGAAATGTCTTTCCCCTACTGGTTACATCTGATCGTATCTTCTATTGTATACATGAACTAATATTATATTGCGCCTTTATGGCAGCTTTGCATTAAAGGTGTCGACCAATTAGCTTTAGTAGATTAAGGTGTTACTTCATCATATTCCCATTCCATAACTGAAAGCTCCGTGATACTTTTTCACGCGGTGTATACGCTTTCGTGATAGAACTATCTCATTTGACGAATCATAAAATAATTATTTACTAACCTATTCCGAGTTGAAACTTTGTAGACGTCAAAATAAATGGTTTGGGTAGGGATATGGGTATTTTTATTTTAAAAATGGATTTTTGTTTTATATTTTAGGATGCATTATGCAGTCTCTATGGGAACAATTAGAATCTTGCCTAATGATATAGTTTTGAGCGGTTATCATGTACCCTAGTGGCTTACGTTTATCGCATGAAACGTAAAAATAATGTGGCAAATTAAAAATAGCAGTAGACACGTCTATAATGCAGATACGTAATACCTCTACAAAAGAATAATCTTAGCAAATAACTTAGCTGGTCCACAATGAGATGCATGACATGGCTCTCTTCTTTTACACAGCTATCTATTTCGTAAATCATTCTCAGGGGACGGTGACAGTGGGTGTATGTTGGTTCCTCTCAGGCGTTTTGACATTCCCAATTTTCTTAAAAACCTAATTTCAGACAAATATATTTTTGAATAACCGACGGAAGATGAGGGATCCAAAATATGTAAAAGATCCAACCGTTTATAGACCAGAAAGGTGGTTACGAGATGAGAAAGGTGAAAAGGCAGAACAAATACCTAGTATAGGTTTAATATCGTTCAATATAGGTGTTAGAAACTGTGTTGGTAGACGATTCGCTGAACAAGAAATTTATTTAGCAGTTGCTAAGGTAAGAACAAAGGCAGGTCTTTGATAACTGTCAAGTTGTAGTGATGCTGATTACATGCACGCAGAGCTAAGATTTACACTAAAAGGCACAATGCTGACAAGGGAGACAATTGGATCATCGATCATTGAAACAAAATACCCGGGATCCATCGCCTACGCATTGCTTACTGTATAAAAACTCCAGACAGCATCTGAAAGGTTCACGTGGCTAACAAACACTGATCAAGTGATAACGCTTTTGCCCGGCTATCTTGTACCCACTATCTTCGATTTCTGAAATCCAGGTTCACTACTGACTGTCATACACAAACACGTTCTGTTTTCTCTTTCTTTATAGAACACCCGGTATTCCTTCTCATTTCAACACCCCACTCGTCACACCTGTCCGTAAGTCCGGCAGCAACAATAGCTTGTGAAGGCGATAGTTTTTGAAGGATTTCTGCAAATTTTGTGCTGATTGTAGACCTTGTAAGGGTGGCCCCTATCGTTTTTTAGCGTTCTCTGTCTTTTTGTTCTGAGTTATTTCCCCCTATCATTCTCGTAAACACGATAGAGGCCAGAGTGTTCGAAGAATTATATCCCCTTTCCCCAAAACATTGTTACGGCTACAGTTCTTGGCAGATTTCTGTAACAGGTTGGTGAGAATTATTAGGGTCATGAAAAGATGAACCCTATTGATATTAAGGGTTATGTTCTGGAGTTACTCCCCTTTCTCCGAAAACCTTGTTAACGCCACAGGGGCTACTATTTTAACAGATTTCTTTAAAATTTGTTGTGAAGCATTGGCTACATGGGAGAAGGAATCCTATCGATATTTAGCCCCCATCCCACCACTATGAGAATCGCAACGGATTCTACAGTTTTTGACGGATTGTATGAAAATTTGGCATGAAGCGTTTTGGTCAAGAGAAGGCGAAACCTGTCGATATTCAGGATTCATAATAGTAAGTGCAGGAGGACAGCGCTACACGCAAAACAAATATCTACAAGATAAACCTGCGGACAAGACAGAAAATAGACATTGCACCAAATAAACAAATATCAAATCAAGTGAATGGATCCGGGGGCCAGCCGTAAGTTACCCCCCCCCCCCCTGCCCTTCTCTGAAAGACTTATTAAAGGATAGAGGCTACGGTTGTTAACGGATTTTCTTGGTGTGAAGCATTTGAGTCATGAGAGGACGAACACTACCGATATTCAGCGCTTCGCGACCAATAATTGGTTATCACCCCTATACCGAAGACCTTGTTAACAACATACAGTTTGTAACGGAGAGCATTTGATGTGACGAATTGGGTCATCAAACGACAAACCCTATCTATATATTCTGCGCTTCACGACCGTCTGTTCCGGAGTAACTACCCAAAAACCTGGCATAAATGATAGAGGCTACAGCTTTTAACGGATTTCTTTCAAATATTTTTATGACGGATTGGGGTCATAAGGGGATGAACCCTATCAATGTTCTACAACATTCCATCTTGTCAAAAAAACTTGTTATCAGGGATTGTTCAAAAAAATTGCAGGAGACATTTGGGTTTGGTGAGGACATATCCTATCGATATTCAACGTTCGAAGATATTCCGTTCTGCCCCCCCCCCCTCCGATTTCTGAAGACCGTGTTAACGTCTTAGAGACTACCATTTTTAACGGATTTTTTCAAATTTGGAATGAACCATTAAATGTAGGACTGTGAGAAAATTAGTCCTATTGCTCTTCAAATTTGCTGTGAAGCATCCTGGATATAAGCTGCTCTGGGGACAAAACAGCTGTGTTGGTTCTTCATTTCCACACTTTGCGTGGCTTCTTTAGTTCACATAGCTAACCAAACATTGTGCAGTAGTATTTCAGTTTGGAAAATATAAATGATATTGAGTTTAATCGACGTAAGTACTTATAAAAATGCTAACGCTTTCGTCATGGAGGTCGACTTGTTAATGGTCTGTTTCCGGAAATGATAGACAGTGAGGCACGCGTTTAGTATAAGCAAATAAAGAACATTAAAAATGGCAAGATAATGCAATATGCAATAACAAACTAAGTGTGAATGAAAACTTAATTAGTGCAGCTATATATTTTTCAGATTATCCAGAACTTCAAAATAAGCACAAACCACAACTCGGCAGAAGTCACATATACCCCTTTTTGCACTTTGACTGACCAACCAATGCTCACGTTTGAAGAATGAATTTAAAATAAGTTCCTGTGACAGAACACAATAACCATGTACTTACATTAAGTGTACATTATTACGTATAATCAGTACACCAATGAGATCATTTCAAATAAGAGATTATTTATACAGCTGAAGATGTCTGGATGCATGGTGTTCCACGGGCTTCTGTTCTGGGGTCTCTGGTTGTTAATACACCTGTTGGTGTTATAGCATAAAATCAAAATAGAGTCTTTCTGATGTTATTTTATACGCAAAAATCAACCAATAATGATCTGTACTAAAAAAAAAGAAAAACTAAAACATGCTTCATGAAGTGGCAATGTCGATTGTCTGTGATTTGACTCTACTGTTCATTTTAAGGTGTTAAAATTAGATTTTATGCAAAACCGAAGACAAGATCTGCTAATCCATAAGGTGGGTTTGAAGAATTATACTTCTGATTATTAACTCCTGGTAAGATTGAAATCTCAAACATTGTAAAGCTATAAACTATTTTATGTAAATAAATAAAACCAGATTTGTTACTCAAGACTATCGAGTTTTTAATTGCGACCACATAAAATCTGTCGCTTGTGCGCCATTACCATTGCAGTGGGTATCGACTTCCGTCGTCGTTGTTGGGAAATCACAAAGTCTTACGGGGATAACTAAATACTACAATCAACAAGTCTTCAAATTTTGAAAAATATGTTTGTTTTAGCAAATTCAGAAGCTTTCTTAGTACTAATTTAGTGACAAGCAATTTATTTGGGATTTTGTTTTTAAATGGATGTTGTCCAATATGAAAACTTAAGAAAGTTAGTTCAGAATGCAGTCTTTTTGTTGGCTAAAAGCTAAACAGATCTTAACCATTTCCCCAAAAAGGGATAAAGTCTTAAAAATATTTTAGTTTTTTTGGAAATGGTGACCCTGTGGTCTAACAACACAGGTTTCCAGACAAAGAAACATGCACCCACAGCCTTTAAAGTCGTCCGAGTAGTCAACAAGGGTTGTCACATATTTTTTCTTTTAACAGTAACGACAACATTTACAACACACTAAAATCTTATTACGAGTAACAACCCATTATGTAATTATCAGAAATTGTTTGTGTCATGACCTTAAACACTATATATAATTTTTTAAAAATTTATATTAACTTCAGCCTCTAAAGCGGCAGCAAGATTTTTCAAGTAATCAAGGGCAACAACTCTGGCAGTATTATCGGAAATTGTTGAAAATCAATTTATGACCACATTTCACTGTGGGCATATAAAAAAAAACGATTCAACACCTAGATACTTATTAATATTTTTTTTATTATTTGTATAACATTAACTAAATAATAACACCGATAGACCATCATAATATACAATACAATTTATAATATAATACCAACTAACAAACCGGTTCAGGGTGAACATTCTTCAAGATTTCTAACATGTATATCGCGAATCATAATTAATATTGTTCACTGTTCATCTTATTCTAGCTGTTGACTAGTATTAGCACTGTATATTGAAAAGACAGGCCTATAGATAGTAGAATGGAATGTCAATAATGTTGTTTTACGTTGATTCTGTCTATACCATTGTGCTTTAAAAAAAAGTTGTTAAAAAGTAATATTTTCAAACCCTCTGTCAAGAGTGTGGGGTACAATTTTTGGACTACTGTTATGAATGTGTATATATGGTTTATTAACACACCACAAAAAGTTCAATTTGGTAGACTGGACAATATTCTTTTTTTGATTCACATATACAATATATATATACTTTTCTGGTTTTTTAACACTATGCAAAAGAATATAACAAATATCTCAGTACGAGTCAGTGGTAATAATTATGTACTACTTAACTATAAATATTGTATTATAATTTAATATAAACATATACAACAACATCAAAATCGATGTCAACCAGACTATAGACATTACTTGAGCTTTAATTGAGAGGTTAAATTCCGCTGCCTGTAATAAAATGCACCAATAAAAGCACCATCACTCTTAATGGACAATTAACTCCGAAATTCATGAATACAAAATGACAAATTAATGTAATAATTCACCGAAAATTGCCGCCTTACACTCTCCAGTTAAAATTTATGGATTGCCAAAGTATATTGCATAGGTCATACTATTAAGAGATAAGTGTATCAGAGAAATATTTACAATATGCAGATGCTGATATTTACATAAATATTAAATTATATCTAATTGTAATTTTATATTTTACTCTTCTTTTAACCGGGTATTTTGGCTTCACCCCCCCCCCCCTCCTCCGCTTACTACTATTATAATGGTTTGTATCCGTCGTCTTTGGAGATGATCGAGGCTATATTGTGACATAACAATCTCTATCGAACTTAGTATACGATTTCAAGACGACGAATGTAGTCCAATATGAATCGTCCATAGCTCTAGCTTATATACATACTACGTGGATAGCCGTGAAAATCAAAATACACCAGTACATATTAACAACATATAATACCATGACTGTTTAGTGAGACGAAATATTTTTGCATTTCTCCAAAGCCTCTTCCAAAAGTCCGAGGTCGCCTGCAAATAATAGAAATACACATTACAAAAAAGTTATATTTATTGATAATCTGTGAAGGAAGTTTACCGAGAACATGCTGAAGGTATAACTGGATTTTTAAAATAAATGACACACAAGAATTAGAGGTATCCGTTATCACGCTCACGTGTTCGATGGTAGAGAGGAGAATTTTGGTCAGCGGCAATACAACCGTTTTCCAAACTAAATACTAAAGGTTGTGCATATAATTTTGTTATTCTTGTTCTGGTAACTACATGTACAATAACAGATTTGATACAGAGAAATGGGGTTTAACGTCCACTCGACCCAAACTAGGTCATTTCGGGACTAACACATGATTCAATTTTATTTCAATATCCGCTTGCACGTAGGGGTCTTTAGCAGTGGTAAGAAACCGGAGGACCCAGACAAAACCCACGAGGTTGGACAGGCGACCCCTACTCCTTGTCATGGAGAAACAACAGACACAGCTGAATATTTCAAGGTCATCTTCATACAGGACAAAATATCAATAAATTAATTAATTTGTGTAAAATATTAACTCACATCGAATGATTTTCGTCAAATTCATGATCTGTTTTTTGTTGTTGATAACTTCTACATTCTGTGTATAGGGATTGTATCGCACACTGAATGGACGTGGAATAGTACTCGCATAAGTCCTGTTAATAGATAAGGATACATATAAAAGCATGGTATCATAATAATATTATCAATCTGTCTGTATCCACGTAACTTCCAGCAAGGCTGATTGCAGTTAAAAACATTCAACGAAGAAACTGTCAAAATCGAGTTTAATTACGGAAAACCGGGGTACCGTGTAAACATTGGCGTGCACGTTAAAAATCCCTTGACAGTTGGAATTCGATATAAGAGTAGGTCGTAGTGCCGCTGTCCGGGCAAAATTCCCCTCATAACACACTGTATGGCGTATGCCCGTATTCATTAGCCCAATTCGGAGCAGAACAGTTAAGTAGGACGTTATACCCCATTTCATTTCATTTTATTTCACTTACAACTTATCATTAAACAACCATCATATTAAACAACCTAATGTTCACAATTGTTTAATAACCGTTTTGTTAAACATACATTATGCAAGAGCTAAATCTGTCTATTGCATGTCTTTCTTAAGGCCTGAAATGTTATCTTAATTATTAATTAGACATTAATTAACTTATCCAGACCATAATCAACTCTAGATGGCATCGCTAGCCTGCGATCTTAAAGTTACAATTTCATATTTTCTAAGAAAGTCAAAACATAATTATTTCTATGTCTTTTGCTTAATAGGTTGTCAACTCACTATTATACGATCATAGGTGTCATTCTCACACTTAAAACTCATTTACACCGGAAATAATAACACAATTACCTCCCCTGTTTTCTATTCTAACATGGAGTAGCTAACTTCAAACGTTTGAATTTGTCGATGAAATGATATTTTTGCCAATTTCTCAACTGGCAATAGTGAATTATAGGATTATTCTTTCACAATGTAGGACTGTTTATAGATACCATCTATTTTAAGTTTATTTTAATAAATTTCTAAAATATAACTTAAAAATATGAAATTGCAACTTTAAGTGGATTGTGATCCGATTTACTGCATAACTTTCCTTCTCGATTAAACGATTAAATGGATAATCGAGACTATGCTGTTTAACGTACTGACTTTAGTAATGATGACCGAGGCTAGGCAGAAATTTCATTCGCTTAGTTCTCGGTTCATAGTAGATCAATTTGAATGAAATTTTCAGCAAATTGCCTTTACGTTACCTTGTTTTTAATTAGTATAGTGAGAACTGCCAACTCGTTATCGAAGCTCCCATAATGTATCTTTAAATTAAACAACCAAATTTTCACCCGGAGTATCATTCAACAAATTATTAAATAAGATTAACAGACATCTGCAGCCTTTTATTGTCATAATTATTTTTTTTAAAAAAAAAAGGTGGTATGATACAATACCTTAATTTGTCCTTCGCCTGTTCAAAACTATTAGAGATAAAATAGACGGGTTGATATTCTGTTATAGGATATTGTTGTTCTGCTGTTATAATTGGATCAAATTCTCTTTTCTCTGGTTTATCAGAAATACAATACTACAATATCAAAATAGATTTATCAAAGGCACTACCAAAGTAATATAATAAAATACTTATCATAAATTTATCATAATATAGTAATTATACTTATAATAATAGATTTCTCAAAAGTACAAATCCATAATATAAACTGTTAAAATTTAATACCAAAAGTTATAAAAAAAAGATCAAGTATGCAAAACATTAATTATAGTAAATCAAGTTAATATCATATTTTATAATTTGGTATCTTAATTTCTTAAGGTTACTATTAACAATATCAAGCTAATATTTCTAACCAAAAGCCAAATTTAAGTTATCTTGTTACAAACCTGTAGTTCACCAAATGAAGAAAGAAGACCAGCACCATAAGCCTTTAGTTGACCTTCTTGACGACAAATACCAAATTCTACTGTAAACCAGTACAACTGTAAATAAAAATAAAATATCACATAAAAAAATACATGATTGTACGCTGTCTACTTCTCAAAGGAAAAGTTGCATCACGTTTTCCAGGAAACCCCTATTCAGAAAGGTATAATTTTTTTCGGTAATGCAGAGGAAGAAGTCTATAATACAGCTAAAGCATAAGTTCCGGTAAGACGTTGTCCTTTAATTTATATATCCACTGCCTTGAATTTATCAACTGCATTCATTTTATTTCTCATGAGAGATGTATTATAATCCCTGAACACAACACGTCACGGGAACTTACCGTTGCTAATTTCTGTATGTATTCTTCAGGTGCACCAAGACTGGCCAAACCTATTTCTTGTGAAAACTGAGCAAAAGCTGGATCAGCAAATAACGGTACATGACCCAATAGTTCATGACACACATCTCTGAAAGCAAAATAGGCACAATTATGTTCTCCTCAATTAGGAGAAACTTATAACTTCCAGCTAATCGAGTCTGTAGTAGCTTAATAATAGGTTTATACATACTGATAAAATTTATCTTGCAATTGCTTGATATCAAAAGTGAACTTTTCTTTGTCTGTTCAATATAGGAAACCAAACGGCCGAATTTATCAATTTTAAAACTACTTCATAATAACCATTTTAACTGGAAATTTAATGGTGCTATTTATATTGTACTTGGTGCTGTATCTAATAGTGACATTGACATTGGATGCTCGACGTGTAAAACCGGGCAGTTTGTATAATCTAAAGTAGATTAAGTCTAAATATTAAGGCCAACTGCAGATTTGGTCAAAGGTCAAGAGATGTAAACAGGGTTAGGGGCTAACCCTATTTACATCTCGCGACCTTGACGAAATCTGCAATCGAACTTAATATTTAAAACTAGCCAGCTAATATAGGTTCAAACAACTTACGGTTCCGGGGTATACATAGGTTTAGAACCATGTCTTATATACTGAGTGGAATGAAAAACACGGAATGCCAAACCAGCCAAAAAATCTCTGGATGACAATAGTCCAGCAACCGGTCTTAATGTAAACCCTGTACAATCTGTAATTCAAAAACATGTTACACATTTGAACCGAAGACGAATTAAATATAACTCTACATAATCTGTATACAATGGTAGAATAGTTAAATATAAACTTTAATCTGATAAAATTTTAATTTACAATATTCCATATTCATCAAATGGTTTGGAGTGAAATGGGAGTGTTAATCACACCTTTCAAAAACTGTGAAATATCTTCAAGTTGTGGAATGTTGTCATCTCTAAACCCACAATTATCCACCAAGAGAGGAAATATATGATTATATTCACGACAAGCATGTGTTGGATAAAGTTTAGTCAGTTCATTAAAAATAGTTCCCCTGAAATACACAAAGACAATACCTTCGATAATTATAATAAATAATGAAAAAAGGAAGGAATGACTAGAACTACTGTGATGCAGGGTTGTTAAGTTTCACCTTGACATTAAACGTGTCTATGTCACTTCCTGCTCAAATGAATTATTACGGTGAAATTATATAAACAAAGGTTAAAAATTAATGATTTATACTTTATCACATTAATGACACCGAAACTCTCTTGGTACCCTCTCTTAAAATGACAACTGAAACAATTCAATAGTTTGTGATTTAACTTATTAAACAAATTACCAGGTTTTAATTTCGTCTTGGGTATATTCAACTCGAGGTATTGGTTGGCCACTGAAATATATATAAACTTAATTGATTTCAAACAAAGGAAAATAATATTATTTATGACCATCAATCAATAAATAAAAATTCTATCTTGTATAAAAACAAGTTAAACACTTTATAATGTTCTTACTGTTTATAATGAAATGCGATGTCAGCAAATTCCTTCCTTCTGCTTCTATACACCGTATCCGTAAAACCCTACAATAAAAGAAGTGGGGTTATTATAAACTACTGGTAGAGATCAAGTCTGTGCTTGCTTAGTTTGTATCTACCATCCAGCAGTTTCATCTTCTGAAATCTATATATCGTGACGTTTAAGGTTTTCACATAGCTATCATAGTTTTATTGTACTGTTGAAAACAATTATTTATAAAAATGTTTGAAGAGAAAATTATCGTACTGAATGGGAAGTAAAGTTCCCAGACAACGAAACAAACGACGCCCACAGGTTGTCAAAGTTTACTTTTTGTGAAATATTAGCAATAAACTTATAAGGGTCGGACAATAACTGTATGCGCTGTAGGTTAACAAGAAAATGGGTGCGAGAAGGCAAACGAATGAGATGGCAACATACAAGCTCATTAAAATGAATTCAAAGCTAACGCATATAAATACATGTATAATGAGTTATCAAGCTCCAGGATTAAAACTTCGAATTTTCACAACCATATCAAAATTGCATATGTATTTCACCATTCTGGTTAAGATTTTCTACACTGTTCGGATGACTAATGTCGGCTGTGTTATGTATGTGACTTTGGTGAGTTTAATTGTCTACATTCAATATATTATTGTCTTCTCTGAAATGAACACCAATCGGAAATGAATTCTTACCGGATGGTCACTATCTAATTCTGAGCCATAGCTTAAAATTTGGTTAGCAAATCTATCAAGATCACTGATTTTTCTTGGAAACCATGGAACTGAAAGATATACCCAAAGAATTTAATAACAAATTAATAAAATTATTATTATTCTCACTACTACAGATAGAATAAATATCAAAAAGCCTCATATTCAACTGCACCACTATAATGATACTATATACTAGATTTTAAAGTAAATCAGCCTAATTTTCAAACATTAACCATTACTTTTAAGATATATATAATTGGGCAAACTAGAAATAGTAAGCACACCCTTCCACGTGCCACTACCTAAAGCTATAATTAAAGTAAAGTCTACTGGTTAAAAGGATCACCTGGGTGCTTATGACCACCAACCAACGGGATAAATACGGAAACACAATCAACAATTTTTAGTTATATGAACTACCCTAATCATGAGAAGTGGTATCAGGAATAATAAATATGGTTGACACTGCCACTAGGTATATTCTAAAGATTCCATATACTCTAGGAGAATTTGGATCAAGCCAAAACATAGACAGGTGTGAGGGGGGGGGGGGGGGTCCCTTGATGAGCCCACCAGCAAACATTCATTCCTGTTATAGGTTAAAAATCGATGTCAATAAAAATCTCGCCGGGTAAATTTTGAAAAATCCAACTAATTGTAGATAATTCACAAACTACCAAATTCAACATGTCATGTGAACCGAAAGTTAACACAGTAATTTGAGAAACGAATATTTTTAATCATTGATTGGGTTACACATTATGCTTCAATGAACAATGCCATCAAGTTTTAACCATTTCCACTCAGCATTCGTCTTGTATCGCGTTCCCAAACTTTAAAAGTCAGAATGTGAACGGCATGATAAACTTGCGAAACTTGTTCAAAATCTACAATCCGAAACTTTGGAGAGCGAGAGCGAGAGAGAGAGAGAGAGAGAGAGAGAGAGATGGGGTTTAACGTCCACTGGACACAAATTAGGTCATTTCGGTACTAACACACGCTTCAATTTTATTTCAATAATTCGCTTGCGCGTAGTGATCTTTGGCAGTGGGAGGAAACCGGAGGACCCGGAGAAAACCCACGAGGTTGGACAGGCGACCCTACTCCTTGTCACGTACAATCGGGGAATCGAAACCACGCAAGTTGACTCAATGACAGACCTTATGATACAGCGCGCACGTGCTAACCATTCGGCCATTCAACGCCCCTAATATCGAAAGGAACCGATATCTTTGGGAGACATACCTATATTTCAAGTTTCGTCAAAATCGGATAAAAATTGTGACCTGTAGAGTATCCACAAACAAATTGTGGACGGACGGACAGGGGCGACGGCATAATACGTCCACATGAAAATGTGGGCGTTTAAAAATTAAAGGAATTAAGAATCTCTTTATTTATATAAGAAAACGACGGTCTAGAAACTGATATGTACATGTATACAAATAGGGTAATGAAAAGGGTATTTATGTTTTATGATTTTCATTATAGCCATAAACTAAAGAGATTGTCTTTGATGAGGGAAGATAGGAGAACGTCTACATGAAAACTAACCTGTCACACCATTTCTTAGTGTTATAAAAATACCTATATTGAACATGCAACCAAGACAAATAAAAGAAATGTAAAAGCAATAAACAAGGGTGGTTGTTGAAAAATAAGCAGACACAGTTGCTAAAACAAAATATACTGAGACGCAATGAAAACATGCCCTCTTGCATTACGGTAACCAGGGCTGAGAGCAAGTTAAAATTTCCTTTAACTGGTTAACGCGTTAAAAGTTTTAAGTTATGAGTTATTATCAAAGCTTCTAAATTATGGCCATTTTCGTTTTTCAACCTATTTCAGAAAGTAATAAAAACTTCTTATTTGTCATTATTTTTATTCTGGGCTCCAAATCTAGGATTTAGGTGGCATTTTGACGGGTAAACGTTTTTATAAAAAATCGAAATTGGTGTCTTCGACCTTAACCCTTGATTCCGAATGTTTCATGAATTAGGCCCTTTCACTGGTCTGTGCAACTATTTTCCAGCCTAATATGCCTACACAGAGCTTTAACGCGTTAATTCATTTCTAATAACGCGTTAATCTCATAAATACGTTAACCAGTTAACTGCTCTCAGCTCTGACGGTAACGCAATGGCGTGTACTGGCTCTAGTTCTTTAAAAGACATACCCCATGTATGTGATTTTCCACATGGCAAATTTTGTTGAATTCAACGTTTTGTGTTTGAGAGAATTGATCTGTGGTCGTGAAAACATCATTCTCACAGTAATATCGCCGTGATCTGAAAGACATTCGTTTATAAAAGCTATGCGTTTCCACTGCGTCTCAGTATAAGTTTTACCTAATACGCAATATAGAAAAATAATTTTACATAATAAAAAACAAAAAAAACAAAACAAAAAAAACCCTTAACACATAAAGATAGCTGTTGAATAATTTAAAAACCAATGTTTGTAAATAATAAACAAAGATAGTTGTTTTGTAATATGTTAAGAAATACAACTTGGTTTTAAAAAGCATAAAAAAGCTTTAATTAACACGAAGAAGTGTAAGAAAAAAACGGAAAGGAATATGTTGGAAAATCATAAAGTTTTCTGAAAGAATGTAGGAAAAACCCATAGCCATTTACACGACGGTATAAATATTACGAAATAATCTTTAAACGGGTAAATACGCTACTTTGTTTATGTTAGCGACTGTATTTTTTTTTTAACGAGATTTAAGGAATTGTGTACGTAATGGGAGAAAGGTCTAGATTAAGACTAACCTGTAATACCATTTCTCAGTCTTATGTGTATACCTAATTAACATACAATCAAAAAAATCACAAGATTTTAATTAGCGTTAAATAATAATCAGAGCAAACATAATAAGCAGGGAAAATGACAAATAATAAATAATAGAGATAAACTGTAAACAATAAAGAAAAGCTTGATAAATAATAAACAAAGATAACCACATTACTCAAAAATAAAGGAGAAGATAAAGTGCTTGGGGGAAAATTTTGCACACTGTCTACTTTTATTTCGAATTCCAACTGTCAACGGTTCTTTACGTGCATGCCAAGGTGTACACGGGAACTCGGTTTTTCGTCCCCATTGAACGACTAGTATAGACGCTGTCTCTCGCCAGGCATTCCGGTCTACACCACTGATAAAGAAGAACCATGCCGGAAAATCTCGATCAACTTTCTCGGTAACACCGGTATCGAACAGCGTTTCATTTACTGAGCCACCACAGGGCCCTATAACATGAGGTGTCAACAATAAAACCAACCAATAAAAAGTAAGAATGTCGTTATTTCGAAAATAGAATCTTAATTTAGACGTTTATATACTTTTACGACTGGTTCTGGTTGTGTAATGAGTTCAGGCTGATATATTGCTAAAGTTTTAACCTGGAAAACATTGCGTGTATAATAATACATAAATAATAGACGCTGTGATTAGGCTTTTCCCATCGTAATAAAAACAAAAGAAAAGTTACACGTAGTGACATATTAATGTCATCATACAACTTCTGACATTATACCGTTAGATTTATATATAATTTCTAAATTTTTCGTCAAAACGATTTCCATAACTGTTCTGACCCAATTTTCTTTTTGAATAATATAATAAGTACAATGACATTTTCAGTCTGATAATTGCGTGATTAAATATAGGTTTAACTCAACCTATATAATAAACACAATACTTGATGTTAACATAAATTTACGTTTTAATCATATAGTAAGTTGAACGTGTTTAAATTTGCTAATTCAAGGCGCCCCTGTCCAACTCTATGATGTCGAGCAAATTCATTTGAACAATTTCATTAATAACAAATATATAGCCTACACCATCAAATAGTTACGTTTGATAAAAATCTTACTCGTTATTCTGTTGAGTTCGGAATAATGACTTAACATACACGCTCAGAATATGTCCGAGTGACTTTAAAGATACAAACAAAATTATATCAAAACAATTATGTAGGGCTTATACTAATCTAACACTCTAAATTAACCAAAAGTATCAAACACATGGGAAACTTAAATCTGGTAAATTGAATGCACGTGTGGCGAACTACTCATGATGGACAAGATGTCGTATACGACTGTCAGTCGAAACTAGCACATCTAGGTAAGTAGGCGAATTTGCGCTTCTGCTGGTGATAGTGCACGTGCTGTGTCTCTGTCGTGTAATCACTTGAGCAATAGTCATGGAAGGTTGTTACGTTCACGGATGTAAGTTCAGCATTTATTGAAACCCATTTCTTGCTGGATAAGCCGCCATACCACGACCCATGAACGCGTCTAAATAGGCGTATCTGCTACATTTATCGGAAATGCCCCAAGTAGTTTAGGAATTTGTTTCCCAGCAAACAGTCTATTTGGACCATTGGCCCTGTGCGATTAAACGAAGTAAGTCTCTAAACCTACCTTCATTTTTCTGTTCTCCGGGGTTTCTAGATAAAATTGTCAGGTCTTTACACTTCTCTTTCAATGCAATGCTTGCTTCCTTCAAACCCCCTCTTTGGTTGTCACAAGACACAAAAAATTGGTATTCTTCTGCATCTTCAGCTGACGGTCTAGATTCAATGTGGTGGAGATTGACTCCATGTAGCTGTTAAAAAGCAAGATTGGGTCTATCTATGAATATAATTATTATGATAACTTCAATCGGGCACGGCATGTAGAAGGGTGTACCCACTCTCTGTGGAACACCTAATACCAGTTTTATTTAAAATATTTTTATCCAATTAACATTTAATCGATACATAGTTATTCGGGTCAAAACATTAACCAAATGAAATTAGGGTTTGACGTCCTGCTTTTCTGCTCCATCCGGGATAATGAAGACGGGTATGCACGACGCATTGTGCTATGAGAGAATTTTTGACCGGAAAACTACGCTACGGTCTATATACTCTGGCTTCGAATTCCTGTCGCGGGCTCTTTACGTTCACACAATGTTTTTTGTCCCATTCGAAAGACTAGACGCCGCTCCTAGCCCGGCCCTCCACCCAGCACCATTGATATATTAACCAAACTTGTTAAACCGAATAAAAATCAATCCTAGAATATCCCCAACATGTAATTGCACGATATCAATATTTTCTTGGGAAAATATCCAGGATGACAATGGAATGAAATTGGTTTTAATGTTTCCTGGAGACATCACTCCGGTCATTTATGAACAAAATAATGGTAATTCGAATTTCTATGCTTACTAAATCTTTTACAATACGAGGTTAGAGAATTTTGCCTTGACATTGGCACGTCAACCCCCGAAAAGACCACCTATTTTAATTTATTTTATACAGTTGTTACCTCAAATATTGACAAGGCTTCAGCTAGAGCTCCAACCTTTTCTTTCAGAGAGAACAACAGAGTAGTACTACCCTCAGTGTCCTCAATTTCCTCTACATAAATAGGTTGCCCGTCCTTCAAATGCTAAAATACAAAACAAAACAAAAATATCATCCAGGAAAAACGATTAAAAACATATGACACATGAAATTTTCTAATAATTCTTCAAGTTTTACTCCGTTGTGCTAACAACATATGGACTCCAATGCCGCCCGGGTTCTCTTCTCTGATTCTCCTTGGTATTCTGAGGGGTTTTTTTGGTGCTAAAGCATGGCAAATTAATGTGGATTTTATAATATTAAAGGGTGTTGTGTGCTGATTTGGATGACTATGACAGTTGATGAAATATCCTCTTTGATTCAAACTGGTTTTCAATTTTTAAAATTAATCAAATAATGTTTGCTGTTCTATTTTACAATACTTTGATATAAAGTTAAAATGCGCTTTGTGGTACGTTTTACTTGATTGAATCTTTGATAATTGAGAATAATAATGATGCGCGGCGGTTTATCCGCTTTTTGCAATTTAGTAAACTTTTATTCGCTTTTAATCAAACATATACAAACATGGAGATTTAATGTTAAGAAATGTATTGAAATGGGGTTTAACGTCCTACTGTTCTGTTCCGGCTATTAATGCTAAGATAAAAAGTGCTTTAAAGCCACTAATTGCCATTTTCTAAGATATTTTGAATCCCTTGCAAACAAACCATCATATTATCAGAACTGAATCTCTGAAAAAGGAATAGCAGCAGATAACACGGGTTGAAAATTTCGCAACATTCGGCATCCTCTTCAGAGGACACAAACAACTATAAGAGTTGAAGAAAATCTTTTGATTGACCTCTTTTTAATCCGATTAAATCCAAGCCGTGGGATTATCTCCCGTTGATAATTATTTTGATTTTGTGTTCTTAAATGTTAAATAATTCATCAGTACATTTTGGCGTTCATTAAGCCTTTAGAAATTAATAGCGATCAGCTGCTTTAAAGTAAATTAATTGTTGTTATTATCAAAGCTGAATATACAAGCCCAGTTAATATAGATTTGTCATATATCCCATCATATTTTACATTTTTCGAGTAATCTATCTATATTCTTTACTTCGCTAATTAGTACCATAGGTAGTAAGCATTTAACTTGCTACTTAGTGACTTTAGGAGTCTTTGGCGGTTGTTAGAAACAATATTTTTTTTTTAATTGGATCTAATTAAATTAGATTATACAGTTCCATCTTGAATGTTCAAATTAGATTGCATGTAAATTATGAGACACGCCCGCTCAGATATCGACGTTTTATCGGTAGATTTATGAGTTATGCAAATTCTTTAGAGGTTTTCGTGGAGTTTAACGAACGCTGGCACAAAATACCTTATTGAATAGGTCAGTGCTTGGATTCTCAATAATTGGGAGCATCAAAGATTATCTTGAATATGATATAACTAGATTAATTTTCATCCAAAGTCTTCGACATTGAAAACACGAATTAATAGTCAATCTAAATCAACATTGAGGTTCTGATATCCAATATTTATGACAAAATAAACATTTTACCATTGATACACGAATCGTATACCATAATGCGTTTCAGTGCCATTTGTAACACGGGGTTCAAAGAAAGAGGCTAGACATATTCCACAAGTCATGTCAAACTGTGAGGCTATATTCTTATCTGGAGAGCATGCACAGTAAATATTATCGGTGTAGACTGAAATAACCAGACGCTAGAGATTACCATTCGATATTAGCAATTGAGCTCCTTTAAGTTATTATTTTTGAACGCTCACAAAAACTGGACATTACAAGTTGGTCGTAAATCATTATGTATAGACATTTTTATCCTTCTTAGAAATGGCTGATCATATGATTACAAGTAAGTCTGATAGTCGTCTCTTATTAATCTGTTAACACTATGACGAAAGGCACATATACATGGGCATCATCAAACACTAAAACAGTTTCCAAAACGTCTGTTTTCCAAAGTCAACATTTAAAATAAAAGATTGTTTGTAATATAAGAATACCACCGGTTATAAAAATGACAGCATGTGTATTTTAGTTATACATACCATAATTGCTATGGAATAGTATGGCCAATTAAAATAAAATATTCAAAAGATGTGGTGTGACCTTTTACATACAAACAGTTTACTGTACTTTATGTTAGATTAACACACATAACCTACTATTACAGGGTGGAAAATAACAGATGGTTTCTACATGTACTCGAGTTAATCTTAAATATTGTTTCACAGATTTATTTTAACTAACAAGTTTGAAAACTTACAAATAAATGAATAATCACGATTTTGATTCACAAAATTCTGAATTAAAAATAATCAAACGAGTAATCCAACCAGTTCGGTAGTATTTTATATATTCTTTGCTTAAATGTATAAAATTTAACTATAATAGCACATATTTCCTGATAATCTATGGAAAGTTATCGATTAATCCTAACCGATCTAACCCGTTTCTATCGTTATGTATAAATAGTCGTAATTTTATCGATTGGGGATATTTCGAGCAAATCTGCCAGAGTGTGAAGACGTACTTGAGATAACAACATATTGGTAATTCACCATATTGATCAACACTTACAGAACTTTGTGAAATTCATGCAGTGTCAACAATGACAGCGGACACACTGCTTTTACTAAAACATATTACTATTACTTACATGCGAACCGTTTGAAACACGGGCTTTCTTTGTGGCTAATCCTGCATCCATCTCTGTGGTCAGATATTGTTTATACTGAATCTGCGTTTAGTGTGACAGCTAGTATGACCTTGACCAAGCGCAACGGAGGCGTCTTATTGGTCCGTTTCTGTCACACCTTTTCCTTTTGTTAAGTCGGGCAGACGTATCGATAATTTGTTTGCGATGTTACCGTAGGCAAAACGGACGTAAATCCCTTCTCGTAGTAGTAGTAGTTGTAGTAGTAGTAGGGCTATAAAATCAGGCCTGGTTATTTCCCAAACAATGTCAGGTTTTGAAAATTTCGGTCGAACAATTCAGAAATTCGAAAGCCCAAAAGAAAAAGTTGCGTCAATTCTTTTGTAAAAATCACTTAATGACTTCTATCCAGCATCGTTTTCACAAGCTTTGGTCGAAAACTTCTGACCTTTGATAGGCTTCTTTCATAATACTCTAATAATGCACAACGTCTCGCTTCATCCAAAAATATTGTATCTATATCTTATTCACAAGATTGCATGAGTCGAATTGCGAAGGTATCGATGATGTTACGCAGAAATGAGCAATTCCATTTAATTTGGAAATTACCTAAGAAAACACAAATCAGATACTGAATATTACTAGTATACATGTACTTTTATCATGTTACGTGTAGGATAATGCACGAGACTGGGGTTATGCTGGGGGAGAAAGACTTCAGAAATAAACCTCAACAGAAAAACCTCGGCCTCCAGGCTTCGGGTTTTCTTTTTCTCGGGTCATTTTCGTCAGTCGATGACTTTATCTTGCTTATAAAGCGTCTATGTTTACATGTACGCAAAATGAGTATAACCCCAAATTCCCCTGTGTATATCCAAAGCCTGCGACTTTCAGACCGCAAGTTATTCCGGGCATAGAATATACCCCAAAGATCTAAGAGATTTACCGTTTTAGGTTTATAAGGAAAAAGTATCTAACTTATTCATCTGCACTATAATGTCGCAGCTTGTAGGGTATGGGACCAAAGTCAACTTCGAATGCATAGCTGTTAACAAATTGGTAACGAATAATAGTGGTGATGGTGAAGACTATATAATCACACTAAAGGGGCGTATTAAGACAAACAATTTATCTATGGTGTACAACCATGTAAGATTTAAAAATAGTTTTGTTAATTTTAACATGTGCTATACTAAAAATAGTATTTGTAATACGGTTACGTATATGAACTAGTCACGTAGTAGGGCAAGGTATAAGGTGGTGGTTATGGGTATTTAAGTCACCTCCGAGATAAGATTAGTCTTGCAATTTAAAAATATGATAAATTGCATATGATCACAGCAAGATCCAAAATAATAGATATTTATCCCGTTACTTTCTCGTTGCATAGCTTAAAATCATGCACTGATTTCGCGTATACCTTTCAATTAAGGATAATGTTTTTTTTAAAATAAAGTTTTAATATGTTAATGAAACTTTTTTTAAAATTATATTTATAAACAATTTTTAAAAATTTGAAACAGTAAATTAAAATATTTAAGCTTTTAATGTGCAATCTTAGAGTCTGCTGGCGATGTGTCCCTATTAAGGGCGGCGTCGTTTATATTTATTGATAAAATTTCTAGAAACATAACTAATTAGGTAAAGCAGCAATAATGACATCATTTATTTCACAGCTCGTTTAATAATCGATAATTTCGATTGATTGTACTGTAGTTTTTAAAGTGTGCCAAGTGATTAAGACGTTGATATGTGGGATGGGTATGTAATGTTAGTTGCACCGTTTGAACGATGAACAAATAGTCAGGTCAATATATGGAAAATACCCCCTCAACCCCCCAAAAATTGCTACAAAAGGTTTCTCAACTGATTCTGGTAGGGTTTCGTGTACTTTATAACATACTAAAAGTTTACCAAAGTAGGACCCCCGGAAAAGTGTTTTTTTTTCAAGATGGCGTCAAAGATAGCCACCGAAACGTCTTAAAATGATCATAACTAAGTAATTATCAATTCAAATTTGATGTTCTTGGTGTCTTTCCCTAGGTTTTTGAGAGCAAAGAACACAGTAAGATCTTTAAAAATGATGTTGGCCTATTATGTCAAAAATGACCGCTAACACCTCCAAATGACCGCAAGTCCATAACTATTGACTCAAATTTGATGATCTTGATGTCTATCCCCAGGTTTTGGGGGACAAGGAACACACTAAGAGAACTTTGGATATCACTGAGCTGTTAAATCATTATGAAATTGTATTCATGACCTTCAGCTGTCCACTATCACAGAATAAGTTTCAGCGCGTTCAGTTTTGAGTGCCATCCTCCTCCTCGGTATCGACCTCTTGAGTGTTGTTTGAATTGTCACAGGTTTGCTGATCTTGCTCCTTCATTACTCCAGAACAGACAATGAGATCATCTACTTCCGTTCAAACAAGCAGTCAAAGGAACATAAAGTGTATAACATTAACCTGTTGAAAGAAACTTTAGGAGACGATGCGTGCAACGAGTTTCTCTTTGTACATGTCTACACGAACTGTGATTCAACATCAAGGATTTGAGGCATCGGAAAAAAGTCCGCCTTCAGGAAATTAGTGAAATCTGATCCTGTCACGAAGTCCTGTGCTAGTGCATTTACCCTTCAAAACAAATCTCAAGAGGACATCAGATCTTGGCAAAGACCTGATGGTTGATCTCTTTGGTGGCAAATCGAATGATACGCTTTCATCACTGTGCCATATCATTTTCACCAAGAAAGTGGCAACTGCTGAAGCATTTGTCATTCCTTAACAGCTCCCCCCAACACCACCTGCAACAAGATTTCAAATTATGGTATGGACGGGGATGGCAAATGAAATGAACCTAGCTGAATAGGGATGGAAGCAGGGAAATGAACAGTTAATTTCAATTATGACCCAAAACAATGCTGCGCCTGGCGAACTCTTGAAAGTTACCCATTGCAACTGTTCGGGGGTATGTAAGTCCTCTCGATGCAGCTGAAGACGCTATAGACTCCCCTACACCGCTGTACGTGGCCCTTGTCAAACTGAAAACTGTGACAATTCAAACAACACTCAATAGGTCGATACCGAGGATGACACTCAAAACTGAACGCTCTGAAACTTATTCTATGGACAGGGGTGTTTGTGCATTAGGTGATAGTGGACAGCTGAAGGTCATGAACCCAATTTCGTAATGATTGAACAGCTCTAGACATCAAGATCATCATATTTGAGTCAATAGTTATGGACTTGCGGCCATTTGGAGGTGTTGGCGGCCATTTTTGACATAATAGGCCAACATCATTTTTAATGATCTTAATGGGTTCTTTGCCCCCTAAAACCTAGGAATAGACCCCAAGATCATCAAATTTGAGTTGATAGTTACATAATTATGATCATTAAGACGTTTCGGTGGCCATCTTTGACGCCATCTTGAAAACAACACTTTTCCGGGGGTCCTACTTTGGTAAACTTGTAGTATGTTATAAAATACACTCAACCCTACCAGAATCAGTTCAGTCAGAAACCTTTTGTAGCAAGTTTTGGAGGGTTAAACTGTATTTTGACCTGACTAAAATGTGAATCTCTTAATAAGCGTTTAGATAGACACATTAGATCACTTAATGCTGTGTTCACGTTTTATCAGAAAGCTGGAAAACTTACCACATATTCCGATTTGATCTGATGAAAACTCAATGAAGTGTCGGCGATACTGTGTTGAGATTATCGCTTAAAGTCGATAATATAAAGCTTTTTAATGTTGCGTGTAAGTTGTAGATATTTTAATTACCTCTGAATAAGTTACCCTACTTCCCGATTTTTAATCAGCAAATTGGAAAACTTTAGAATAATGACCATAAGATGCCGACAATATGCTTTTGAAGTGTTTTAATGTATTATTTTACGAGTTATCGGTGTCCGTATGGCGTAAAATTTATATTATCACAGTCTCCTAGGAGACATACAATTTACATATTTAACAACTTACCTTATAACATTTAGGACAATTACTGTTATTCATTATACTCAATTATATAAAACTGCTTCCCTTATTTAACTTTCCAGACAGGAGGACAGCTATACAATTATACCCACATTATATACGTACCGATAGTAAATATTACTACCTATTTCATCATCATCTGAATCTTAATTTTACCCAAGGCAAACTTACAAGTACTTTACCTACATCAGTATATCCCTTGGTAGTTGAACGTCTGCTTCTGCAATAGGGATATCGCAGACATACATTTTCATACATATGAGTTGGTCTTTTGCTAAGTGGTTTGGATCTGTAAGATTAGTGGTTTAGGCATTGTCGACCACAAATTTTATTAAACTTTCAATGGTATCTCTAAAAGCAATTATAATATAAAATTCACTAAAAATAAACGCCGATAAAACACCATCCCACTGTAGTCTGTAGACAAATCAAAAATAAAAGAAAATGGTTAATCCGTCACTATTTAAAAATACTTTATTTGGTACAAAAGGACAAATTTACAGTTTTTCATGAACTAAATTAAAATTAATAAGTCCTTACGAAGTGTAATTGTTGCTCGAACGAAATGTCAACATTGTTCCCATGCAAGAACTTAAAAAGATTTCATCATCGAGTTACTTCAACTGCACTCTGTAGCCCCCCGAGACTAATATAATGAATAAAAATAAACCTGTCAAGATTTAGTGTATTTATAGATTTTAATGTTTTCCTTCAGTCAGGTGTTCATCGTATGTGCGAAATTTAATGATTTTCAACTTCTTCTCCTGGAAAGTAATGGTAATTAAATTTGACAGTTTGTTCACTTCTGGTATGTGATGGATTAAAAACCTTAGACCAATACAATTCATTTAGAATGATTTTGGGTGTCAGTCGGCCGGGCAGAAAAGTAGGACGTTGAACCCCATTTCATTTTTTTAAAAGAACAATAACACTCTTGCTGGCTTGACAGCCCAAGAAAATAAAAAAATAGCCTTATTCTAAGTACTAGATGTGTTAGTGTCCTACCTGTTGTGTAAATTATCCATTAAATCCTATTTTACTTGTCCAGAGGGTTCAAAAATATTTTTAAATCCAAGTAACATTTGAAAAGCTTTACGTCAGGCTTTTCAAATCATTTAGTTGAATTTTTCCAATTTTTAA